TATTTCAACAGGCAACCCTACTCCTTGTGACGTACAACTGGGGATTCGAAACCACGCCAGTTAACTCAAAGACAGGCCTCATGATACAGCGTGCACGTGCTAACCATTCGGCGACCCCCACTCCCTAAGCTATACAGTGTGCTAAATGCTATATCGAATTCCAACCAACTGTCAAGGGATCTTTTACATGCATACTAATGTATATGGAACTTCGGTTTTTCGTCCCATCCAAACGACTAGACAGCTAGCTGTCCTTGTCAGGCCCGTCCTGCTTAAAAAAGAACCCTAGAATTTGATGAAACGTTGATGTCAAGGCAAAATTTGCCTCAAAGTATGCTGTATGGTTTATGTCCGTCTTCAGAAAAGTACAGTACAGTGAGTTATGCCTACACCCAATTTCATTTAAAAATCCACTTCGAATAATATAAATATATTTCATGATTCACACTGCAGTGATACACCACGTCGACTGGAGATAACTCCCACAGCTGCTGATTCTTTACTTACCTGTTTTTAATCCTCACCATTTTCACTGATCACCAATTATAACTTGTAACTCTCTTAGAAAATTCACATAATTTGGTAAAATTTCCTCAAAAATAAACAGATAAATCCTAATGTTTACAAACAGATCACCACGTGTATTTCATTTCCGAAGTAATTTCATATCAAACAATTTTGCCCCTGGTACTGAATTCTATAAGAATCTATTGGGATCAATGGGAAGCAACTCTCTTTTAGATAGCCACAATAATAGGATACAGACCACAAAATCTTTTCATGCAGACCACTTATTACGGTTTCTTGAGCTCTATGACGGTTTGCAATTTGGAGAGAGAGAAATGTTGTTTAACATCCACTCAACACAAACTAGGTCATTTCGGGACTAACATATGTTTAAATTTTATTTTAATAATCCCTTGTGCTTAGAGGTCTTTAGCAGTGGGAGGAAACCGGAGGACCCAGAGAAAACCCACGAGGTTGGACATGCGACCCTACGTCTTGTCACATACAACCGGGGAATCGAAACCATGCCAGTTCACTCAATATAACAGACCTTATGATACAACACGAACACGCTAACCATACGGCTATCCACCCCCGCCTTGCAACCGGGGAATCGAAACCATGCCAGTTCACTCAATATAACAGACCTTATGATACAACACGAACACGCTAACCATACGGACATCCACCCCCGCCTTGCAACCGGGGAATCGAAACCCAGCCAGTTCACTCAATATAACAGACCTTATGATACAACACGAACACGCTAACCATACGGACATCCACCCCCGCCTTGCAACCGGGGAATCGAAACCCAGCCAGTTCACTCAATATAACAGACCTTATAATACAACACGAACACGCTAACCATACGGCCATCCACCCCCGCTTTGCAACCGGGGAATCGAAACCATGCCAGTTCACTCAATATAACAGACCTTATAATACAACACGAACACGCTAACCATACGGCCATCCACCCCCGCTTTGCAACCGGGGAATCGAAACCATGCCAGTTCACTCAATATAACAGACCTTATAATACAACACGAACACGCTAACCATACAGCCATCCACTCCCGCCTTGCAATGGTGAAGGGGAGTTTGGGATTCACACTGACGGTAAGTGGATGTCGTCAAATTTGATAAGCATGAAATCCATTTACTTTTGGGAATCACTGTGGTCACTGCTGTTGATTCATTTATTTTTGCTTGGCTCTAACTTTTTTCCAAATATTCGTAGAATGAACGATCTCTATCACAGATTGAGCAACATTTGGCAACGTTACGATCCAAATCCAGAGTTTTCACAAATTTAAAGTGTCAGTCTAGAAAACAAACAAACATTCTATTTTGTATATATAGATATATATTTATCTAAAACAAATAATATAAATATTTATAATAATAATTCTTACAATTAGTATCATTTCATCAGATCCACTATCATTCTTTTATGTACATGTAATTCTAATTATATACTCTAAAATTAGAAATCAAACAACTTTAGTTTACAAAATAACTTAAATATACATATATATATTTTAATCAAACATATAGCAGTTCTTTAAAACTACAAAAAAGTTACTGCATGCAATTTTTGAGATTGTTTTCGTGATAGACCATTGTTTCAGCTAAAACTACTTTGGCTACAAAACAATTGAAATATACAGATGTATTTCCTTATCTCAGATCAAACACATAGCAGTTCTTTAAAACCACAAAAAAGTTCCTGCAAGTAATTTTTTAGATTGTTATATTGATAGACCAATGTTTCAGCTAAAGCTATAACCACAAGTTTAAGACCACAGAGGTTGAATAAGTGCTATTTTTTTTTTAAACAATATTTTATTCCGAAATTTAAAGGGATTGAGGAACATGCATAGCCTATATGACCTCTTTCCTAGTGCTAAATGGTTTGGGTTAAGCCATATTTGCATGATTTTTTGGATTATTTTATTTTGTAGTTTTTATAGTAGGCCTACAAACTGGACTGTTACCAATGACAAAGTCAGTAATCTTTGTAATATTACAATCAGACATTAATCACTATATTCCTGAAACAAGAACCAACGTTAAACTGGATTACCTCTTAAGGCCTAAAGAGATTCATTAAACTATGGAGTAGCGGTTTACAAACCCTGTTTGACATATTCCTGAAACAAGATTCTAACGTTAAACTAGATTACCTCTTAAGACCTAAAGAGATTCATTAAACTAGGGAGTCAAGGGTTACAAACCCTGTTTGACATCATCTGATTAAAACAGAAATGAAATGAAATGGGGTTTAACGTCCTACTGTTCTGCTCCTATACCGGGCTAATGAAGAGGGGCATACACCATACAGTGTGCTATGAGGGAAATTTTGCCCGGGCAGCTGCACTATCGCCTACTCTTATATCGAATTCCAACTGCCAGGGGATCTCTTACGCGCATTCCAATATATACACGGGACCTCGGTTTTTCGTATCATCCGAAGGACTAGACAGCTGTCCTTGTCAGGCCCTCCGTTCTGCACCACTGACAAGGGGGAATCACGCCGGAAAATCTGGATGAACTTTCTTGGCCAATGCAGGGATCGAACACCCGACCTCCAGGCTAGCGATCCAGCGTCTTAACCACCTAGCCACCGTGGCTCCTGATTAAAACAGATCCTACTTCCTTTCATTTTTATATAGCTATAAAATTAGCTTTACTTGTCTTCACTTCATTAAAGATACATTATTGAAGATGAGATTAAGAGCTACCAGTTCTAAGTAAAATAGTTAAAAATTAGATAATATAAAAGAGATATGCTCAAAATTTCAGTCAAATTGATCCACTCTGAACCAAATTACAAGCGATTGAAATTTAGGCCTAGACTTGATCATCAGTCCTAAAATTGGTAGGTTAAAAAAAAACCCATACTCTCGGTTATCCATTTTTGGATTTAATCATGAATGAGCGCTGAGCAGCAGAACGGATTCATATTCAATGAAAATCCGACACATAAGATGCCATCGAGAGTCAATTAAGGTCTTTTCATGTTAATAAATGTCTTATTAATAGTTTAGATAACATTTCAGGCCTAAAGAAAGACCTGCAATAGGCAGATTTAGCTCTTACATAATGTATGTTTAAGTCCAGGCCATCTATAAAGGAACAAAATATAGATCAAGTGTGTGAATCAAATTGTGTTTGACAATATAACATTTCATTTATTAGAAATAAACAGATAAGGAAAGAATATTTTCAAAACCAACTTGGAATAAATACACAAATTTATTTTATGATCAGTAGTGGAATACCGCTTTTTATCAGTGAAATAAAAGTGTTATTCCACTGGCTAGCAGTAGTCCATGTTGTTTTTACCTTAAATGATTGTAAAATCATAAAATAAATAGAACATTTGTCGTTTTGTCGTGAATAACATATTTTATTTCATCTCTAAGCAAGAAAACGTTTATATTTTCACTCATGCTATGCATTCGTGAAAATATAAGTTTTCTTGCTTCTCGATGAAATAAAATATGTTATTCACTCTAAAACGACAAATATCCTCTATGTATTGCAGAAAACTGGTCATGTCAAATACATACTTTAAAAATATATCAAAAAATTAAACAAGAATGATATAGGTGAAGGCAATATTATGCATATTCAAGGAATTTCAACATATGAAATGAAGGCTTTGCAGTTTGTATCATTATCATTCCTGGGATGAATGTATGCTTTTGAAACATTAAATATTTAATAGTTTTGAGAGAGTCAATGATTTGCATGATTACTGAACTCTCGTTGTATTATGATAATGGCCTTTGAAAAACCCATCAGCTAAAGCCGTCAATGTTGTCATTAACTTGAAATATGATAACATCCTTGGAAATGAAACATCAGCTAAAGCTGTCAATGTTGTTAATAACTTCTATTATGATAACGTCCTTGGGAATGAAACATCAGCTAAAGCTGTCAAAGTTGTTAATAACTTGTATTATGATAACGTCCTTGGAAATGAAACATCAGCTAAAGCTGTCAATGTTGATATTAAGTTTTATTATGATAACTTTCATGGTGCAAATATATATCAGATTAAGCAGACAGTGTTGTTAATAAGCTATTTTATAACTTCCTTGGAATAAAAATATCAGCTGAAGCAGTCAATGGATCACATGTATATCTGAATGAAACTGACATTTTAATAATTATAAAAATGACGCATATTGGATACTAATTGCTGTTTATCATAATTGAATATAATTTATAGAAAATTATAAATAGATAATAAAAAAGTAAAAAAGAATGTCTCAATATTTTATAAAACATATAAACATTTAGGACCAACAATACAAGTATAGTACTCAGTGGCGCAGTGCGATATGGGAACAGTCTTCCCTTGCTTTGTTTGGGAGGAGGAATGGCATTCCCTTGCTTTGTTTGGGAGGTGGGACAGCGTTCCCTCACAATTAAAAGTCTATATTATATCCAAGCAAACAAGATGTAATGAATGTTCTTAATTTAATTTTCAACTTAGTAATGTTAGTGTACAAACTATGAGGTATTACAATATAATGACATTACTTAATTATAAAATAAAATTTACATGTTTAGCTTATTTTACAGCAAGCGGTTATTCAACATACCCTCTCATTTTAAACATTATAAAAAAAAGACCAGGGAAAATGATACATCACATTAAGTATATAAAAACATAAGAAGAAAGGCCAGAAAGAAAGACTAGAAAAATGATACATTATGTTAAGTATACAAAAACAAAAATCTCCATTACCCATAGGTGAGGACTGTTAGATTTTACAGGTGTACAGGGGCAGGTACCCAAATTTCTCTGTTTTTGTATGAATATCACCAGACACCAATTTAGCTGAGTATTTCACGAAGTGACTTTCAAAGTTATTTTAAATTATAGAAAATTACAAAAAAATAAACAATATTTGTGAAATTAAATGAGATGGGGTTTAACATTCTACTGTTCTGCTCCGAACTGGGCTGATGAAGACGGGCATACGTCTTACAGGAACATTTTGCCTGGACAGCAGCACTATGACCTACTCTTATATCGAATTCCATCTGCCAAGGGAATAATTTAAGTGAGATTCTTGGTACCGCAGATAGGAATATATATATATTAGTCTTAAAGATTCTTAGTACTATAGAGGGACCCATGGTAGCTAAGTGAATAAGATGCTGGCTCGTTAGCATGGAGGTCGCGGGTTCACTGCTGGTTACCCCCCCCCCCCATCTCATTTCATCTTCAATACACCCCCACTGACCCAGATGTTATTAACCGTTGATCATAGTGTTTAACGTCCGCTTCCACCGAAGATGATATCACAGACAAGTTGTCTTATTTTCATTTTTAATATCTTAGCACACGTGCAAGGATCTTTCCTATGGGAGGAAAGCAGAACACTCCCACAAGGTTGAGAAGGCGCTCGTATCTCCAAGCCAAATACGCTCTCACCCGGGATGGAAACCACAACCGCAAGCCAGAGTTGAACGGCCAGCTAGAGGTCGAAGCGCAACACTCTAGACCATTAGGTCATCCCAACCCTCAAAGTCATTAACTGAAAACTGATAGTTATTTATAACCCTGCAGATACACGCCTATAAATATATATAATATACATAAAAATCACAATTTGAGAAACAAAACAAGACTCTTCTTGCTCTAGTACTTTCAATCCAATTAGGATCTCATCGGCCAATGAAATGGTCTGTTACAGCGACTTCTTGACGTGCCATGCACGGAACTGTGGGTAAACTACATAAAAACGTGGACGCTGATTGTTTTGATGAGAGGTCAAAAGGCGCTCGTAGGACCCCTGACACGACCTTCAAGTAAAACTTGTCAGATCTTCATGTAGTGCAGGCCATATAAAAAAACGAAACGAAATATAGATCTGTATTTAAATCAGATTGAACAATCACAGTGTTTATTTGGTTTTTATATGTGTGCAGATCTATGACTGGAGTTTAAATAAAGGTGCACTACACTACATGACTACCGGTATATATCTATTTGTCATGGCACGTATGTATTTAATTATATTTGGCTATTAAATAATCCTGAAAGATTTAATACTATTAATTAAAGATACATTCCCACGAAGGTATTCATAGGGTAGTTATTTCCAATTAAAGTATACAGTAGAGACACCCAAAACTGCAAGAATATATTGACCCCTGTGAACTCGGGGGGCTGGATTCCCCAAAAAACAAGCATGAGGCATGTACACACATGACAAATTTAAGAGGAACACGTTTGATAAATACAATAGTTTGAATATGTTTTTAGTCCAAACATATCATAAAATTACCCAGTTTGTACGTGGGAAGGCATCTTTAAGACTATCATATTTCACTACTATATACATATAGTCAGACTAAATCCACCTCAATATTAATTTTTTAGTAATTTTCAGGTTTTGATCGATCAATATAAAGGTGGATTCAAGACTTTCTTCGCCTCAAATCACAATTTCTATTCAACATATAACACACATCACATCACATACGTCTTTTAAACAAATTATCACTTAATACGACTTCAGACTTCAATGGTGATTAAAACAACAGAACTCTCTTATTTGGGTCAAAAAGAATAGTGTTGATTTGATTTCATGAATTTTAAAAGGTCAGGCACAACATCAAGAAAATCGTTACCTACCTAATTACAATCAGATGTTGTTATTTGTTTATTTGTATGGTCACTTCATCAAGAGAGAGAGAGAGAAATGGGGTTTAACGTCCACTCGACACAAAGTAGGTCATTTCGGGACATATGGTTTAATTTTATTTCTATAATTCGCTTGCGCGTAGGGGTCTTTAGCAGTGGGAGGAAACCGGAGGACCCAGAGAAAACCCACAAAGTTGGACAGGCGACCCTACTCCTTGTCACGTACAACCTCACTTCATCAACATGTACATGTAAATACAAGGTTAAGAAAAATAGACAAGCAAACAAATATCTCAATACTCAAGGTCTTTGAAAAGATTTTGTGAAATCTTCTGTATCACAGATTCTCATTGTTAGGTTGATACGGAAATACTTTCAGACAAAATTGAGGAAGAGTAAACAAAAGAAAAATATAGATTTAATTTAACTTGTTTCCAAATCCTGATTTGAGTTAGGCTCAAATGAAAAAGGGTTCTGTTCTTTTGAGATCATCAACCAAAATTTGCCTATTTTTCTTTTACAAAAACAATGAAGATATTTATGGATTATCTTCCGTAAGTTGTCTAATCTCATCAGCTAAAACTTTAGTGACGTGCATTGCTTGTTCAACTTCTACACCCCCTATCTGTTGTAAGGCTACAGCTGCTGCTTCACGGACGTGAGAAATAACATCATTACGCCTGCAAATAAAATAAATACAAATCAAATTTAATAATACATTTCTGCCTTCTCTTCTTTGATTTTTAAATGGCCATGGAATCTTTTATGTGCACTACCTCACCACCCCAGTCTTTTATGTGCACTACCTCACCACCACAGTCTTTTATGTGCTCTAGCTCAGTCCTTTATGTGCTCTACCTCAGTCCTTTACATACTCTACCTCAGTCTTTTATGTGCTCTAGCTCAGTCCTTTATGTGCTCTACCTCAGTCCTTTACATACTCTACCTCAGTCTTTTATGTGCTCTAGCTCAGTCCCTTACGTGTTCTACCTTAGTCCTTTATGTGCTCTACCTCAGTCCTTTATGTACTCTACCCCAGTCTTTTATGTGCACTAGCTCGGTCCTTTATGTGCTCTACCTCAGTCTTTTATGTGCTCTACCTCAGTCCTTTATGTGTAGTATTTTATCTACGTCATTCTTTTGACCCATCTGGACAAGTCAGAATTGAGCTTGACAAATATCAAAACTTATTCTCCGTCTAAATATGGAAGTGATAGAAAATAAACATACCACATATGAAGTAGCTTTTTAACGGCTTGTTCTGCATGAAGATGTCCCAGTGCCAGACATCCAGCCTCGCGAACCAATCTGTCTTTATCCATCAAAGTTCTCAATAGTTTGTTTAGTGATTGGTCATCATTTGCTTCTGTTCTAGCCAATGAAATAGCTGCTACAGCTCGTACATTTGCGTCTGGGTCTGTCAATAAATCTTGTAAAGCCTGAATAACGGGAGCACTTCGATATTTGGCTGAAAAACAACAATCATTGACAATTATTAGAATATAAACAGCCAACAGCAGACACAAGATACTTAAAGCACATGCAGCCAGTTTATTTATTTACAGAAACTGACAGTTCCCCTATTAACATCACAGTAATATTTTACTCAGGCAACAGCTTTTGTCTCTACTCTTCCTTCAAATTCAAACTGCAAAGGGTTCTTTTACATGCGCACCAACGTGAAAACGGGACCTTGATTTTTCGTTTTATCCAAAAGACTAGTCATATTTCTTTGCCAGGCCCTTAGTCCTGCACAACTGACCAGGGAAGCCAAAAACACAAAAAAAACAAACAGCTGGGATTTTCCCTTTAAATATTTATCAAAGAGCAGAGAATAATCTGGGATCTAGATTAAGACCACAAAAAGACAAAATAAAAAGAGTCAATGGCTAGACTATTTACCAAGATTTTCAATGGCTTCAACTCGTACGGAAGAGTCCATGTCAAATACTTCCTTCATGGCGTAACTTTCACGAGCCTGGTCTTCGATTCTCTTCCATAGAGGCTGTTCTTCATCATCAACCACACAAAAACCTAGAAACAATAAAAAAAAACCAAACCAAACTTTTAAATGGAAAGAAAAGAGATAGGATTTAATGTCTTGTTGACAATACTTAGTTGAATTTATAAGAAAATTATTTTGTGGTTTTTCCTTTAATAAACGTGGCAATAGTGGTGTCATTACAAAGCCCAGAAGGGAGCCACAAGTGTTCAGTGAGTAGGACGTTGGCTCGCTAACCTGGAAGTCCCTAGTTCGATCCCTGCGTTGGTAGAGAAAGTTCATCAGGATTTTCTGGTGTGATCCCCCTTGTCAGTGGTGTATGATGGAGGGCCTCCAGACTTCTCTTGGAAATAAGAGTAGGCTGTAGAGCCGCTGTCAGTGCAAAATCCCCCCCCACCCATGGCACATTGCATGGCATATGCCTGTCTTCATTAGCCCAGTAAGAGCAGAATAGTAGGATGTTAAACCCCATTTAATTTCACAGACATCCTTATAGTAAGGACCAGGGATCTCTGTACGATCATATCGGCCAGTCTGGTCTAAATGGCTTGTAAAATTTGCTATTTCAAAGAATTTGACATTAAAACATAATAAACACAGTAAAATTTTTAGATTTTATGCATAAAAGACTTAAAAGACCTGATGTGCCATTTGAAGCAATAAAAATAATAGTTCAATAGTGGTTCAATTCCTTCAGTTTTTACAAATATATGTGGAATTGAAATTTCATTGATCTATGCTGCTTTGCTATGAAATAAGGATGCCGTCATTTTGTTGTCGGGGGGTTGGATGGCTGAATGGTAAGCGTGCGCGCGCTGTATCATAAAGTCTGTCATTGAGTCGACTGCCATGGTTTCGAATCCCCGGTTGTACGTGACAAGGAGTAGGGTCGCCTGTCCAACCTCGTCGGTTTTCTCCTACTGCTAAAGACCCCTACGCTCAAGCGAATTATTGAAATAAAATTAAACCATATGTTAGTCCCGAAATGACGTAGTTTGTGTTGAGTGGACGTTAAACCCCATTTCTCTTTCTCTCCCCAATGCGCAAGCGAATTATTGAAATAAAATTAAACCATATGTTAGTCCCGAAATGACGTAGTTTGTGTCGAGTGGACGTTAAACCCCATCTTTCTCTCTCTCATTTTGTTGTCCACGAAAATTTAATAATAGGTCTGTTTTAAATCTGACTGAATGCTAGCTTGGACTTTATCTAGCATTGGTATTTTGAATTTGTTTCCTTAATTAAATAATCAATCGGAGTACATATTAGCGTGGCTTATGCGGTGAGAAATTTGATAGTTTGGCTACTTATTTATTGAAATAATGTCATATTCTTTGATATTAATGTTTGGTTAATAAAGGAACAGATTCATGTCACTTTATTCATAAAATATTCTTTAACGATTGAGAGTTAAAATCTAGGCATAAATTTTAGTTCTTAGCCATTGCAATGGCAGTCGAATTAAAATAAATTAGTTTCATTTTTTGTAACTAAAGCTCTTGGATCCTATTTCACATCATTTCACACAAAACGTAAATTTGCTATAAATATTTTTTTTTACTTTCAAATATATCAAAATGTAAAATATTGTCGTCTCCAACTTCCATCTCACGAAATAACACATCCATCAACCATTTTTCTTCTTCTGGATCAGAAAAAAGTTTCTTCATTGGAAATGCAAATGTTTTGGTAAGGGCATCGACAAATCTGTAAAATATACAAAAATGTGTGAAATTAAGAGTGAAATACGAATTCGCTTACTGCTACAATCAATAAACTTATACATTCCACTACATTCAGGGTAGAGGAAAGAAAATATTTTTGGAGAGAGAGAGAGAGAGAGAGAGATAGAGAGAGAGAGAGAGAGAGAGAAATGGGGTTTAACATCCACTCGACACAAACTAGGTCATTTTGGGACTAACACATGGTTCAATTTTATTTCTTTAGCAGTGGGAGAAAACCCATGAGGTTGGACAGACGACCCTACTCCTTGTCATGTACAACCGGGGAATTGAAACTCAATGCCAGACCTTATGATACAGTGCGCACGTGGTAACGGCAATCCAATCCCACTTTTTGGAAAGAAGGAGATATGTGGTGTTAGACCTATGTAATACAACTAGGGTCATTTCAGGATGAAATATATATAACTACACTGGTAAATTATTTTACTGGAGAGTCTAATAAGATCTTTTTATCAAACAGTACATTACTGGGTCCAGTTGATTGACTTGATTAATGGTTATAATATCAATTCAATGTAGCAAATATTATCAGGCATTCAAATACGTTATCTGGTTATAGGGTCATTCAGTGTCAAATCAATCAATGAGTTAAACTCAATTTTTCTGAAATCTGGATTATATGCTTATTTTAGGGTTTAATGTCCACTCGACGCAAACTAGGTAGTTTCAGGACTAACACATGGTTCAATTTTATTTCAATAATTTAGCAGTGGGAGGAAACCAGGGGACCCGGAGAAAACCCTCGAGGTTGGACAGGAGTCCCTTCTCTTTGTTACGCACAACCTTGGAATCGAAACCACATCAGCTGACTCAATGACAGACCTTATGATACAACATGCACATGCTACTGATTCGGATATCCAACCCCTGGTTCAGAAATTGAATTATCAGGACTGATACCTTACATGATATCGGGACTGACATCTTACATTCTATCAGGACTAAAAGTATAGTTAATTTTTCATTAGAATGAGATTTTTTCTAGATTTGGGACCCACAATGGCTCAGTAAATAAGGCATTAACTTGCTAACCTGGATGATCTGTGTTCGATTCCTGCGTTGACCGAGAAAGTACATTGTCAATTTCTGGCATGGTTTCCCCTTGTCAGCGGTGTATGACGGAGTGTCTGATAAGGAACAATGTATAGTCGTTTGGATGGAACAAACAAATGAGGTCCTTTGAGCACATTGGTTGCAGGTAAAAGAACCCTTGACAGTTGGAATTTGAGCATACATGGCGTATGTGCATATTCATTAGTGCACTTAGTAAATGAAATGAAATGAAATGGGGTTTAACATCCTACTGTTCTGCTCCTAAACTGGGCTAATGAAGATGGGCATACGCCATACAGTGTGCTATCGCCTACTCTTATATCGAATTCTAACTGCCAAAGGATCTTTTACGTGCATTCCAATGTATACACAGGAGCTCGTTTTTTTCGTCTCATCCGAAAGACTAGACAGCTGTCCTTGTCGGGCCCTCTGTTCTGCACCACTGACAAGGGGGGAACCACGTCGGAAAATCCAGATGAACTTTCTCGGCCAATGCACGGATCGAACACCCGACCTCCAGGCTAGAGAGCCAGCATCTAAACCACCTAGCCACCGTGGCTCCCAGCGCACTTAGTGCAGAGCTGAAGGACGCTAAACAACATTTCATTTCATTTCATTTTTTCTAGATTCACTTACTTGTTCCAATCTACCTGATCTTTATTAAACCTGTCCTTCCAGAATTTAGTTGGCAGAAGTTCAGTTGCGTTATCTTCAAACGAGCGATTATAATTTGGTGCTTTACGGTAAATATTTTTACGTGACATTGACCTTTTAAACTCTTTCTTTTTATCAGGGCTACCTGCAAAATAAAGGTTTGAATAAACATGGTATAATAGATGGCGCTACTAAACATGCTGATATGTTTGCAGATTTTCAAATTAAATAAAAATTGTGACATCTAGCTAAAAATGTGATTTTTCGTACAATCGGGTGAAATCTTTATACAACATTTAGTAATAGAACATATATGTTTTCCATATGAATTATGTTTTATAGTTCAATCAAGTGCAATAACCCATCAAGGTACTCTCCCATAGTTGTCATTGGGGATATAATCCTATATTTCCCTTTTCATCAAATGTGGACGTATAAACATAATAAAAATGTAGAGATGAATAAGGGAATTTCTGTCTCTATGTACCTGTGGTCTTCATTCTATAAAACTAAAATTTTTGGTTCTCTGCCTTGACTACACATTGCGGGTAATGGTGGCTAAGTGGGTAAGACGCTGGCTAGCTAGCCTGGAGGTCAAGTGTTCGATCCCTGCATTGGCCGAGAAAGTTGATCCATATTTTCCGGCGTGGTTCCCCCTTGTCAGTGATGCAGGACGGGGGCCTGACAAGGACAGGTGTCTATTTCGCATGGGAAGAAAAAGTGCACGTAAAGGATCCCTTGACAATTGGAATTCGATGTAAGAGTAGGCCGTAGTGCCACTATCCGGGCAAAATGTCACTCATAGCACACTGTATGGCGCATGCCCGTCTTCATTAGCCCAGTTCGGAGTAAGACATTAACCCCATTTCATTTCCTTTGATTAAACATTGCATAATAATACAGTTATTATCATTATTATGTACAGTTTTTCTAGAGTGTAACTATTCACTAAAGTGTTTACAATAAATGAATAATAAATGAACGCTTGTATAGCGCTAATTCCACACTTGCTTTAAATAAATTATGTAACAAATAATCAAGACTGTTTATGGGTATACCTGAGTTATCTGCCTTGCTTTCGTCATCTTCAGCTCTCTGTTTTAATTCAGACTGTAACATGGATAACAATTCGCTAAAACTTTCTTCAAATTTATCTTCATCAACGAAATTACTCCATTTATAACTTGCTAACTGTAACTTCCTGTAATAATAGGACAGATATCGTAGAATCACACAAAACTCGTAGTCTGTAGTCATCAACACCCAGTACCCTTGTATACCATAAAAACTAAATCAAATTTATTTCCATGGAACACCAAAATGATTAAATTCAAGAAATGTCTAATTAACAAAATACACAATTACTGTATTATAATAGGTTATATGTGTACAAAGTTTCATAAAGATATCTTAAAGAGTTGATGAGACAGGCCCCGGAAAAAGAGAACAATGGGGTTTAACGTCCACTCGACACAAACTAGGTTATTTCAGAACTAACATATGGTTTAATATTATTTCCATAATTCGCTTGCACGTAGGGGTCTTTAGCAGTGGGAGGAAACCGGAGGACACAGAGAAAACCCACGAGGTTGGACAGGTGACCCTACTCCTTGTCAACTACAACCGGGGAATCGAAACCCCGCCAGTTGATTAAATGATAGACTTTATGATACAGCGCACTTGCTAATCATTCAGCCATCCACCTCCTCCCCCGTATTAAACTGATATCTTGATATTAACAGTATATAAAACAACTCCTCAGTGCAACTGTATAGAACTTTTTCAACTTTGACATTGTCTCTTTATACAAATGGGCTTTAACGTCCGCTTGACACAAACTAGGTGATTTCGGGACTAACATATGATTGAATTTTATTTCATTAATTCACGTGTGCATAGGTGGGAGAAAACCCACGATATTAGGCAGGAGACTATTCTTTGTCGAAACCATGCCACATGACTGAATGACAGGTCATTTGACCACCGAACACTGTAAATTAGCGCTGGCTATTCACTTCCTCACAATTCGCGTATTGATTCATAAGACACTGAATTGATTTTTTTTTTTTTTGTCGTTGTTACTCTTAATTATCCACATAACACATTATGCATTCAGTAATTTATTAACCTGTCACTATTAACTATCCACATCACACATTATCCATAGGTACACAAACATTCTTAAATTATACTGGTCCTTATTTTGAACCACATCAATATCATGATATAAAACAGTTTTATTCTTCGACATCGGCAGGACTAAAAATATCAATTATTCATTTATCCTAAGTCATAATACATATGTTATCGTGACTGCAGTGGAAATACCCAGCACTACCGTAAAGATATGGAAATGGTCATAACATTCTACCTATGGTATAATATATATATAAACAAAATTAACTTACATTCCTGTGTCCATCAATGGATATAAACTTTCTTGTTTCTCTAGCGCGATGGGGAATATAGATGATGATGATATATATGCAAGAGCGAGCTCATCTTTACAATATTTTGATTTAACGGACGCTGAACTCACGATGGAAATAAACAACTGAAATCATAGAAAATAGAATATAAAAACTAAATCATAAAATATAGAGTAAACAACCGAATATAGAAATAAACAACCGAATATAGAAATAAACAACGGAAACAACCGAATATAGAAATAAACAACCAAATATAGAAATAAACAACTGAATATAGAAATAAACAACCAAGTATAGAAATAGACAACCAAACATAGAAATAAACAACCGAATATAGAGTAAACAACCGAATATAGAAATAAACAACCGAATATAGAAATAAACAACCAAATATAGAAATAAACAACTGAATAGAAATAAACAACCGAATATAGAAATAAACAACCAAATATAGAAATAAACAACTGAATAGAAATAAACAACCGAATATAGAAATAAACAACCCACTATAGAAATGAACAAATGAATATAGAAATAAACAACTGAATAGAAATAAACAACCAAATATAGAAAAAAACAACTGAATATGGAAATAAACACCCAAATAAAATGAAATTGAGGTACATTTCAGCACAAACCACAAGATGATTAGAATAAAGACAATACTTGAGAAATTGTTAGAAAATTATATAAACACTTTTTTTAAACACCTGTTTAATTCATAATTGGATACATCAATTAATGTATACATATTCAATATTATGACAAAGAATTACTTGTCACTCTGAAATCGTACATTTATCGCTAAGTATGCAGTAGCAAAGAATCTCTTATTGATCAATTTTTTGTTTGATCAATCAACGCAAGTTAAAATATCATGTGATCTTACGACATGGTAGCCAAGAAATCACATAATCAGCATGACAATCTCTGAATTGCTTGTATGTACAAACACTGGTTGCCTAACAACTGCTTGTAGTCAATTTATGTCAACTGTCAAACATAAATAGGATATACCCAGGGCCTTAACTAGCTCAGAGCAATGAGGGGGGCGGGAAGTGTGCTCAGGGGGTGCTGTAAAATTGACAGACAATGTATATCTATTGTTTTTATGGTTGACAATTTTTTCATGGTGGAGGGGGTGGGGGGCGAAACATTTTGCTGGGGGGGAACACCCCCACCTCTACTTACGGGCCTGGATATAACACAATCTCTTTGACTACAGGTTTTAAAGAATGAAAAAAAAATACCAAAATATAAAATCCGATCAAATCGATAATTAAATTTTGACCAATTTTATGATAGTATATTACCTTGGAATCAATGATGGCCTGTCCGATTTTATTAAGGAAATCCACACCTGCTTGTAAACCAGCTATATCAACCCAAACACTTATTCCACTTTCTTCTAATTTCTCTGGTAAATACCAAAATATAGACATGTATCAAAGATTAAAGATGCATTATGTAAGATTTAGATAAAGAGCTGACCAGTATTAGAAATTATAGTTTAGACTTAGATAATAAAAGAGGAATATATTAAAAATACATTACATAAGATTTAGATAAATAGCTGATCAGTCTTGCTATTATTGTTTAGTAATAGATAATGAAAGAGGAATATATTAAAAATTTCAGTCAAATTAGTGTATTCTGTGGCCTGAGCCAAGTTATCACTGTTTGTAGTTTTGACAAGATGTGTGTATCACGGTACTGGTATATTCAAGGCTTAGCCTCGCTTCTCCATTTTTAAATTAAATCATTCAATGGCCGAAACGTTCTAATCTAGTCAAAATCTTGTATATTCGAAGGCATCTAGAGTTAATTATGGTCTAGTCATGTTAATCAATGTCTAATTAATAATTTATATAACATTTAAAGCCTAAACAAAGAGCTGTAACAGGCATATTATCTGAATAATCAATAATTTAACAACTCTAAAATCAGAGTTAAAGGGACAAGTTTTGGTTTAAACAGTATTTTTTTTTACGAAAGTATTGTACACTTTAAAGGCATAAAGAAATGGATACTAGAACTAGCAAAGGAAATGAAATGAAATAGGGTTTAACGTCCTACTGTTCCGCTCCGAACCGTGCTAATGAAAATGAGCATACACCATACAGTGTGCTATGAGGGAAATTTTGCCTGGGCAGCGGCACTATGGCCGACTCTTATATCGAATTCAAACTGTCAATGTGTACATGGGACCTGTCCTTGTCAGACCCCTTGTCCTACATCACTGACAAGGGGAAACCACACCAGAAAATCTGAATGAACTTTCTCGGCCAAAACTAGCAAAGGAGGTGTATATTAATGTACTGTCTTGCAGAATGAAAATTTTTTATATGTACCTCTAAGTTTTTTCATAAATGGTGTATCAGCATGACTATAGCTGATCATGAGGTCTTTAGGTCCTTGACTTTGTTGTGATTCAGGTGATGGTTTTGGAGGTAGCGGAGGTTTCTGTAACTTCGGTGTGTCTTCTTTACATTCCGTAGATTTCGTCGAAACGACCGAAGAGTTTGGAGTACTCACGGTACTTCCCATATTACTTTTGTAAGCCATATACATTTATCTACAAAAATATACATAAATCGTAAACCTATTGATTAGTGATGATTATATATTGATTCAAATAAAGAGAGAGAGAGAGAGACACACACACACACACTAGGTCATTTCAGGACTAACATATGGTTCATTTTTTTTTCAATAATTCACTTGTGGGAGGTAACCGGATGACCTGGAGAAAATCCACGAGGTTGGACAGGCGACCCTACTCCTTGTCACGTACAACCATGAAATCAAAACCACGCCAGTTGACTTAATGACAGAACTTATGATACAGCGCACACGTGCTAACCATTCGGCCATCAAACCCCCCCACTCGAATGAAAAGAAAATGTAAACCTATTGATTACTAATACCACTGAATGAAGATTATATATTGATTCAAATGAAAAGATCAATTTTGGGATCCTGTTTAAGAGTTCTTTAAGTTGGATTGATCTCTTAAGGCCATACCAATTTTAACAGGGGGTTGGATGGCCGAATGGTTAGTACATGTGCACGCTGTGTCATACGGTCTGTCATGGAGTCAACTGGCAGGGTTTCGATTCCCCGGTTGTACATGACAAGGAGTAGGGTCGCCTGTCCAACCTCGTGGGTTTTCTCCAATGTCCTCCCATGCTAAATACCCCTACGCGGAAGCGAATTATTGAAATAAATAATTGAAACATGTGTTAGTCCCGAAATGGCCTAGTTTGTCTCTCCTCACTAATTTGAACTTTCGTTCTTTGGAAACGCCTCTTAAAATTTTGTGTCCTATCTTTGGGGGAAAAAATGATATTTTAAAAAACCCAAAAATACTTGGTTGCTCTTTTCAAAAGCTCTTAGTTCTGCAATTGTGACAAATTGCTCCATAACTCGTATCATAGGAAGTTATATTGTATACATGTAAAGTATTTATTTAAATGCATAGAACCAATTTGAACCCCACATACATGTATGCGAACTCATTGAACCCCCTATGTTACTGAGCTATGATATAAGATATGCTGTCCACACATGTATCTAATTACGGACGTAATAATTTCCACATGTAGTGACAATGTTCTCGATTAAATAGAATTAGCACAGTTAGCTATACAAGGGTATATAAGACCCCGTGCTGTCTGTAGTTAGCAGAGATGCAGATGAGAAAGGAGCGGGGAGGAGAAGCGACGCAGATGAGAGAAGGGCGGGGAGGAGAAGAGAGGAGCAGAGACTGGCGAATGGGTTTCAGTCGCAGCCGGAATGGTGTCTTAATGTACCATGTTCCTGATGTAAAAAAATAACATATTTACTAAACTGATCTCTGTTATCACTAAGATAGTGTTACACAATTCAAAGTATTGAAATTCTAAATATAACCTCCATGTGACACAAACTAGGTCATTTTGGAACTATTGTATGGTTCAACTTTAATTTAATAAGTCTTTATCAGTGGGAGGAAACCAGAAGAACCGGAGAAAACCTACGAGGTTTGACAGGCGACTCTTCTCTTGTCCTGTACAACTGGGGAATCGAACTACACCAGTTTCTTGTCAGGCCCTCCGTTGTGCACCACTGACAAGGGGAAACCACATCGGAAAATCCTGATCGAACATGTGACCTCGATGCTAGTGATCCAGCATCTTACCCACTTATCCACCGTGGCTCCTACATGTGGATGATAAACAAAACAAGTTTGAATATATCTAGAACAATCCCCTATTATTTCCAACAGGCTTCGTCAAGTTGCAGTCATGATAGGTTGAATACACTTACAAACTGTCTACAAACAAAATGGAGAGAACAGAATCCAAGCAGCGATTATACCAGGGTTCTTAATACATTTTGAAACGAATCGGCCAGATTTGGGTCAAATGACGTCCCGGTAGGAAATGGGTTTTAAAATTTTAAGCTTCCATTCCCTATACTATGTATAGTGCTAGCACCATTGGATAAAAATCTTATAATATAACTTGTTAAAGCTTCCATTCCCTATACTATGTATAGAGCAAGCACCATTGGATAAAAATCGAATAATAATATAGTAATGTTAGTAATTTAATCAGACATAGTTATAAGTCTATTAGTACAAATATTACCTCAGAATTAAGCTGTATTATAAATAAAACAGTAGTGCAAGTTATATTGAACTTTTTATACAGAAGTATGCAAATATTGACTGAGACTACTGATCAAACATCAAGTATATAAATAGTTAATTATTGATGTATTAAGCATTCATTACAATGTAAGGCCAAATAAACGAAATATTCTACTTCTCACTGATACTTCTTAAATAGGGCCGCATTAAAGTGGCATTAGGAGAGATTAAATAAAAAGCTGACAGTTCTCGCTACATGTATAATAGTTAAAAAATAGATAATGAAAAGAGAATATGTTGAAAATTTCAGTCAAATTACTTCATTCTGAGCCTAGATAACGCCGATACAATTATAGCCTTGCCTCGATTTTCATTACTACTGTTGTTACGATAATAAACAAAGTCTCATTTATCCATTTTTTCAGTTTAACTGCATCGACCACAAAACGTATTTAAATCTAATTATCGCAGCCATCCGATCGCATCGAGGGTTGATTATGATCTTGGTAAGTTAATTAATGTCTAATCAATAACTTATAATATACAATTCAAAAAAAGTAGGGGATATTTGATTTTGGGGGCATAATACTAAAATATGCAAATGACTACGAAAAAAGTCACTATAGAACCTAACAGAAAAAACATTTCCAGTTACATGTGACGCCCAAACGCACCAATAGCTACCGCATGGAATGCAGGTGATGCTTGGGATCATCATGGGGGTCCAACCCAAGATTTGCACGACTCTGACTTTGAATGTTACAGTCATTGTGGCATTGAATTCCAGGGTGGAAACATCAGTTTAATTGTTTTAGTGACCAGAAAACAAATTTTGATATGCGTCGGCTTACCCAAAATGAAAGGTTACGTGCCATTGGCATGCTACAGATCGGCACAACACAGGTGGTTGTGGCGCGGACGATTAATGTTTCTCAGTCTGTCATAAGCAGGCTATGGTCCAGATACCGTGATACACAATCTGTACAGGACAGACCACGCTCAGGTCGACCAAGGGCGACAACTCAAGCCCAGGATCGATTTATCCGTACCTTGGCCTTGAGAAATCGTGTCATCACAGCAAATCAGATCAGCGCTCGTCTTCAAACAGACACTGGTGTGAGAGTGAGTGGCCAGACGATTCGGAATCGACTGCATAGGGGTCACCTTCGCGCCCGATGTCCTCGCGTGATCCCTTGTTTGAGAGATCATCACATTCAGGCAAGACGTCGTTGGTGTAGGGATCGTCAACACTGGGATAATCGACGCTGGAGCAATGTGATGTTTTCAGATGAGTCAAGGTTCACTGTTGATTTTTTGGACAGACGTAGGAGGGTGTGGCGTCGTCGAAACGAGCGCTTCCAAGACGTTAACGTCATCAGACATGATCGATTTGGGGGTGGTTCTGTTATGGTGTGGGCAGGCATCACTGTTGCTGGAAGAACGGCTTTACATGTTGTTGCAGGGCGTGTTACAGGCCAGTACTACCGGGACAACATCTTGGCAGTCCATGTTGTGCCGTTCGCATGACGTCATGGCCGCCGTTTCATCTTCCAGGATGACAACGCAAGATGTCACAGGGCCAGGATCGTTACAGGTTACCTCCAACAACAGAACATCACCACATTACCTTGGCCAGCACTGAGTCCCGACCTCTCCCCCATCGAGCATGTCTGGGACATGCTTGGACAGAGGTTACGTCAACGTCAACAACGTCCTGCCAATGTCCAAGAACTTGCTGCTGCGTTGCAACAGGAATGGGACAATCTGGACCAAAATGACCTTAGACGTCTCATTAGGAGTATGCCACGTCGGATCAATGCTTGTTTGGCAAACAGAGGAGGATTTACCCGTTACTGACTTGGTTGTGATGCTGTGGTAACTTTGCTGTTTGACCCCGGGTATCATTTTACCCTTATAATGGTCAGTCTGTGCCTTACTTAGTCTAACGATCATTTGGAATAAATCGATGAATGTGAACTTCATTTCATTTTGTCATTTGTTTCTTCGTCAGTTTCATTAGGTGACTTTAATAACACTTAAAAATCAAATATCCCCTACTTTTTTTGAATAGTATATATTTCAGGCCCAAAGGAAGACCTGCAATAGGCAGATTTCTCTCTTGCATAATGCCTTTTTCAAATACACAAATCGATTAACCAATCAGCATCAGTGTTTCAATTTGTTTTCTATCGCTGTGAATGTCTATGAACTATGACTTGTGTTTTAATCAGATTGCGTTTTTTATTTTGAAAAATAAAAACATTACCGCACAATGCAGCACATAAATAATCATTTTCCCTTGGTACAGGAAGTAACTCTATAAAGGTAAATATCCCTGATAAATGCCTGTGTTATTTACAATAATAAATGATACTACAAATAAATCATATATTTATATAAACAACTGATGAGATAAATGCAGTGTCTTCAAATTCAAAGTTTAGGAGAAGTTATTTTGAATAGGAGTTATTCTTTGACAAATAAAAACACAAAAATAAACACCCTCCCTTCGATATTAGATTTTTGGGCAGGATTGTCTGAGAACCCGAATTGTTTTTTGGTATGGCCTGATATACCATACTTCCTGTATATAGCTTAGTCTATTTATATCATAATGTGGATCAACCATATAGTATAGGTTTAAAGGATTTATATATGTAAGCATATAAATACTAGATAATTACAGTTTTAATGAGGTCCTACAGTAATCTCCTACATGTATGTTCTAAGTTATAAACATAACGCTTGACATGTTGATCAGATGGCAGCTGTTCCTCGAAACACGATTTCAAAATACAAATTCAACAGGAGTCATTGGATGTAATAATAAGGAATCATAGGATGATTTACAAAACAGCAATATCACAAGTGTTTATTCATAACACTGCCAAGGCATAGACCCCCCCCCCTCCCCCAAGAGAGAGAGAGAGAGAGAGGGGGGGGGCTGTTAATGTCCAGGATACAAACTAGGTAATTTTTTGACTAAAATAATGTGTATACATACTGTTGTCCTGTTAGTAAATGTACATGTAATTTCTAGATTAAAATTATCATTTGTCTTATTTGTAAATATATATATCATTTGTCATATTGTTATAAATTTATGTAGGCCTACATGTTTATATTGTATGCTGTCTTCAATGGATGTTTTGATACAATAAAATCTTATCTTATCTATAATATAATTGGTGGACAAATTTAATTTCACTTTTCATTTAAAGGGACAATATCACTCTTGCTGGCTTGATAGCTCCAGAAAATAAATAATAGCCTTATTCTAAGTATTAGATGTTTAAGTGTCCTACCTGTTGTGTAAATTATCCATTACATCCTATTTTACTTGTCCAGAGGGTTCTAAAATATTTTTAAATCCAAGTCACATTTGAAAAGGTTTACGTTAGACTTTTCAAATCATTTAGTTGAATTTTTCCAATTTTTTAAATTAGGTGTGTTAAGATGAAATTTGTATCATCAATTAATTGGAATATTGTAAAATACCCAGTAGTACAATTTGTTGACCAGAATAAAGATTGGGACATATTATTCAGTTACAACAAGAGTGGTATTGAGCCTTTATAATCTATTTAAATAGTTAGTTAAGCCTCTAGGTCAGTAATAAGTTATTTTAGTGAACTGTCTATATTAGTAGACCTATAATGGTTATTTTGGGTTAATTAAAAAGTTATAGAACTTTTTAGTATATTAATTTCATACCTATCTATATTATGTCTGTTATTATAAAAAAAAGTTTAAGTTGCGCAATAGCAGACAAGTACTTACTCGTTTATTTACTATCCTGAAGAAAAAAAGAAAAATAACAATTTTATAAAATCAATAAATTTGTTACTGTTGTTAGGACTAGTTGATCTGTCACTGTCAGCATGCCGCCGATATATCGAAATATTCACTCAATCACGGTACAAGAAACGTCAAAAAAGACCTTTGAGTGCGGGACGCTCTGATAATTAACCCAATACAAATAGCCTGGCTTCATATGAATACAGGCATACAATTACATGAAAGATATATTTTTATATTACCATTATGACTATTCATCCACAACAGTATTCACTATGTATTGTCAAATATACTTTGCTTATTGAGAAATATTTATCGGGGAGGTAACTCCATATAAGTTATCTATAGTCTCGATTAATTAAACATAAACTTTAGCCTATCCCACATCACTAGAAACATTAATTTATTATTACGGTTATCAAATTCAACAGTGAAAATTCGCTGAATAGACATAGGTGGATAATCTCATTTATGTGGCTATATATTTGCCCGAAAATTTTCTTTGTCATCCGAATTTTTAGAATGAATCAATCATTAACTAAAACGAGTTTTTCACAAATATGTTATTGCGCGAGGTGGTATTATAGTAATTCAAAATGTAAACCGTGAGCGATTTCACTTTACAATTATATAATTAAACTTCTATGATATATGGTATGGTCTCATTCTCTTGAAGGGTTCATCGAATCTGGGGTGGGGGGAGGGGTGGGGAGATACAATATTATGTAGGAAACTATAGTAGGCTATTTGTTAAAAAGTAAAAGTATAACAGTACGGTATACATATAAATTCTTAGTTTTCAACAGAATGTCATAGACAACTATAGGAATATACTACTGACTTGAGACAATAAGTTAGTTCTATAGAAAACTATAGTTTTTACCACCAAATCTATAGGAATCACAGCTGACATGAGAATGCAAGTTAGTTCTATAGCAAACTATAGTTTTTAGCACAAAGGCTGTAGAAAACTGAAGGATTACTCAACTGACTCGAGGATACCAGTTAGTTCTATAGCAAAACTATAGCAGCACCAATGAATCTGTAGGTTTATTTTTTTCCCAATAGTTTCTTACAGTATTCTATAGAATTCTATAGGAAATTACACTTGGAAAATATTCATCTACCAATCCTACACAAAACTATAGTACATGTTTTTGAATCTATAGTCATGTAAAAAAAATACAGAATGAATTCGTTTCCTGCAGCATTCTATAGCATTCTATAGAATCCCGCAAACTTGTATAGAAACCTGTACTTTTTCTATAGGACTTTTATATAAGGGGAGGGGAGCTGCAGAGGCCTCCAGCCCCCCCCCCCGGCTCCTACGACTGTGGCTCTATGACCTGTTCTCATTTCGAATTACGAGTTTTCTTTCCATGCGCGATAACCTACATGTGGCCTTTGCTTTTCAACCATCCGAGCGACTAGGCGTGGTTTCTTGCTGCAGACTCTCCATCCTGCACCATTGACAAGCATGCACCATTGACAGGGTTGGGGAGTTGGGAGTACGGACTGCAGGGGACAGGGGGCAGGAAAAGTTTGACAATCAACTTTTACGGGCAAACCGGTTCGGTAAAGTGAAGAAAAAAATGTAAAATATACTCTTGGGGAACAAATATGTGCATGGTCTTCTATAGACAGACAGTCGTCGAAATAAAAGTACTCGAAATCCAGATTACCAGTATTGTATAGTTATATCTGGTGCAAACATATACGTATCTATCGCTCGAAAATTAAATATAGCTCTAGTGCTGCTTATTATGAGACGCACAATACTAGATCTTTGTACCATCTGGAAAATATCTTTTTCTAGGGTTAGGGTTCGGGTTAGGTTTACAAATTACATGTCAAACGTACAAATTGAAGCTGTAAAAACGGTGGATTGTGAGTAAAACTATTCTGACGGGTTAGGGTTAGACTTGTGGATATAAACACGGAAATATATTTTTCCAGATCGTACAAAGATCCAGTATCGTGCTTGTGAGACATGTTTTCTGGCATCATCAGTTTTCTGGAAATGAAATTTCTGGTGTCCTGTGAATGCAGCGGCAATAGTCCAATTGACTGATTAGAATCAAGGGGGTATATATAGAGTGGGGTTTTGGCTATATTCGACCACCTTTCCAGTTGCCATACTCCCGGACGGAGTAGAAGGAAAACACGCTTGTGGCCTAATACTCTCTAAAGGCGCGCTTCGACACTCCCCATTCCAGAGACGGTTCTGCAGACCTCGACTCCACTCACAACATAAATTACAAAAATATAATGAGCCTATATTTTGCCTCACTGTCTAGTTTCTGTACTTCTGGTCGGAATAGCTGCAGTAAAACGCAATTGCCGCCGTCTATTTTCAAAATTTTCTGGGTGAGGCCGCGGCCTTGAGACGGCAATTTTTTTCGGCCAATTGAATTCTGCTTCTGGCTTGGGTGCGGGACAACGGGACGGGTAAGTAACAGTTTCTAACGATGTTAAAAAAAACCACGCTCTCGTTTACACCTAAATAACCTTTGGCAGTTAGAATTCAAAATCGGGGAAGGCCCTGTCCGGGAAAATGTCCCTATAGTGCACGGCATAACACATCCCCATCTTCATTGCCTGCTTATTGCGCACAGAGGTAAACCGTGAAACCCCTCAAAATCTACAGAAAACTTGGATGCCTATGTGGAAAAATCAGACATGCATTTCTTCTCGGTGAACAACATTTCAAATGGCAAACAAACAGGTCCAGTCATTACCATTTACCAGAGGTGAGAACTCGAGTCCCGCGATTCGGATTCGAGTCCGACGTAATTCGCGTCAATGACCCAACTTGCGACTCGAGACAAGCCTCGAACTTGAAAGAACTTAGGACCCGAAGGGGGCATAACACTAACTTACCCTATTCGACATGAACTGGTGACTCAATTGATGAACTGGCGACTTGAGCGGGATTCGGGCCTTGTGAAGACTTGGGACTGATCGACTTGACTCGGTACCAAAGTCAACAACTTGGGACTCAATTCGGACTTGACGTGTGGCGACTTGGGAGGCGACTCGAACTCGACGTCTCGCGACCTGTTCCCACCTGTGCTCCCTTGGACATGTTTTGGAAGGTATACATAGAGATATACAATCAATATGCCGACTTCGTTTTTTGCCAGATTTAAGTAACAAAATTATTGGATATCTACAGTTTGTTGCTAAGGCGACATGGCTGGGCTGCGACGTAATAAGGTTCCAAATTGTATGTAGTACAAGAATTAATAAAGAAATACAAAACCAACTACAATATTCATTAAAATGTTTTATTTTTTCCAAAACATGTTATCTAATATTCTTCTCCACCCTCTTCTTCTCCTTCACCTTCAACAGAATCAACACCAACTTCTTCATAATCTTTCTCTAGAGCAGCCAAATCTTCTCTAGCTTCAGAGAATTCACCTTCTTCCATACCTTCACCAACATACCAGTGGACGAAAGCTCTCTTAGCGTACATGAGATCAAATTTATGATCTAGGCGAGCCCAAGCTTCAGCAATAGCAGTAGTATTACTCAACATACAAACAGCTCTCTGAACCTTGGCTAAATCACCTCCTGGTACAACAGTTGGTGGTTGGTAGTTGATACCTACTTTAAAACCAGTTGGACACCAGTCAACAAATTGGATGGTTCTCTTGGTCTTGATGGTGGCGATGGCGGCGTTGACATCCTTGGGGACGACATCTCCTCGGTACAGCATACAACAAGACATGTACTTGCCATGACGTGGATCACATTTTACCATCTGGTTGGCAGGTTCAAAACACGCGTTGGTGATTTCAGCCACGGTAAGTTGTTCATGGTATGCTTTCTCGGCTGAGATAACTGGGGCATAGGTAGCTAGAGGGAAATGGATACGTGGGTAGGGAACCAAGTTGGTCTGGAACTCAGTAAGATCAACATTAAGGGCACCATCAAATCGTAGAGAGGCGGTGATGGAGCTGACAATCTGTCCAATGAGTCTATTTAAGTTGGTGTAGGTTGGACGTTCAATGTCCAAGTTACGGCGACAGATGTCATAGATAGCTTCATTATCAACCATAAAGGCACAGTCAGAATGCTCCAAGGTGGTGTGAGTGGTCAGGATAGAGTTGTAGGGTTCTACAACAGCTGTGGAAATTTGTGGTGCTGGATAAACGGCGAATTCTAACTTGGATTTCTTGCCATAGTCGACACTCAATCTTTCCATCAGAAGAGATGAAAAACCAGAACCGGTTCCACCACCAAAACTGTGGAAGATGAGGAATCCCTGAAGACCAGTACATTGATCAGCCAATTTCCTGATTCTATCCAGGACCAAGTCAATGATTTCTTTACCAACAGTATAGTGACCACGAGCGTAATTATTTGCGGCATCTTCTTTACCAGTGATGAGTTGTTCAGGATGGAAGAGTTGGCGGTATGTACCAGTTCTTACTTCATCTACAACCGTTGGTTCCAAATCAACAAACACAGCTCTTGGTACATGTTTACCAGCACCGGTCTCACTGAAGAATGTGTTTTAGGAATCATCTCCACCACCAATAGTTTTATCTGATGGCATTTGACCATCAGGCTGGATACCATGTTCCAAACAGTACAACTCCCAACAGGCGTTGCCCATCTGGACTCCGGCCTGACCGATGTGAACAGAGATACACTCACGCTGAAAAGGACAAAAGAAAAATTGGTTAACTATTTGTATTAATCATCCTCCCAAAATTATTAAATTGTGTTCATCAGTAAATTCCTTAATCGTGGATATCTAAAATGGTATCAGTTGCAATATACTTTTTTACTAGTTTCACTTTAGATTTGAGTACTGTGCCTATACTTGATCGAATACAAGGGTGTTACTCGTCTCATCCGAACGACTAGGCGAAAATTCCTTTTCAGGCTTTCGATCCTACATTATTGGGAACAACCAAACCACGGACAGTGACAGCTAGACTGACAGCGAAATGCAAAGAGGAAAATCTTAAAATCATCGTTCTATTAACAGACAGATACTGATTCGTAAAAATATTATTAAATATGACTTACCATATTGAAGATTAAAGTTTGTCGTGAAATAAATAAATAAACAGCTTGCTATGACTGATGTTTGTCAGAAGGCAAGTTAAAGTAAATGATAACTTGAACTCAACAGTTGGTAGTTTATATACTGTAATAATTGTTGTCTATAGTAACCCTTTAAACATCACTAATCTTAGTTTACATAGAAACAGCTAGATCAATTAGACATCGGAGAAACCAATACTGTGGTCCACAAGGGATTATCTAATCGCCTGTTAACACGATAATCTTGTAATATTAGTTACACAGAAACAGTCCAATCAATTAGGGATCACAAAAATTAATTCAATTACTAAGAAACTGTGGTTAACAAGGGATTAGGTAATCACCTGTTAACACGGTAATCTTGTAAACAAATTAATGATATTGCCTACACTACACTGCTGGGAATTTATGTATTAAGTTCATTAGTTTTATTTCTAGATCTACCCCCCCCCCCCCTCCTTCCCCCCCCCCCAAAAAAAAAACCACAACATTTTGTCAGTTTACACCACTGTATATAGAATTACGTAAGACCAAATAAATTATTTTACTATCATTAAATAACAATTAATAATATACAAAAGAAACAACGTAGTCTTAAAAACAGGAATACAGAAACACTATACAAGATTTCATAGAAAAATGTAGTAAATAAGACTAGAATTTAGAGACAAATGTAAAAGAAAACAATTTTTTTCATTATTATAATCGATTCCCCGGTTGTACGTGACAAGGAGTAGGGTCGCCTGTTCATCTTCGTGGGTTTCCTCCGGGTCTTCCAGTTTCCTCTCACTGCTAAAGATCCCTACGCGCAAGCGAATTATGGAAATAAGACTGCAACATGTGTTAGTCCGGAAATGACCTTGTTTGTGTCGCGTGGACGTTACCCCCCCCCCCCGCTCTCTATAATATAATATATAAACGAGATTAGTAATAACAAAGTATTTAAAAAACAATCTGCTACAAATTGTAGCCTCTATATATTGCGTTAACAATGCCTCAGGAAAAGGGTGGGGAGGGGGAACTTAGGAACGAAAGGACGCAGAGACCCCAGTGCTTCTTTAAATTTTTCTAGAAAGTGGTTGTGTATAATATATTCTAGTAATCATGGATGTCTATCGAACAGTCAATCGTGTTTTGTTGAGGGGTGTAGGTGTAGTATGTATAAATTATCTCTGTGCATATCTGAATTATAATGGTTATTATGACATAGTTTTAAATTTATGAGTTCAACCGCCTTATTTACTGAGAGAGAGAGAGAGAGAGAGATGGGGTTTAACGTTCACTCGACACAAACTAGTTCCTTTCGGGACTAACATATTGTTCAATTTTATTTCCATAATTCGCTTACGCGTAGGGGTCTTTAGCAGTGGGAGGAAACCGGAGGACCCGGAGAAAACCCACGAGTTTGGACAGGCGACCCTTCTCCTTGGCACGTACAACCGGGGAATCGAAACTCCGCCAGTCGACTCAATGACAGATTTTGTGATACAGCGCACACGTGCTAACCATTCAGCCACCCCCTAACTCCACAGGTGAGTATGGTGTTGGCCTACTAATCAGGAGGCCCAGGATTCAATCATGGTATAAGCCGGGACATTGTCTGACCTGGCAAAAAAAAAGCGTTTACATATGGGAAAACCCACGATTACGTATAATGATCCCCTGGCAGTTTAAAACCGAAACAGCTTCTGAAATCCAAGTTTTTAAGCTACTGCCCCAGTTATCCGAGTAGTTACGAGCGAGTACTCATGAAACTATTGCCCATTTAAAGAGTTGACATAGCTATCAATTATTGATTAAATTTTGTATTAACATGACGTAATTAGATAACGATGCCTTATCATTCTCAACATTTTATTAATTGTCATTAATTTTGAATACAGGAACCGTACAATACAAAAACATTTATATTTTCATAAAATTTCCTCATCTATCTATATTATCTATCTATATATATATTTGTGACTGTCGTTTGTCTGTCTGTCTGTCTGTCTGTCTGTCTGTTCGGGGTTGGCGGCTACACTAGGTCTGCCCCGAGTCTGAAATTTGGGGTATAGGGGTAGCTCGGACCGGGGAGTAGCATAGGCCAGGTGGCGTTAGTCTACCACTTCCGGTTTCGGAGTTATGACCCCCGAGCGAAGCCGGTCTGTTCGGGGTTGGCGGCTACATCTGCCCCGAGTCTGAAATTTGGGGTAAAGGGGTAGCCCGCACCGGGGAGTAACATAGGCCAGGTGGCGTTAGTCTACCACTTCCGGTTTCGGAGTTATGACCCCCGAGCGAAGCCGGTCTGTTCGGGGTTGGCGGCTACACTAGGCCTGCCCCTTGTCTGAAATTTGGGGTATAGGGGTAGCTCGGACCGGGGAGTAACATAGGTCAGGTGGCGTTAGTCTACCACTTCCGGTTTCGGAGTTATGACCCCCGAGCGAAGCCGGGTATCCTGCTAGTTTCTCATAAAATTATCATAAAACGGAAAAATATCATAAAAAAATATGAAATTTCGCTATTCTTATCCGCATAACACTGGCTGAACACTACTTCATGGACAGGAGTTATTCATTCTCAATGTAATTTTATAAAAAAAGATCATAATATTTGATTATAATAAAAAGTCATGAAATGTGATACAAATATTATAAAAATATCATAATATTTGATAAAAATCATAAAATAATCATAAGTTTTGATAGAAAAATATCATAAAAATCATAAAATTCCCCTTGAAGCTTTCATAAAAATATACATTTTTGACAAAAATCTGTGTACGGTCCCTGTGAATAATGTAATATATTATTTTCATAATAACCTCACGAAAAAAAAAGTTCGAAGCACTTGTCTATTAGATTAAATTATATTTAAGTTAAAGGGTTTAATTATCCAGTTCACCACTGCTTAATCCATGCCAATATACACCCAAATAGATTATTTACTCCTCAAAATACCAACGCTAGGATTCAATGGGATTTAAAACAGGCCTATCATTAAATTTTCACGTACAACAAAATGGCGCTGGAATACGAACATAGTGAGCAGCATAGATTGATGAAATTTCAATTTGGTAAATACTAAACGGAAATGAACCATTTTTGGACTTATATTTCTTTTAGAGATTCATCTTTCACCATATTGTAGCTTAAATGGGATTCTGCTTAAATATGGGTTATGTAAGATTTAGACAAAGAGCTGACAGTTCTCGCTATAATAGTCAAAAACTAGATAATGAAAAGGGAATATTTTGAAAATTTCAGTCAAATTACTTCATTCAGAGGGACTTTAGGGCTGTTTGGAGAATAGCGGAGTCTCGATTGTCATTGCTACCGTTGTTACGATAATAAACAAAGTCTCGATTATCCATTATTAATTAAATCATTAACCGCCAATATTGTTTAAATCCGTTGAAAATCTAGAGCACGAGTGTTTGACGATGTAGCGCAGATCGTTTATTATCGTAGCATCGATACTTGACAACCGAGACTAAGTCTCTAAGATCCATTTCATCGTTTACGTTTTAAATCCCGCTGGTGCTGAAATCCATTTAAATCGCGACAACCCGATAATCTAGAGAGTTGATTATAGACTTGTTTTGTGAAAAAAAGGCTAAATTATAATTTATGTAAGATTTGAAACCAGAAATGACCAGAAATGGACAGATTTAGCCCTCATATAATGCATATTTAAGTGATCTTCCCTTTCTCCATAGTTTAAAATTAAAAGGAACAGACTAATATGACACAAAGTCATTATACAAAGACGAGGAAATGAAATGAAATGGAGTTTAACGCCCTGCTTTTTTTGTGCCATCCGGGTCAATGAAGGAGGGCATGTGTCCTGCATTTTGATTCCAACTGTCTAAAGTGTACATCGATGAGTACAACACGGGACACGGTTTATCGTTCCATCCGAACGATGTTCCTTCTCCCAGCCCCCCAGTCCCAATCCTTCACTTGGCTGACAAGGGTAAACAAATTAAATAAGGCTATATTAGACCATTGTCTAGTTGCCATTTTATTTTCAAAATTTTCTGGAATATGATAAAAGCACCCTTGGCATCTGGAACAGGCCGTAGCGCGCCAATGTCCAAGCAAAATGCCCCCCATAGTGCATTTCATTAGGCTGGTTGCTGCAGAAACGTAAACCGTTAAACCACTAAAAATCTACAAAAACCTAGATGGCTAGATGAAGTGCATTTCTTTGAACGACATTTCAAATAACAACAAAAAGTCCCAGTCATCAACATTCAGCGGCAATCTTTGTGTTATTGGTAATCAACTACCGTATACTATACAATAAAGATGTCGACCTTGTTTTTGGTGAGATTTGGGTTCGTGTATCTATGGCGACATGAAAGACCTCTAAATTGTTTTTACGACGTAATCAAGTTCAAACTTGTATGTGATTAACCCCCGGACAGTGGGCAGTGAGGCCCTTCATGGAAGAAATATAAAACCAACTGCAATATTCATTAAAATGTTTTATTTTATCCAAAACATATTATCTAATATTCTTCTCCTCCCTCTTCTTCTCCTTCACCTTCGACTGAATCAACACCAACTTCTTCATAATCTTTCTCTAGAGCAGCCAAATCTTCTCTAGCTTCAGAGAATTCACCTTCTTCCATACCTTCACCAACATACCAGTGGACGAAAGCCCTCTTAGCGTACATCAGATCAAATTTATGATCCAGACGAGCCCAAGCTTCAGCAATAGCAGTAGTGTTACTCAACATACAAACAGCTCTCTGTACCTTGGCTAAATCACCGCCTGGTACAACAGTTGGTGGTTGGTAGTTGATACCTACTTTAAAACCAGTTGGACACCAGTCAACAAATTGGATGGTTCTCTTGGTCTTGATGGTGGCGATGGCGGCGTTGACATCCTTGGGAACGACATCTCCTCGGTACAGCATACAACAAGACATGTACTTGCCATGGCGAGGATCACATTTTACCATCTGGTTGGCAGGTTCAAAACACGCATTGGTAATTTCAGCCACGGTCAGTTGTTCATGATAGGCTTTTTCAGCTGAGATAACTGGGGCATAGGTAGCAAGAGGGAAATGGATACGTGGATAGGGAACCAAGTTGGTCTGGAACTCAGTAAGATCAACATTAAGGGCACCGTCAAATCGTAGAGAGGCGGTGATGGAGCTGACGATCTGACCAATTAAACGATTCAAGTTGGTGTAGGTTGGACGTTCAATATCCAAGTTACGGCGACAGATATCATAAATAGCTTCATTATCAACCATAAAGGCACAGTCAGAATGTTCCAAGGTAGTGTGAGTGGTCAGGATAGAGTTGTAGGGTTCAACCACAGCAGTGGAAATTTGCGGTGCTGGATAAACGGCAAATTCTAATTTGGATTTCTTGCCATAGTCGACACTCAATCTTTCCATTAGAAGAGATGAAAAACCAGAACCGGTTCCACCACCAAAACTATGGAAGATGAGGAATCCCTGAAGACCAGTACATTGATCAGCCAATTTCCTGATTCTGTCCAGAACCAAGTCAATGATTTCTTTACCCACGGTGTAATGACCACGAGCGTAATTATTGGCGGCATCTTCTTTACCAGTGATGAGTTGTTCAGGGTGGAAGAGTTGGCGGTATGTACCAGTTCTTACTTCATCTACAACCGTTGGTTCCAAGTCAACAAACACAGCTCTTGGTACATGTTTACCAGCACCAGTCTCACTGAAGAATGTGTTGAAGGAATCGTCTCCACCACCAATAGTTTTATCTGATGGCATCTGACCATCAGGCTGGATACCATGTTCCAAACAGTACAACTCCCAACAGGCGTTGCCCATCTGGACTCCGGCCTGGCCGATATGAACAGAGATACACTCACGCTGAAAAGGACAAAAGAAAAATTGTTTAACTATTTGTATTAATCATCCTCCAAAAATTATAGAAATTATTAAATTGCGTTCATCAGTAAATTCCTACACATGGATATCTAAAATGGTATCAGTTGCAATATACTTTTTTACTAGTTTCACTTTAGATTTGAGTACTGTGCCTATACTTAATCGAATACACGGGTGTTACTCGTCCCATCCGAACGACTAGGCGGAAATTTCTTTTCAGGCTTTCCATCCTGCACTATTGGGAACAACCAGACCACGAAGCTTTCCTTTAGGGGGTTAACAGTGACAGCTAGACTGACAGCGAAATGCAAAGAAGAAAATCTTAAAATCATCGTTCTATTAACAGATACTGGTTCGTAAAAATATTATTAAAAATAACTTACCATATTGAAGATTTATGTTTGTCGTGAAATAAATAAATAAACAGCTTGCTATGACTGATGTTTGTCAGAAGGCAAGTTAAAGTTAATGATGACTTGAACTCGACAGTTTGTAGTTTATATACTGTAATAATTGTTGTCTATAGTAACCCTTTAAACACCACTAATCTTAGTTTACATAGAAACAGTTAGATCAATTAGACATCAGAGAAACCAATACTGTGGTTAACAAGGGATTATCTAAAACAATAATCTTGTAATATTAGTTACACAGAAACACCCAACATTTTTTTTTTTCAGTTTACACCACTGTATATAGAATTACGTACATTTTTTTACTATCATTAAATAACAATTAATAATATAGATATTAATAATAATATTAATAATAATATAAAAAAAAGAAACAACGTAGTTCTAAAAACAGGAATACACAAACGCTATACAAGAATTCATAGAAAAGTGTAGTAAATAAGACTACAATTTAGAGAAAAATGTAAAACAAAACAATTTTGTTATTATTGTAATATATGAACTGGCTGGGTATCGAATCCCCGGTTGTACGTGACAAGGAGTAGGGTCGCCTGTCCAACTTCGTGGGTTTTCTCGAAATGACCTAGTTTGTGTCGAGTGGACGTTACTCTCTCTCTCTCTCTCTCTCTCTCTCTCTAATATAATATAAACAAGATTAGTAATAACAATATATTTTCAAGAAAGTGGTTGTGTATAATAAATTCTAGAAGTGAGACATTTGCCACGTAGTCATGGATGTCTATCGAAGTCAGTCATTTTTTGACGGGTGTAGGTGTGGTTTGTATAGATAATTTCTGTGCATATCTGAATTATAATGATTATTATGAAATAGTTTTAAATTTAAGAGTTCAACCGCCTTATTTACTGAGAGAGAGAGAGAGAGAGAGAGAGAGAGAGAGAGAGAGAGATGAGGTGAGTATGAGAGAGAGAGAAATGGGGTTTAACGTCCACTCGACACAAACTAGTTCCTTTCGGGACTAACATATGGTTCAATTTTATTTCCATAATTCGCTTGCGCGTAGGAGTCTTTAGCAGTATGAGGAAACCGGAGGACCCAGAGAAAACTTACGAGGTTGGACAGGCAACCCTTATCCTTGTCACGTAGTACAACCGGGGAATCGAAACTCTGCCAGTTGACTCAATGACAGACTTTATGATACAGCGCGTACGTGCTAACCATTCAGCCTTCCCACCACCCCAGGTGAGTATGGTGTTGGCCTACTAATCAGGAGGCCCAGGGTTCAATCACGGTGTAAACCGGGACATCGTCTGACCTGGCAAAGAAAAGCGTCTACATATGGGAAAACCCACGATTACGTATAATGATCCCCTGGCAGTTTAAAACCTAAATCCGCTTCTAAAATCCAAGTTTTTAAGCTACTGCCCCAGTTATCCGAGCAGTTACGAGCGACTACGCATGAAACCATTGCCCATTTAAAGAGTTGACATAGCTATCAATTATTGATTGAATTTTGTATTAACATAACATAATTAGATAACGATGCCTTATCACTCTCAACATTTTATTAATTGTCATTTATTTTGAATACAGGAACCGTACTATACAAAAACATTGATATTTTCATAAAATTTCCTCATTTCTCATAAAATTATCATAAAATGGAAAAATATCATAAAAAATATGAAATTTCGCTATTCTTATCCGCATAACACTGACTGAACACTACTTCATGGACAGGAGTTATTTATTCTCAATGCAATTTTATAAAAAAAGATCATAATACTTGATTATAATAAAAAGTCATGAAATGTGATACAAACACTATAAAAATATCATAATATTTGATAAAAATCATAAAATAATCATAAGTTTTGATAGAAAAATAACATAAAAATCATAAAATTCCACTTGAAGCTTTCATAAAAATATATATTTTTGACAAAAATCTGTGTACGGTCCCTGTGAATAATGTAATATATTATTTTCAAAATAACCTTACGAAGAACTGTTAGATTAAATTATATTTAAGTTAAAGAGTTTAATTATCCAGTTCAGCACTGCTTAATCCATGCCAATATACACCCAAATTGATTATTTACTCCTCAAAATACCAACGTTAGGATTCAATCGGATTTAAAAAAGGCCTATCATTAAATTTTCACGTACAACAAAATGGCGATGGGCTTATTACATAGTGAGTAGCATAGATGTATGCAATTTCAGTTTGGTAAATACTAAACGGAAATGAACCATTTTTGGACTTATATTCCTTTTAGAGATTTATATTTCACCATATTGTAGCTTACATGGGATTCTGCTTCAAATGCATTATGTAAGAGTTAGATCAAGAGCTGTCAGTTCTTCATGAAAAGGGAGTATCTTGAAAATTTCAGTCAAATTACTTCATTCTGAGCGACGTTAGGGCTGTTTGGAGAATAGCGGAGTCTCGATTGCCATTCCTACCGTTGTTACGATAATAAACAAAGTCTCGATTATCCATTATTAATTAAATCATTAACCGCCAATCGTGTTTAAATCCGTTGAAAATCTAGAGCACGAGTGTTTGACGATGTAGCGCACATCGTTTATTATCGAAGCATCGATACTTGGCAACCAAGACTAAGTCTCTAACATCCATTTCATCGTTTAAGTTTTAAATCTAGCTGGTGCTAAAATCCATTTAAATCGCGACAAACCGATGTTCTAGAGAGTTGATTATAGGCTTGTTTTGTGACAAAAATGGCAGAATAATAATTTATATAAGATTTGAAGCCCGAATTGACCTGAAATGGACAGATTTAGCCCTTAAGTAATGCATATTCAAGTGACCCCCCCCCCCTTTCTCCATAGTTTAAAATTAAAAGGAACAGACAAATATGACACAAAGTCATTATACAAAGACGAGGAAATGAAATGAAGGAGGGCATGTGTCCTGCATATTGATTCCAACCGTCTAGGGCTCTTTAAAGTGTACATCGATGAGTACAACACGGGACACGGTTTATCGTTCCATCCGAACGATGTTCCTTCTCCCAGCCCCCCCAATCCCAATCCTTCACAATCCTTGACAAGGGTAAACAAATTAAATAAGGCTATATTAGACCATTGTCTAGTTGCCATTTTATTTTCAAAATTTTCTGGAATAGGATAAAAGCACGATTGACATCTGGAATAGGTCGTAGCGCGCCGATGTCCAAGCAAAATGTCCCCTATAGTGCATTTCATTAGGCTGGTTGCTGCAGAAACGTAAACCGTTAAACCACTAAAAATCTACAAAAACCTAGATGCCTAGATGAATGTCTTTGAACGACATTTGAAAAAACGACAAAAAGTCACAGTCATCAACATTCAGCGGCAATCTTTGTGTTATTGGTAATCAACTACCGTATACTATACAATCAAGATGTCGGCCTTGTTTTTGGTCAGATTTGGGTAACTGTGTGTATCTATTGCGACATGAAAGGCCTCTAAATTGTATATGCGACCAAATCAAGTTCAAAATTGTATGTGATTACCCCCCGGACAGTGGGCAGTGAGGCCCTTCATGGAAGAATGATAAAACCAACTGCAATATTCATTAAAATGTTTTATTTTCTCCAAAACATATTATCTAATATTCTTCTCCTCCCTCTTCTTCTCCTTCACCTTCAACAGAATCAACACCAACTTCTTCATAATCTTTCTCTAGAGCAGCCAAATCTTCTCTAGCTTCAGAGAATTCACCTTCTTCCATACCTTCACCAACATACCAGTGGACGAAAGCTCTCTTAGCGTACATCAGATCAAATTTATGATCTAGGCGAGCCCAGGCTTCAGCAATAGCAGTAGTATTACTCAACATACAGACAGCTCTCTGTACCTTGGCTAAATCACCTCCTGGTACAACAGTTGGTGGTTGGTAGTTGATACCTACTTTAAAACCAGTTGGACACCAGTCAACAAATTGAATAGTTCTCTTGGTCTTGATGGTGGCGATGGCAGCGTTGACATCCTTGGGAACAACATCTCCTCGGTACAACATACAACAAGACATGTACTTGCCATGACGAGGGTCACATTTTACCATCTGGTTGGCAGGTTCAAAACACGCGTTGGTGATTTCAGCAACGGTCAGTTGTTCATGGTATGCTTTCTCAGCTGAGATGACTGGGGCATAGGTAGCTAGAGGGAAATGGATACGTGGATAGGGAACCAAGTTGGTCTGGAACTCAGTAAGATCAACATTAAGGGCACCATCAAATCGTAGAGAGGCGGTGATGGAGCTGACGATCTGTCCAATGAGTCGGTTTAAGTTGGTGTAGGTTGGACGTTCAATGTCCAAGTTACGGCGACAGATGTCATAAATAGCTTCATTATCAACCATAAAGGCACAGTCAGAATGTTCCAAGGTGGTGTGAGTGGTCAGGATAGAGTTGTAGGGTTCTACAACAGCAGTGGAAATTTGTGGTGCTGGATAAATGGCGAATTCTAACTTAGATTTCTTGCCATAGTCGACACTCAATCTTTCCATAAGAAGAGATGAGAAACCAGAACCGGTTCCACCACCAAAACTGTGGAAGATGAGGAATCCCTGAAGACCAGTACATTGATCAGCCAATTTCCTGATTCTGTCGAGAACCAAGTCAATGATTTCTTTACCAACAGTATAGTGACCACGAGCGTAATTATTGGCGGCATCTTCTTTACCAGTGATGAGTTGTTCAGGATGGAAAAGTTGGCGGTATGTACCAGTTCGGACTTCATCTACAACCGTTGGTTCCAAGTCAACAAACACAGCTCTTGGTACATGTTTACCAGCACCGGTCTCACTGAAGAACGTGTTGAAGGAATCATCTCCACCACCAATGGTTTTATCTGAAGGCATCTGACCATCAGGCTGGATACCATGTTCCAAACAGTACAACTCCCAACAAGCGTTGCCCATCTGGACTCCGGCCTGGCCGATATGAACAGAGATACACTCACGCTGAAAATATAAAAGAAAAATAGGTTAACAATATTTGTATTAGTCACCCATCGAAGGTGGAAGAAACTTTTAGATGTTTTCATCCACATCAGTACATTCCTTCGTCATGGATATCTAAAATGGAATCAATTGCTATGGAGCTTGTAAACATATTATGTTACTACTTTTACTTCAGAATTGGGCAGGGCCCAAAATTTTAGTTGGGTAGAACGCTTTCTACCACAGATGGAGCAACATATAGCAACCTCTTGCTCAAAAGCACGTATGAGATTCAGCATGGAAAATTGATACACAAACTAGAAGAAAATAGCAATTTTCCGCCTTTCATTTCAACCTAGCCAACCTCTCAACTCTTGTATCAAAATCATTAATATTCAGCAAAACTTGCCAGTCGATTCTACACCATAAGTCAACAAAATCGCAAGCAAAGGGGGGGGGGGGGGTGGAGGTTGGGGTGAGGTAAAGAGAGAAAAGACTAAAAATAACTTTCGGCCTTCATTCGGGTTAAGTTGTAAGAATGTTTGGTGAGCTGTGTCCATATACCCACTAAATATTGACTGAACACTGTTATAGAAAACGAAGAGTAGCAAGCTGGTTCATAAAAATATTATTAAATATAACTTACCATATTGAAGACTAAAGTTTGTCGTGAAATAAATAAATAAACAGCTTGCTATGACTGATGTTTGTCAGAAGGCAAGTTAAAGTAAATGATAACTTGAACTCAACAGTTTGTAGTTTATATACGTAATAATTGTTGTCTATAGTAACCCTTTAAACACCACTAATCTTAGTTTACATAAAAACAGTTAGATCAATTAGACATCAGAGGAACCAATACGGTGGTCAACAAGGGATTATCTAATCGCCCGTTAACACGGTAATCTTGTAAACAAATTAATGATATCGCCCACACTGCTCAGAATCTAAATGAAAACGACAAATTCTGAAAATTTATGTACTGGGTTCATTATTTTTATTTCTATTTCAACAAAAAATCCCTCTTTTTTTGTTTATACCACTGTATAAATAATTATATGAGATCAAATGAATTTATTTTACTATTATTAAATAAAAATTAACAATATACTGAAATTATTTACTATTATTAAATAAAAATTAGAATATACATAAGAAATAATGCAGATCTTTAAACCACACATATACAAACAATATACAAGAATATATAGAAAAATGTAATAAATAAATTATGAATTTAGAGAAAAATGTAAAAAAAAACCCGCGAATTTTTTATTATTATAATATAAACGAGATTAGTAATAACAAAGGATTTTACTAAGATGACCCCAATGCTTCATATCAAATCTGAAAAAAAAACCATGTTAGAAAAATGTGGCTTCCATGGTGTCATTTCTGTACTATTCAATTGTCGCATTCACTTTCCGGGGTTTTTTTTATATTGGAATTCGAAATAAGAATAGGCCATAGCGCCACTGTCCGGACAAAATTTCTCTGATAGCACACCGCGTGTCGTATGCCCGTCTACATTAGCCCAGTCGAAGCAGAACAAGAAGACGTTAAACCCCATTTATTTCTCGGACAAATATCGATTAATTTGAAGTGTTCTGTTCATCTGTATATTTTAACATTGAAACATTCACACACGGATTAGTTTCAACAGTAGACGTAAGTTTATTTCTTTCTTAAAATAAACTTTATTTTTTTTGAAGGGTATACGTATACGTACGGATGGGGTGAGGGGTGTAGGTAGGGTGCGGGGTGGGATGGGTGTGGGTCAAGAATAGCAGAATTAGCAGAAAAACATGGTTGCGGCCATATTTTAGTGACCTTCATGTAAGTTTGTACTTTCATTCTGACATTTTGGGGCTTTAAGCACACTCCACCACCACGTGCAGCGCGTGAACGTGTACACGGGACATGGGTTTTCGTTCCATCCGAACGACTAGACGATTGCTCCTCAACCTCCCCATCCTTCACATGACTGAGGAAGGGTAAACCAAACCGGATTATCCCGAGGAACCTTTTCGTTGAACACCGGGATCAGACAAATATGGGTATTAAACGGTATCAAAATGGTCAATGACATTGTTATGGCAGTGATGCAGGACCGAGGGCCTGACAAGGACAACTGTCTAGTCGTTCGGATGGGACAAAAACCCAGGCCCCGTGTACACTTTGGCGTGCACGTAAAAGATCCCTTGACAGTTGGAATTCGATATAAGAGTAGGGCGTAGTGCCGCTATCGGGCAAAATTTGCCTCATAGCACACTGTATGGCCTATGCCCGCCTTCATTAGCCCAGTCCGGAGCAAAACAGTAGGACGTTATACCCCATTTCATTTCATTTGTCCCACATTGCCCACCGCATTTCCAGTAATGTATGCACTTATTCAACCAATAACACGCGAAACAAAACAGATATTTACGAAAGCCCAGAAGGCTCCTTCCAAATTCCAAATTCCAAATGCGAAATTCCAAATCCGATCCGAGGTTTGCTCCGGCAGATGTGAACAGTTTGGTGATCGGTTGGATATCAGTAGTAGTACTTGATCTCTCAGTTCTTTCAGTGTAAAAGTTCCACGGATATTGAATATATAGGTTAAATCCGCCGCATCGGCGACACTTATCTTCTCTGCAGCAGCCATGTCACGCTTGTAATGTCACGTGATTATATCGAATTTGGAATTTCGCATTTGGAATTTTGAATCTAGTAATTTGGAACGGGTGTTTATCCGGCCCAGGCATCAGATAGGTAAACTAACACTAATTAGTTGTTTAAAATTACAATTAATTTAAATTCTAATTTGTTTAATTGATGGGGGGCTGCCAATTTGCTATTTTATTGGTTAGACATGAATTTGGAATTTCGCATATGGAATTTGGAAAGAGCCTTGTGGGCTTTCGTAGATATTGGTATTTGATACGGCATACGGAACTTGAGAACCAACACGATTTTAATTGTATTGCCAACAACAAAGTTTACTAATGAATTCAAAGGAGAATGCAAAGATGTTAAACGGATCAGAACAATTGATAGTGTATTAATAGTTGTTAAAATACAGATGTGACATCATCCTTTGATGTTGGAGTACCATTATTTCAAATAATCGTACGGGCAATGTGCCAAGCGTAACTTGGTAAAATATTGAAGACGAGTGACGTATTTCATTGCAAAGCACGTGCAAGTGTCTGTATTTTAAGTTGTTTAATGGTCTCGAGCTTAAGACATTGCGTAATATATTGTAAAAACATTCGGGCCTCACGGCCCTCATGTTGTTACAATATATTACTTAATGTCTCACTCTCGACCATTAAACAATACAGAATGGCGGCCATTCAGGGCATGACCGTCAAATTGATTATAAAAAGAATTTATCGAACACATATGCGACCTTAATATTAATAATGATTTTATCTATTCGCTCTGTATTTTCATATCAACTTTTAATATCAATTTATGTTATAAATATATGATTCTATGGTAGCGGCTGTTATGACGCTGTCTTTAATTTTAATTTTTATATCTTTTAAACATAAATTTTTTATAGATGTACAACAAACATTATATTATCATATAAACCTAGATTCAATGGTAACGAGGCAAATAAGTGAAATACGTCCACATAGCAGCTGGCTTTCGAAATAGGTTAAACATACATTTTAAGGTGGCCCATGCACCTACAGAAATACAGTCAACCGCTGATAGTTCGAGACTACCACTGAAGCGTGCACATTCGCCGTGTCGAGGCCAACTTTCTGACAGTATGATACTATAAATAGCCATGGCACGTGCAATTCTCTACAAATCTATCAACTATTACAGCCGTAAAAAATTTATTGTTGACGATTTTGAATAGCAGTAAAATTAAGCTTCTTGGTTATTACAGCAGATTTAGAAATTACGTTCGTTTCATTTTTTAAATCGCTTTATCATTAACTGTACCGTTAAGAGCGGCATCTTTTGGTTTAGTACAATTACTATCTCTGAAACACTCGGGTTAGACAGGAACATGATACTAGCAGTAGTTTCATTTTACTTTTACAAGCTTCTTAAAACAATTGTTGAGCTAGCTAACGTGCTCATTTCTTAATTCAATTTCTTGTTCTAGCTTTCTGTTATGTTTCGTAAAAAAGTAGTCTTGATTATCCCGACCTGTCAATCAGCCTTAGAATGGTCGATAGACTGATTAAGCGACTCTAATTTCTAAACAAGGGCACGTAACCTATCTTTTACTCAAAAGTGTCTGGATGTTATGGACGACACATGGAACCAGTTTTCAGTCTATTATTTATAGATGATTAATGGTCATAGCTTATTAAGTACAACATGAACGTTTATTTAGTGACTATAATTGTGTGAAACTGATTTGAGGCTTGGCATATATATAAATATTGTGGCGAAATTGTCGAGATATATGGAGATATTTATTTATGGTGGGTCACCCTAACATTATGCAGGAGTTTAAATCTGCCTATTGCAAGTCTTTCTTTAGGCCTAAATTGTTATCTAAATAATTAATTAAAATTAACTTATCCAGACCATAATCAACTCTTGATGGCATGGCTAGGCTGCGATGTTTATTGGATTATGTTCCGATTTGCTGTTCGACTTCCATTCAAAATCAAAAAATGGATAATCGAGACTATGTTTTTATCCTACCGACTTTAGTAATGATGATCGAGGCTAGGTCGAAAATTAACCACTAAAATCTCGGTTCATGGTGGATCAATTTGACTGAAATTTTACTGTATCTAGTTTTTAACTATTATAGTGGGAACTGTCAGCCCTTTATCTAAGCCCCCATAATGCATCTTTAACCGTATACAGAAATCCAAATTGTAGTAGATACTTCAATTTTGATTGGCTAAGCACTAACATCAATCTAATATTATCCATTCAAATTACTAAAATTTGGATTTTTATCTTAGTTAAAATTTCGTGAAATATGCCCCAGCTTTGGTTCTGACGGAATTTATTAGTGATCGCTCGTGCCGTCAAAACCACTATCGTGTTTTAAAGCCTTTCTGTGTGGGATACAACACGAGACTGAGGTTATGCTGGGGAAAGAAAGACGGAAGAAAATAACACGAGAAAAAGAAAAACTGAGGCCGGCAGGGTTTTTTATGAAGTCATTCTTCCCCACCATAACCGAAGTCGAGGACTTTATCTTGCTTATAAACCGTTTACATGTACGCAAATTGAGAATATCCCAGACTTCCCATAAGAAAAACTTCCACGCTACCCTGGAAGAATAACCTGTTACAGGTTTAAAGAAAAACTTTCAGAATAGTAAACCCAAATTCCCCTGTATATATCCAAAGCCGCCCCCGACTTTCAGACCTCATGTTATTCCGGGCATGGAATATACCCCAAAGATCAAAGAGATTTGCCGTTACAGGTTTATAAGAACACGTAATATACCCCTGGAAGAGCGGTTAGCAAAATGCTGATATACTGGGTCCATCGTCTCTGATCCCAATGCAACGACCCCCCCCCCCCCTCACACACACAAACCTACTGACTGAATCACAATCGGATTAGTCTCTCGCAGTTCACACATAATTTTTTTAAAAAACCACATTCATTTTCACAGTATTTTCGGAAAAGTGGGCATTACCGTGGAATAGAGAGAGAGAAAAATGGGGTTTAACGTCCACTCGACACAGACTAGGTTATTTCGGGACTAACATAATAATGGTTTTAATTTTATTTCAATAATTCGCTTGCACGTAGGAGTCTTTAGCAGTGGGAGGAAACCGGAGGACCCGGAGAAAACCCACGAGGTTGGACAAGCAACTCTACTCCTTGTCACGTACAGCCGTGGATTCGAAACCACGCCAGTTGACTCAATGACAGGCCTTATGATACAGCGCGCACGTGCTAACCCCCCCCCCCCCCCCACCGTGGAATAGAAGGTCGACTAAGGCAAATAACTGTAGTCCATAGTTTGTGAGATTTTCGGAAAGGAGGTGGCAACTCTGGAACGGAAAAGATTCTTATCACGAGGAAATTACCCCCCCCCCCCCTCCCCGCCTCCCCACCTCCCCACCACCCCACCACAAAAATATCCTTACACGGCCCCAAACAAAACAAAACAAATATTGGTCCTGTTTCTAGGATCCAGGACAAGATTCCAACTCCATGGTAACTAACTGTATGGAGGTTATTTATTTTCAGGGTTGACTTACAATCATCACGTGTGATATATTTATTTATGGGAAACTTGTCATCGATTATATATTTATATTAGTTAATAATATCCAATAACTGTTTTTAGATAAAACTTCTTCAATATTGAACTCTTTTACTAAAGCCTCGCCCTAACTATTATACATTTAATAAAAAACATTACAAGACAATTGTATGCCGATATTGTATGGGTGTTACGAGGTATTTGATATATTTCTGGCCTAAATGACTTATTTGATATATTTCAGGTCTACATGATATAGTACATTATAATATTTAAGGATGCATTATGCAAGAGGTAAATCAGCCTGTTGCAGGTCTTTCTTTAGGCCTGAATATGAACTATTCATTAGACATTTATTAACATGACAGGACTATAATCAACTCTCAATGGCATCGTTAGTCTACGATATTTACTGGATTTGAATACATTTTGTGATGGATAATTTAACGTAAAAGTGGATAACCGAGACTATGGTTGTTATCATACCAACGTGAGTAATGACGATCGAGACTAGCCTAAAATTAAATGTCTAATATCTCGATTCAGGGTGAAGCAATTTGACTGAAATTTTCAGTATATTTTGTTTTTATTATCTATTTTTAACTCTTGTAGCGAGAACTGCCAGCTCTTTATCTAATCTTACCTAATGACCCTTTAAGGAAAGGTAACTCAATAAGATGATAGTAGAAGAATGTTCCATGGAGCGTAGTACTGAGTGTAGTTTTAAAGCTTTTGGGTGTTATGATGTCGATAAAAATCTCTTCTACCGATTTCAGGTATGTATTCATATATTGTCTTTCAGACGAATATTCATCTATCCAAATCCAGGCCGATTTCCCACGTCAGTTTGTTGGAGGTGATCAGTTTTTCAGACATATAAACTGATACTTAAATGCTCAATACCACTCTTGTTGTAACTGAATAATATGTCCCAATCTTTATTCTGGTCAACAAATTGTACTATTTTACAATATTCCAATTAATTGATGATACAAATTTCATCTTAACACACCTAATTTAAAAAATTGGAAAAATTCTACTAAATGATTTGAAAAGCCTGACGTAAAGCTTTTCAAATGTGACTTGGATTTAAAAAATATTTTTGAACCCTTTGGACAAGTAAAATAGGATTAAATGGATAATTTACACAACAGGTAGGACACTAAACATATCTAGTACTTAGAATAAGCCTATTTTTATTTTTTGGAGCTGTCAAGCCAGCAAGAGTGGTATTGTCCCTTTAAAGGACAATATTGGTGTCAGTCGTTATCAGGTTATGACTGTCACACTGATCAGCAGTGAATATTCGCTAGGCCGCGACAATCACTGATAAGGATGACATAAATGCGACTTAATGAGTCTCAAATATTAACTTTTTTCCACCGACAAATAAAATTCTAAAACATTTTGTTGGTGTATTAGAAAAACGTTTGACGTATTTGTAGGTAAAAAATATTTCCTATTTAGTGTAAATGGGTATTAAAATGACTAAAAGGCAGCATTCTGCCCAAAGCAGTGACGTCTTATGTAAACAATGCACGAGCCATTCAGCCAATGATTGACGCCGATTGCTGAGACGACACGTGTTAAAGGCAGTCATCTTTTACAGAGATATTAGAAGACTTGTAATTCTCTGTGAAACAGATTGACTGACTGCATGAAGTGGCGAGTGATAACAGATGAACGGGCGAATTTCTGCTCACTAACAATTCTATGACAAAAATCCCTAATGACCCCCCCCCCCCCACATATGTATTTCAATGTTTGTTTTAACTTATTTCAGTATTGCCGATCACCATTGGGTTATTTTGCGTATCGTTTGATAATGGCCACCTATGCCGTGACCAGCCTTATATGTGCCGTGGTATATTCACCGATCCCGGGCTCATGGCCGGCGTTTCTCACATACTGGACGTATTTCACCCTAACTATCTACTTTCTCATGGTTGCCGAACAGTGCTGCTGCAGAAGGACGGACGAAGACGGGCCTGAAGACTTGAAAAAACTTCCATGGTATTTGATTATGGTGTGGACTTTGTTTGAGATCATGTCCCCAATGGCCATTGCTGTCACTTTGCTCTACTGGATAACGGTCTTCCCACTTCTAAATTGTCCGATTGGAAACAATGGCGTATTGCTTCATATTATGAACTCGGTCGTGGTATTGATCGACCATTCTGTCACTGCATTACCCATTCGTTTATTGCATGTTGTTTATTCCTTGATATTTGGCCTGGTGTATGTTATATTTACTGTGATATGTTGGGCAGGGGACAATACTCTTGTTTTATATCCTGTATTCTATTGGAATGAGCCTGCTATAGCGGTTGCCTACGTTTCTGGGGCTAGCGTTGTAATAATAGCTAGCTACCTGATACTGTTCGTTAGTTACAAGATAAGACAATGCTGTTGTAACAATACAAACCGAATATCATACACTAGCGTAAAATGAATCCGCCAATGATCTCATTTGTCTGCGTATGAATACATTTAATCATCGCATGGAGGGTTCCTACATGGGTGTATTTATTTTGGAGTAATATTCCATCATGGGGGGAAATGAATCAAAGACATCTTGACTTTTGCACTTAATTTCCGTGTTTATGGGATATAATATAGTATAATGTCCTTAATATACGTATTTAACGTTCGAAAGAAATATGATTATTTGATCAAAATCAATTAAAAAAATCCCCCAAATCTTTTAAACAAAAGAAAAAGACTGACTGCATTGCGAGGCCGATTGGGGGTTCTATATGTAGTACAGTGCGATGGAATTTACTATTTCTGAGATATATAAAATAAAAGTGAGAGAGAGAGAGTGGGTGGGTGGGGGGATTTAACGATTTAGTGGAAGATCGAACATCTCATTTTTGCAACTACGATACAGCGATTCTTTGTGATATAGGGCGATGGGTTTGCCTACTAGATATAAGATAATATTCATCATTTATATTAACATTCAAGTATGGAAATTAATGGAGAAAATTTTTACAAGATATAAACATAAGAAACGGGTGCAGGGAGATCCAAACTCTCATTTTAACCACAACTAAAAGTAATATCAAGGCCGTATATCGAACTGTCAATCAAATTGACTGACATACGGTCTCGCTCAGCACGCTTTTTCATTTACCAACTAGACTCTATCACACAGACATTTTTGTTAAAGGGAATTGCGCGTATTCAAATGTGACCTGGAAGACAGAGACTACAATAATTTCCTAGGCGAAAAGTAGAAAAGTCGAAAAGTCGACAGTACGACAGATAATAGCGCAGTGTGTTAATTTCCTAATTTCTACTTTTCGAGTTGCATTTTGGCTTGTATAGCGTGTTGGCGCCTTCTTACTGACATCAATAAATACAAAAATATGACTAAGTCGAAAGTCGACAAGACGGTATACAAGCCAAAATGCAAGTCGAAAAGTAGAAATTAAGAAAAAACGGGGGGCGCTATTATCGCGGTGTGTTATTTCTTAATTTCCTATTTTCGAGTTGATTTTGGCTTATATACCGTCTTGTCGCCTCACATTTTGTCGTAACTTCTACTTTTCGACTTTTCGACTTTCGTGTTCTGAAGAGGCGAAAAGTAGAAATTATGAATGGTAGTTACAGGCTTCCATAAATAAGAAACTATGTACAAAGTTTTGTGTTTCTGGATCAAAGATATTTCTCATAAACAGTGATTGAAAGTTGAGTAAATTCTTAACTTAAGTCTGAGAATGCTTTGTGAACTCGGGGCCTGGGCGCGAACAAGGCTACCACCAACATGGCACGCCTTGTCCCGATGCATTGCGCGGCATTGCGGTGACAAAACTCGTACAAGTGTCAGGGTGACATAAGTATCTAGTTCTATTCATGAACACTTTTAACATTTACTATAATCGTATTTTTATTGTATAATAATGCAATCGAAATATTTTGTTATTTTCTACATCTGTCTTCAATTCTTGTTTTATTTTCAACAATTTTCTATAAATTCTTGTCTTTTGTTTGTTTAATGGTATTTTAGACACCTACACTATTTCTTATGTATATAATACAATCAGATTAAAATACAGATCTATATTTCGTTTCGTTTTTTTTATACTTTCGATGGCCTACACTACATGAAGATCTGACAAGTTATAGCGAAAGGTCACGTCAGGGGTCAAAAGACCGACTTATGACCCAATGACGTCATACATTTCATTAACCAATCAGCATTGATGTTACTAGTGGATTACCTACAGTTCCGTGAAAAACACGCCTAAAGCTCGCCGTAACAGACCGTTTCATTGGCTTATACCTGATACCATTCAGAACACGAGTTAAATAACAACTCTTCCAGATCCAAGTGTAGTAAAGACAAGTAAACCGAAATTTTGAACTATAAAAACGAAACGAAATAGGATCTGTGTTTTAACCAGATTGGTATATAATTGAATATTATTTACTAATAGTGAATAATGTATTATACAGTGGGTAAATCTAACGAAATATAAAAATAAAACTAATGAACCCAATAAATAAATATTCAGAATTTGTTGTTTCTAGTTAAACATACATTATACAAGAGCTAAATCTGCCTATTGCAGGCCATTCTTTAGGCCTGAAATGTTATCTAAATTATTAATTAGACATAAATTAACCTATCCAGATCATAATCAACTCTAGATGGCATCACTAACCGATTTACTGCATAACTTTCCTTCACGATTTAACGATTAAATTGATAATCGAGACTATGATGTTTATCGTACTGACTTTAGTAATGATGATAGAGGCTAGGCGGAAATTTCAAATGTTTAGTTCTCGGTTCATAGCTGTGTATGCTGTCCTTGGTGGATGCAATGATACAATAAAATCTTATCTTATCTTATCTTAGTGGATCAATTTGAATGAAATTTTCAGCAAATTGAGAACTACCAACTCGTTATCAAATCTCCCAAAATGTATCTTTAAATTCTCAGCAGTGTGGATAATATTTATACAGGATTACCATGTTAACAGGTGATTAGATAATCCCTTGTTGACCACAGTATTGGTTCTCTGATGTCTAATTGATCTGTTTCTGTGTAACTAAGATTACAAGATGACCGTGTTAACAGACGATTAGCTAATCCCTTGTTGACCACAGTTTCTTAGTATTTAAATTGATCTAACTGTTTCTATGTAAATTTCAAATGTTTAGTTCTCGGTTCATAGCTGTGTATGCTGTCCTTGGTGGATGCAATGATACAATAAAATCTTATCTTATCTTATCTTAGTGGATCAATTTGAATGAAATTTTCAGCAAATTGAGAACTACCAACTCGTTATCAAATCTCCCAAAATGTATCTTTAAATTCTCAGCAGTGTGGATAATATTTATACAGGATTACCATGTTAACAGGTGATTAGATAATCCCTTGTTGACCACAGTATTGGTTCTCTGATGTCTAATTGATCTGTTTCTGTGTAACTAAGATTACAAGATGACCGTGTTAACAGACGATTAGCTAATCCCTTGTTGACCACAGTTTCTTAGTATTTAAATTGATCTAACTGTTTCTATGTAAACTAAGATTAGTGGTGTTTAGAGGGTTACTATAGACAACAATTATCACAGTATATAAACTACCAACTATTGAGTTCAAGTTATCATTTACTTTAACTTGCCTTCTGACAAACATCAGTCATAGCAAGCTGTTTATTTATTTATTTCACGACAAACTGTAATCTTCAATATGGTAAGTCATTTTTAATAATATTTTTACGAATCAGTATCTGTCTGTTAATAGAACGATGATTTTAAGATTTTCCTCTTTGGATTTTGCTGTCAGTCTAGCTGTCACTGTTAACCCCCAAAAGGAAAGCTCCGTGGTCTGGTTGTTCCCAATAGTGCAGGATGGAGGACCAGAAAAGGACATTTCGCCTAGTTGTTCGGATGGGACGAGTAACGCCTTTGTATTCGATCAAGAATAGGCACGGTAACACAATCTGAAGTGAAACAAGCTCCAAATAGAAATTGATTACATTTTAGATATCCTTGAGGAAAGAATTTACTGATGTGGATGAACACAATTAAACAATTTATTCAACTTTTTGGTGGTTGATTAATACAAATATTGTTAACCTATTTTTCTTTTATATTTTCAGCGTGAGTGTATCTCTGTTCATATCGGTCAGGCCGGAGTCCAGATGGGCAACGCCTGTTGGGAGTTGTACTGTTTAGAACATGGTATTCAGCCTGATGGTCAGATGCCTTCAGATAAAACTATTGGAGGTGGAGACGATTCCTTCAACACATTCTTCAGTGAGACCGGTGCTGGTAAACATGTACCAAGAGCTGTGTTTGTTGACTTGGAACCAACGGTTGTAGATGAAGTCCGAACTGGTACATACCGCCAACTCTTCCACCCTGAACAACTCATCACTGGTAAAGAAGATGCCGCCAATAATTACGCTCGTGGTCACTATACTGTTGGTAAAGAAATTATTGACTTGGTCCTTGATAGAATCAGGAAATTGGCTGATCAATGTACTGGTCTTCAGGGATTCCTCATCTTCCACAGTTTCGGTGGTGGAACCGGTTCTGGTTTCTCATCTCTTCTCATGGAAAGACTGAGTGTCGACTACGGCAAGAAATCTAAGTTAGAATTCGCCATTTATCCAGCACCACAAATTTCCACTGCTGTTGTAGAACCCTACAACTCTATCCTGACCACTCACACCACCTTGGAACATTCTGACTGTGCCTTTATGGTTGATAATGAAGCTATTTATGATATCTGTCGCCGTAACTTGGATATTGAACGTCCAACCTACACCAACTTGAATCGTTTAATTGGTCAGATCGTCAGCTCCATCACCGCCTCTCTACGATTTGATGGTGCCCTTAATGTTGATCTTACTGAGTTCCAGACCAACTTGGTTCCCTACCCACGTATCCATTTCCCTCTTGCTACCTATGCCCCAGTTATCTCAGCTGAGAAAGCATACCATGAACAACTTACCGTTGCTGAAATTACCAACGCGTGTTTTGAACCTGCCAACCAGATGGTAAAATGTGATCCTCGTCATGGCAAGTACATGTCTTGTTGTATGTTGTACCGAGGAGATGTTGTTCCTAAAGATGTCAACGCTGCCATCGCCACCATCAAGACCAAGAGAACCATCCAATTTGTTGACTGGTGTCCAACTGGTTTTAAAGTAGGTATCAACTACCAACCACCAACTGTTGTACCAGGAGGTGATTTAGCCAAGGTACAGAGAGCTGTTTGTATGTTGAGTAATACTACTGCTATTGCTGAAGCTTGGGCTCGTCTGGATCATAAATTTGATCTGATGTACGCTAAGAGAGCTTTCGTCCACTGGTATGTTGGTGAAGGTATGGAAGAAGGTGAATTCTCTGAAGCTAGAGAAGATCTGGCTGCTCTAGAGAAGGATTATGAAGAAGTTGGTGTTGATTCTGTTGAAGGTGAAGGAGAAGAAGAGGGTGGAGAAGAATATTAGATAACATGTTTTGGATAAATTAAAACATTTTAATTAAATTACAATTGTTTTATTATTTCTCTACTAATGTTGCGGTTTGTCTTTACGGTATCCGGGAGCTCTCTCTAAAGAATGTCGAAGATGCTAGTAAGAGACCTTTCACATCGGCTGAGATACAAACCGGAACTCGTGGTTATATTGCTCAAATCTGTCCAAAAACAAGGTAGCGGTTACCCTACGTTTCCAGGAATTTTATGTTCAATAACAAGTCAAACAAACGAATGCCAACTGACCCTCGAAAGGGGGGGGGGGCAACTGTGAGTGACACTATAATTATGAATAAATTAGTTATTGATCAATATTGGAAAAGTCAAAATATAGTAACAGCCGTAGCTAAGCGGGGTGATTTAATTATGGATACCTTATCAAATCAAAAATCAAATGGGATTTAAAGTCCTACTTTTCTATTTTAAGCTATGAACGCCTAGTCCAGGGTACTTTTAAATGTATACGAGACCTCAGTCCATTCTGCTCCACTGAAAAGAGAAACCACGTCGCCGGAAAACCCCAGAGAAACTTTCTCGGTCAAAACCGGAAGCGAACCCGAAACCCCCTGGTTAGAGACCCAGCACATTACGCACTGAGCCACCGCAGCTCCAAGTTACGCTATGTATACTATAAGTTTATATATCGAGCACCGTATTTATGGATGTGCGGTCTATCTGACGTATATACTGTAATAAAATTGAAGACATGTATGCGTTCCATATATTGGATGTTGGATGCTGAGAAATCTATTCACCTTGCTACGCTTGGCACACCGTTTATTGTACGTGTATAAAATTTAACACGCAGTATTTTGCTTGGCTTATATACATCGAATAAAGATATCATAATTTATCCTTTTTTGGAATCGCTTCATTCGCTAATGACCCTTTTTTGGTTTTCTAAGAATATTTAGATTGTAGGGAAATCTACGCACCCCTGTCCGAAAATCCTAGCTACAACATTGAGTGTATTATATACAACAAGAATTGGTTTGTCTTCAACCCCATATAAACGCGGATATATGTCGACCATAACGCGACAGCGGATCTATAGTTTCACAGTATTACAATAGTGTGTCCTGTATGTGTCACGTGTATAGTTCAACGGTGTTCTATTCTTAGTATATATAACTTATCTAATAGGGTTAGCGACTAAGTCGGTAAGACGCTGGCCCACTAGCCGAGAAAGTTCACCCGGATTTTCCGACATGGTTTCCCCTTGTCAGTGGTGCAGGACGGAGGGCCTGACAAGAACAACTGTCTAGTCGTTCGGATGGTGCGAAAAACCGGGGTCCCATGTATCCATTGCTTTGCACGTAAAAGATCCATTGGCAGTTGTAATTCGATATAAAAGTAGGCCATAATGGCGCTGCCCGGACAAAATTTCCCTCGTAGCACACTGTATGGTGTATGCCCGTCTTCATTAGCCCAGTCGGAGCAGAAGAGTAGGACATTAAACCCCATTCCATTTCATTTCATTTCAAATAGGGTTAGAAATATTTCACCTGCACACCTACCGATTTCGTAATAGGAAATATCAAGAACTAAATTTTCTTCATCCTGGATTTGTGCTTAAGCAGAGACCAAGCCTCTTTAACCTAGGCTACAATCCTCAATATTATCACGTGTCCTAACCCTGTTTACATCTCGTGACCTTTGGGAAATCTTTGGGTGTGCATGTGAAATAGATCTACTCCTTTAAAGGGGCAAGTTTGTACCTTTTCGACAAGGCTAAGCATACAACGTTTAGTACACGATACCTGTGACCACGCGAAATATTTTATGCTGCTTTATACAAGAACGCAGTCGAAACAATCTGAGTAAAATACAGATCTATATTTCGTTTCGTTTTTTTTATACTTTCGATGGTTACACAATATGAAGAAAGACAAGTGAAACGAAATTTTGAACTATAAAAAACGAAATGAAATAGGATCTGTGTTTTAATCAGATTGCAGTCGAAAGCAATTCGTGTATATTTCTAACGTAACCGCATTGGCATATTTCTTCATGTACATAAATTGATCAACAGCAATTGTTGAAGTTAGATAAAATAGCTCCAGATAAAATCTTGAAACTATTTTTTTAATTATTTATAAAATAAAGAAAGAAGCAGATATCAGAATTGAAGCAGGCATGTATTATGTTCAGTGTAAATACAAGGGCGTATCGGGGTTGGGGCGGGTGGGGGGGAGGGTCCAGGGAGTCCAGATCATTTTTACTTTCTCCTAGATTCATCGACATAACGTCGCAATCTGTTTCCCAGAGGATTACGAAAGTCTTCTAATATCTATGTAAACGATGACTACCTTCAACACGTGACGTCTCATTGAGCGGCGTTAATCATTGGCTCAATGGCGCATGCATTATATAAGACTTTACTGGTTCGGGCGGAATGGAGCCTTTTACTCATTTTAAATTTTAATACCCATTTAAACTAAATAGGAAATAATTTTTACCTACAAAAACGTCAAACACCTTTATTTATTTTTCTAATACATAAAAAAAAATGTTTTAGAATTTAATTTGTCGGAGGAAAAAGGTTAATATTTGTGACTCATTAAGCGCATCCATGTCATCCTTATCAGTGATTGTCGCGGCCTAGCGAATACTCACTGCTAATCAGTCTGATAACGTCGGACAAACAAACGGGAAAAGCATTGTCGGTGGTTTGGCTTCACATCACTCTGTGTGCGTCTAAATGAGGAGAAATATTGCCCCAGAGCTTCCGATTTCATATATAGAATTCTCGGATAATCCCCAAGACCCCATGCCAAACTCGGCGTTGTCTTCACCCTCCACCCCCCACCCCCCCGGCTAAATTTCCTGAACACGCCTCGGTAATGGGTAAAATAAATTAGGATACGGAATTTATATGTAAACAAGTCACATTTTATGATTTATAACAGTTTATATTTGTTTTGTAATAAAACCGGATATTTAGAGTTGTTTTTTTTATCGTTGGTTTTAAACAGTTGAAAGTGAAAATAAATGTGGTTTAACGTTCCCATGTCTGTCCTAACTAGGATGGCCAAATGATTAGCGCGTGCGCGCTGCATCATAAGGTCTGTCATTGAATCAACTGGCGTGGTTTCGATTCCCCGGTTGTACGTGACAAGGAGTATGGTCGCCTGTCCAGCCTCGTGGGTTTTCTCTGGGTCCTCGGATTCCCCCACTGCTAAAGATCCCTACGCGAATTATTGAAATAAAATTGAACCATAATATGTTAGTCTCGAAATGACGTAGTTTGTGTCGAGTGGACGTTAAACCCCATCTCCCTCTCTCTCTCTCTCTATTTCACATATACGGTAATCTATTTATAGTTTCAGTGATAAATAGAACGGCTTAACGATGAATAAATAAATTACTTTCCACAAACAAACGTGTTGTTATTCCAATAATTGTAATATTTGTGATAGTATGGGTTATTTATTTTCAGCATTGTGTAATCTAGTGATATTGCTCATCACTTTTGTCGTACTTTTCTTACAAGTTTTAAAGGAATTAACTTATTTTGTTTTTATATAATTGAAGTATTATTGTAGTGGTAATGGGTAGTATTTGGCTAGTATTGAGTAAATCGTCCTGCCCATCAAATAGTATATTGTATTAATAGGACTATAACTATTCAAAATAAAATGAAATGAAATGGGGTTTAACGTCCTACTGTTTTGCTCCTAAACTGGGCTAACGAAGACGGGCATACCCCATACAGTGTGCTATGGGGGAAATTTTGCCCAGCCTACTCTTATATCGAATTCCAACTGCCAAGGGATCGGGACCTCGGTTTTTCGTCCCATCCGAAAAACTAGACAGCTGTCCTTGCCAGACCCATCCGTCCTGCATCACTGACAAGGGGGGAAACCACGCCGGAAAATCTGGATGAACTTTCTCGCCCAATGTAGGGACCGAACACCCGACCTCCAGACTAGCGAGTCAGCGTCTTACCCACTGCCACGTGATCCCCCCTATAAATATTCAGCACTCAGATATCAATCTGCTTCATAATTATGATGATCCAAAATAGCAAAGGTCCACCCCATTCTACACACAGAGATCAGTCTACTTCATACTTCGAGAATAGATCTCTGACCTAAATGGCCACCATATCCAAAAATTAGTATACTTTTTTGTAATGTGGTTCTACTTCGATGTACATGTTTCATACACACAAAGACTAAATAAACATTTTCAATTTTATTAATGGAAGCAAAATAAATATTTATTAAAATTCTCAAAGTATACTTAGTGTTTTCGACTATAGTCGTCGATAATGTCGGTCAACTAGCTTATTGTCTGTTCCCAAGTATGGCCTATGAGACGTGCATTAAAATTTACCCAAAACACGAGATGACATTAATATCCGGGTTTTCTCTATATTTGACTGTCGCAACACGTGAGTATTAAGATCCGGACATGTGAGGGATATTTAAATGCCGTATATAAGATGTCAGTGCTATTCTGTGTAATCCAGTTGGATTGTAAGAGTGGGAGTTGATCTATATACCAGATTGATAAGGTAAGATGATTTTGGTTTGTTTGTTTCTTTGTTGATGGATTTATTTATTTATTTTTCTTTTTTTGTAAATATTAAATCGGAATGGAATATTTAGTAAAATATATATTTAATAAATTCGAACTTGTAATTAATTATATATAATAAAGATTGTTCATGATTTATTAAATGATAATTGAAGATTAATATTCACACTGCGGTTTAAACATACATTATGCAAGAGCTAAATCTGCCTATTGCAGGGCTTTCTTTATGACTGAAATGTTATCTAAATTATTAATTAGACATTAATTAACTTATCCAGACCATAATCAACTCTCGATGGCATCGCTAGCCTGCGATGTTTATTAAATCATGAAATGGATAATCGAGACTATGTGTTATATCCCAACGACTTTAGTAGTAATGATGATCGAGGCTAGGCCGAAAATTCAATCCCTAAAATCTCAGTTCATAGTGGATCAATTTGAGTGAAATTTTCAGCAAATTCCCCTTACATTGTCTAGTGTGTAACTATTATAGTGAGAAATGCCAGCTCTTTATCTTATCTCCCATAATGTATCTTTAATAGTTTTAATAATTTGGCCTGTCCAACCCCGTGGGTTTTCTCCGGGTCCTCCGGTTTCCTCCCACTGCTAAAGACCCCTACGCGCAAGCGAATTATGTAAATAAAATTAAACCATATATTAGTCCCGAAATGACCTAGTTCGTGTCGAGTGGACTTAAAACCCCATCTCTCTCTCTCTCTCTCTCTCTCTCTCTCTCTCTCTCTTTTAATAATTTGGAAAATTTTTGTTCTAGATTTGAATTCCGATTCCAGTTTCAAATCAATTCTCGTATAAAATGTTATGCAGTATACAGATTTTATCTTTTGAAACATCCTTTATTTATGGGCTGCACGGACGGCACACCTGATGCCTGTGTGTGTTTCGTTGCCTGTTAACCTATCTTATATTATGTTTTTGATATTTACAGATGAATCTATTGATACTAACATTAGCAGTATGTTATTGTGGGCTTGTTTATACTAAACCCTTGACTCACCTGGAAGATGAAATTACAGGTAAGTTAGGGTTTGGGTTGTAATTTTTGGATTCCACATTTATGTTCCCTTCCCTATAAAGTAAGAGAGAGAGAGAGAGAGAGATAGAGAGAGATAGAGCGAGAGAGAGAGAGAGATAGAGCGAGAGAGAGAGAGAGAGAGAGAGAGAGAGAGAGAGCATAGTTGATTTCGAAAACTTAAACGACAATGCTAAAATAATTAAATTAATGAAATACCCTGGAAGCTCAATTACTAACGAAATAGAGGAATAGTCACATCAAATAGCTATCGACATATTGGACCATGGAAGTTCGGAAATTAATAGCGCCCCAGAATCAAGGACGGTTATACAGGCATTTGCCTGGGACCACCCGGGTTTCAAGTCCAAGTCTGATTCCGACATAAATTCACCTATAAGCGGAAATGTTATGTGAATGTATATAAAGGAAAGAAGCGGAGAATTGTCTTTTCTTTGAACCCTTGTAAACGCGGATGTAGATTGTAGAGTGGCTTTATCCGTGACATTCTGACGTAGTAATACATTATTGCAATACCGTGTCCGGTATGTCACGTGTATATATAATAAGGAGTGAGAGAGGGCTAAATCTATTTGATAAGGCCAGCTCAATTTTCGTCAAGGTCGATGAGATGTAAATAAGGTTAATGGCACGTGAATGTAGGCGAGATTGTAGGTTAGGGTTGGGGTAAGTATTGGGGCTAGGTCTAGGATTAGAGTTAGAGTTGGGATTAGCGTTAGACCGGTTTACATCTCGTGACCTTTGACCAAACTTGAAGTTGGCCTTATCAAATAGATCTTACCGTCAGAGAGGGAGTATCCCATTCAACACTATTCCTATATTATGAGAGAGAGAGAGAGAGAGAGAGAGAGAGAGAGAGAGATGGGGTTAACGTCCACTCGACACAAATTAGGTCATTTCGGGACTAACACATGTTGCAGTAAACCGGAGAGATAGAGAGAGCGGAAGAGATGGGGTTAACGTCCACTCGACACAAATTAGGTCATTTCGGGACTAACACATGTTGCAGTAAACCGGAGGACCCAGAGAAAACCCGCGAAGTTGGACAGGCGACCCTACTCCTTGTCACGTACAACCGTGGATTCGAAACCACGCCAGTTGACTCAATGATACAGCACCCTATACTATGAGGCTGAAAAATTCGTTTCATGGTTTTAATTTGTATATTGCCTGCATCCATATTAAAGTGCAACAAAAATTATTAGTCATGTGAACTTGCCACATTAATGAGAAGTGGTACCAGATGTTTTAGAAAGAGTAAGCATACACTGTCCCTACTTGGACAGCTACCTCTGAGGACGGAGGGCTTGGCAAGGACAGTGACTAGTCTTTCGGAAGGGACAAAAAACTGGTATTTCATTTGCACATTAAACGATGTCAGGAGAGAATTTTGCCCAGTCAGCGATGTTAATGTCTATTATTCTTCGATCTATATAGCCATGTAGGGGTGGTTGGATGGCTGAATGGTTTGCGTGCGCGCGCTGTATCATAAAGTCTGTCATTGAGTCGACTGGTGTGGTTTCGAATCCCCGGTTGTACGTGACAAGGAGTAGGGTCGCCTGTCCAACCTTGTGGGTTTTCTCCGGGTCCTCCGGTTTCCTCCCACTGCTAAAGACCCCTATGCGCAAGCGAATTTTTGAAATAAAATTAAACCATATGTTAGTCCCGAAATGACCTAGTTTGTGTCGAGTGGACGTTAAACCCCATTTCTCTCTCTATATATATAGCCATGTAACTCATATGAAGCATGGTTAGTGTAAAATTGCCGTTTCCAGTTTAACTCCGGTTTGAAACGGGGTTGATGTAAAACTGTCGGTTCTAGTTTAACTCCTGTTTGAAATGGGGTTGATATAAAATTGCCAGTTTCAGTTTCACTCCTGTCCAAAACGGAGCTGATGTGAAATTGCCGGTTACAGTTTCATTTTGTCCGAAACGGACCTGATGTAAAATATAAAAGCTGGATAATCGTGAATCAGTATTATATGGACCAATCTTAAAAGACTATTAATATATGTTTGTTTCAGGTTTAGAAAACAGTTTTGTTCAACTTGGCGATGAACCTGTAGATATGCGAGGTATGTTTTATTGACCTTAATTCACTACCTTGCTTTCATAACATTGATTTGGGTGGGTTGCCGTTCGTAAGAATAGTAATGCCATAACTCACCCCATTCTGTCCAATTGTCATACATTCCTTCCTCGCCATTCCAAAGAGCCTGAAAATAAATAGACATAAAACTTGTTCTAGGTATTGGGCCTAGGTTTATTTATTCTTTATTGCTAAATAATTTAATAGGGCTACCCTGCCCTCACGAAGTGTGGTTTATATGAATATGTGTAAAATATATTAAATTGGTCAAATTATTTAGATATTCAGCCATGTAATTCTAAACCAATGCTCTGCCTGGTGGGCTGATAGCCGAGCTGGATTAAAGTGAGTATGACAATGGCTCACTAACCAGGAGGTCCCGGGTTCGACCCCGGTGTTGGCCATGACATTTTCTTGGGATTTTAGCATCGTTTCCCCATGTCGATCATTCTGGAAATGAAATGGGGTTTAACGTCCTACCGTTCTGCTCTGACTGGGCTAATAAAGACGGGCATAGGCCATACAATGTGATATGAGGGAAATTTTGCCGGGGCAGCGACACTATAGCCTACCTTTATATTGAATTCCAACTGCCAAGGGATCATTTACGTACACACCAATGTATACACGGGACCTCGGTTTTTCGTCCCATCCGAATGACTAGACAACTGCCCTTGTCCTGCAACACTGACAAAGGGAAACCACGCCGGAAAATCCGATGGAGTTTCTCGGCCGATCGTTCTGGATGGATGGCAAGGGACAATGTCTTCTTCATATGGTACGAAGACGCCAAGGCCCGTATGCACGGTGTCTTCATTATCCCGGTTGATACAGAAAAGTAGGACGTTAAACCCCATTTTATTTTATAACTATTGTAATATTTACAGCAAGACGATCTGTTCGTCGACCAACCATTCTAAGTGAAATAATGGGACCACTTCACAGGAGAAATGTTCGAGCCATAAACGAATACCAGAGAAGCGATGGTACGTATTTTATACCCAAAAATATATAACGAATACCAGAGAAGCGACGGTACGTATTTTACACCAATAAATATATAACGGATGAAAGAGTATGTGATTAGTGCACTGGAAGCAAGACCAAAATGCTCGTGAAAGACTGGTCAACAGAACATAAGACGCGAGAAAAGATATTTTTCCCTCTGATCACAGTTAAATGGTATTTGGGTTTCAACCTATTCATACTAGGCGATATCGTGCAATAATTGACATATATAGAGAATCTCCTACCAGTCTTTTTTGATATCAAAAAATACCAACACAAGTTGATAAAGTAACAAAAAACAAGGCTCTGCCGAGGTTTTTTTTACTTAATCAACGAGTGCTGATATTTTTTGATATCAAAAAAGACGAGTAGGAGATTTTATTTATCAACCAATCCCTTCTTACATGCACAAATAGATAAATATAATTCTTTGCTGTAGATTTCACTTTTACTGAACATTACGGCGTAGTGATACATCATTTTTTGACAGCAATTCAACCATTGCAAAGTCCTTTATATTGACCCAGCGTTTCCATCAAGGTCAATTGAATAACAATAGTTCATTTTTAATAAAAAAAAAGTTACTTTTAATAAGAAATGAACTGTTCTTTGAAAATAAAAAAAGGAGTTCCTTTTCAACTGACCAATCAAATTCATGTAAAGCGTAGTTTCTTTTCAACTGACCAATCAAATTCATCTCCTAAGGAGATATCTCAGTAGATTATGAAATATATCACACAAGCGATATCTACTGTAGAATGTATTATTGGGTGATAAAATATTATAATCTGCTAAAACGTAAAGCCTTTGGTAGTCTTTTTAGAGGTTTTGAATCCCTTGCAAACAACATTAGTGGGAAAATTCAATCTAAAAACGAAATAACAGTCACATGTCTTAAGTGTCCTTAAGTCTTTTCAACAATATGAGGAATTGAACATTTCTCACCATTGGGCATCCTTTGTAAACGACATTAATAAATTGGCAGTACCTATATATGTTGGGGGTCACTGTGGCTAAGTGGGTAAGACGCTGACTCGCTAGCCTGGAGGTCGGGTGTTCGATCCCTGCCCTGGCCGAAAAAGTTCTTCCAGATTTTCCGGAGTGGTCCCCCCCCCCTTTGTCAGTGATGTAGAACGGAGGGCCTGACAAGGACAGCTGTCTGGTCATTCGGATGAGACGAAATAACGAGGTCCCATGTACACATTGGCGTGCACGTAAAAGATCCATTTCGTTTCATTTCCTATATATGTTATGTAAAATCTATTCAGTCCAAACCGAAAGTGTCATACAATCACCATTTTTATTTTTATTTTTTTTTAAAATTTATTTTTAAATTAAATTTTTATATCCATATTTTCGTCTTACAGCTGTGTACGTTAGAATGCGATCCTTACTGAGATTGTTAAGGATGCTGATAGGGGCTTCCCCTTCTGTAGAAATTTACCATTACGTCAACTGGGATAAGACCATCATCATCGACAACCTGTTTTATACTCTACCTAAAACTATCTGGGAGGTGAGGAGAGTGATACGTGCCGCTGGTTTACTGGGGATGAGAGTAAGGGCAACAGGTGCAGGTCACTCCCGATCTCCCCTTTACGTGGATGAGGGAAACATAATGATGGACGTCAGAGCACTTGAAAGACACGATGGTCCTCGAATGGAACTTCATCAACCGGTAAGTTGGAAAGGGAACAAGTAGGCTTTAAAGAATCGCCATCCGAGAGGCGGTGACAGGACAGAATGTCTCCGGTATGTTTTAAAGGGTAGCTCTTCAGATTGGTCAAAAACTTATATTTTAAAACCTGTTTGCTAATTTCATTATTATTGTTAATATATAATTCTATTAATTAAAAAGAGAGAAAAATCTAAAGCATTCGTAGACTTTTTTCGGGTATATGGAAGTCATCTTTTTGGATGCTACCCGATGTAAACCTGCAATAGAGATGTTATTTGTGGTGTGGCCTACTGCTAGGATCCCACTGTCACCATTCTGGCCACGATTGAAAACGTGGTTTTAATCGTGGATTAATCGTAGGGATCCTATCAGGTCTTATCATATATATTGAGGTCAGTCATAGCAATCGGGTTGATCGTATCGAAAGATATCCGAACGTATCTACATCTACCAGATCTTGGAATCATTAAAGACAATCTGGTCGTTAAGCATCGTACAACATTGTGAACCTACCATTAAACTGTCAACATAGCTATAGGTTATTATTTTTATTATTACTATGATCAACCTTCACGATAAACTCAGACAGCGTTCTTATAAACGAAGTAATGCCAACAATACTGAGAATAAATAAAACTGTTACGCATAAATGAAGGAAATGAAAATAAAATGAAATGGAGTTTTAGATCCTGCTAGCTCTCAAATAGTACCAAAAGCTCTTGATTCTTAATTATCATCATCGGTATTGCTCCACCGCTTTGTTAATTCTATGCAGTGGGGTAATTGAGGATGCCAGTGCAATAAGGTGGAAAAGTGCCTTTGTTTGTAAATAAGATCATTCGATTATTTCAAATCAATCCATTTTTAGCAGATTTTCTTAACAACCAGTTCATTTTTATCATTTATATCACAGTATATGTCAATTTCAGTGTTCGAGTCTAAAATATGAAAACATACTATTTTTAGCAGATTGTCTGAAATCCTGAATTATTGTCAGCACCAAGGCATTTGCCCAATTGTCTTGAAACCTGCACTGGATCTACCACACAAGTATTGTCCCCCATTTGCTTTCTGGTTACTTTTTTTTGTATTTGTCAATAGCATCCATTTCTAGTAATATAGCCCATTGTCATCCCAAGTTAAAGTTTTGAATTATGTTTTGTTTCAACAGACACCAATTAGAAACTACACAACACTAACAGCAATGACGGGGGTGTATGAATATGATTTAAATGAATTTATGGTTAGTAATCACGTGACGATGTTGTCACAACCTCTCAACGTGAATGAAACGTTTGGTGGTATGGTAGCAGCTTCAACACATGTAAGTATGAAACGAAATGAAATGGGGTTTAACGTCCTACTGTTCTGCTCCTATGCTGGGCTAATGAAGACGGGCATACGCCATACAGTGTGCTATGAGGGAAATTTTGCCCGGGCAGCGGCACTATCGCCTACTCTTATATCGAATTCCAACTGCCAAGGGATCTTTTACGTGCATTCCAATGTATACACGGGCCCTCGGTTTTTCGTATCATCCGAAGGACTAGACAGCTGTCCTTGTCAGGCCCTCCGTCCTGCATCACTGACAAGGGGGGACCACGCCGGAAAATCTGGATGAACTTTCTCGGCCAATGCAAGGATCGAACACCCGACCTCCAGACTAGCGAGCCAGCGTCTTACCCAATTAGCCACGTGATCCCCCACACATGTAATACTGTGAACATTGGTGAGGTGGGAAAGCTAGTGATCGTGGTGGGCTGGTGGGCGGGTGGGCGGGCGGGCGGGCGGGGCGGGGGTTATATTTCATTGCGTTGTATAAGTTCCTGCCTTATCATAACACCATTGTGCAGTGATAGAAATTATCGTCCATATGTGGTCGAGATTATTCCGTTGGTTGATTTTGTATTACTGACAAATGGATGACCCCATAGCTATTGTACGTCGTTGCTGGTGAAACACCCTCTACTAACTTGATTCGGCAATTCACGTCAATAAGTATCCTCTTATCATTATCAAGCACGTTGTGCTTTTAGAATAAAACCTAGTGATTGTTTCCCATAAAAACTGTGTTCTGTTAATGTGTTTCCCGATCACAAAATGCCACTTAAAGGTTACTAATAAAACCTGACATATAAAAACATCCATCATCTATTCGAAAAGCAAATTTGCGTAATCGTAGCACTAAGGATTCCCCAACATATTTATTTATTATTTCCAGGGATCCACGTGGAGTGCACCTACCTATAGTGGTTATGTAAGAGAAATGAGATTAATGGACTCTTCCGGTCGTCTGCGACGTTTCACCATTGAAGACCATCCCAACATCATGAAGGCCGCCATTTGTAATTTAGGGATGTTTGGCATCATGTATGACATCACAATAGAGGTAAATATCTCAAGCAATCTTAGATTTTGATTTGAGAAAATATTTTTGGTAGTCTATTTTTAGAACTAGAGTTTCGCTCTTTTTGAAATTTGACAATGGGAAACGCGTTTTGCAAGCACTTCTGGGAGAAATCTAGGTATCATATTTTCCAAATTTATGCTGCTATTTTGACTATAAGACATACTACTGTACAACACAAGACACTCATGACAGGTCTGCTTAATATAATGCTAATACAATGTATTTCTATCCAAATAATAAATTGCATCTTATACATATCAAGGCATGAATACATGTATGTATGGTTTTTCGCGTGCGCACTCTCAATATTTTGAGGGGATTCCGCGTGAAAATTAGAGCTCTCAGGGGGCCCCGCTTTTACGGGTGGACTTATTGTTTAATGGGGGCCTGGGAGGACACCGTCCTCCTAAACTTCCTGCCAGCACGCCCCTGAATCCCTATGATCTTGGTAACGTAGAACCTGCTGGCGTGTTTAATAGGCCATTGTAAACGGTATCATTGGAGGTCCATTGATGAAGCCAGGAGACTATTGATGAAGCCAGGAGACTATTGATGAAGCCAGGAGACTCTGAATTAGCTAACCTATTTGATCTGGCCCCGAGTTCAAAAATCATTTTCAGGCTAAACTAAGAAATTACTCCCCTTCAATCACTGTTTAAGAGAAATATCTTTGATCCAGAAAAAATAAGAAATTACCCCCCTTCAATCATGGTTTAAGAGAAATATCTTTGATCCAGAAAAACAAAACTTTGCACATAGTTACTTTTATTGATGTACTCGATATATTAAACCAACCAAAGTTTTATAAAAGACTAGACTTTAGTTGAAATAAGGCGAACAATTTTGAGTAAATCCTTAACTAAAGGCTGAGAAAGCTTTGTGAAGTCGAGGCCTGGGTCAGTGTTTATTTTTATTCGGTGTTATTTGTTGAGTTGTTATATGGAATGACAATCTACCTTCGTTGACAATTGTACGCCTACAGATGGAGCCAATATTAAGAAATAATCATTTGATTTTTTGTTCTATTTTTGGCACAGCAAGCCAAAATGTATTAAGCAACCCGACTTCCGAAAAATCTCTCGAAACCAAAATATAATCGACATCAATTTTTGCTTCTTTAAATTGTATACTTGCACGCGCGTGAATCAACGGATATCCGGAGCATATAGAGGATGTTTTTTGTAATTTTAACTATAAATAAATATGGATTTTAATTCCCAGATAATAATTGTTTTATTTGGTTAAAGGTCTACCCCATTGTGATAGCCAAAGTTACTAACCAATTCGCGAACCTGGGTGATCTAATCTACGATAATACCAAGTTAAGAGATACCGTCACCTCGAACTTCTTGACAGAAATATCCTGGTTTCCTTTCAACTCTGTCACTGACCAAGAGGCGACGGAATACGAACAAGATGGAAGGATTCCTGCTGCCTGGAATGCTAAAAGAGATTTGGTTTGGTTGAGGTAAATATAAAAGTTTAAATGTAAGCTTTAACGGCACATGGTGCCTGCGAAAGCCGGATACATATATAAGAGATAGAGAGAGAAATGGGGTTTAACGTCCACTCGACACAAACTAGGTCATTTCGGGACTAACATATGGTTTTAATTTAATTTCAATAATTCGCTTGCGCGTAGGGGTCTTTAGTAGTGGGAGGAAACCGGAGGGCCCTGAGAAAACCCACGAGGTTGGACAGGCGACCCTACTCCTTGTCACGTACAACCGGGGAATCGAAACCCCACCAGTTGACTCAATGACAGACCGTATGATACAACGCGCGCATGCTAACCATTCGGCCATCCAACCCCCCGTATACATGTATAAAGGCGGTCTTACCATCTATGGCCAAGTAGACGCTAAATAATACTATTTCATACACCTATTGTTAGTCCCGGTCACCGTTGCCAATATTTGACGAAAAGTTCCATTGCTCATGCGTTACCGGGAGTTTGGTTTTTTATGTGGTTGATTATCCAGTATTATTTTGCTAAGTCAAGTAAGAATTGCACCCCTTCCCGAAATAAATCCCATAATTCAAGCATTAGCCTATTTATAAACAAACATGAATCGTGACGACGAATTAGGATTAATTTAAAAAAAACCCAAAGACATGGCCCATAAAGAGAGAAATTTTACAATATAATTTTTTAAGAGTGTTGGATTTTGAACTGGCAATGCAGATGGATTTTCTGAAATGGCAATTCTTAGATTAATTTTATGGGCGTTGATATCTTGTTTTAGGACTAGTTACTTCCCTTAGACTTTGTTCATGATAATATAAAAGACTGGATAATCTAACCAATGAATTATTATTCTCAAATGTTGACAACCCACCCAGGCTAATTTTTGTACCTACGAACAAAATTGACATTTTATAAATAGATAACAACAAAATTAATGTTTTTGTTTGCGAATTATTTTCTTCTAATTTTTTCAGAACAATCAACCTTGTGAATGAATCGGAACTAGGTGATAACATAATTCAACCAGCCATATTTTTACCGACAAATGGTTCGCTGTCTGGTGGAAATGTTGTCGGTTTATTAAGAGGAAGGGTAAGTCAATTAAATTATTATTTCAAGATTTCTTGTCATAATTTGAATGCCATATGATATGTTTCTTTCTTCAGTAACATCTCTTTGGTGGGAAATGCACTAAACCGGCATGAAGACGGGCATACGCCATGCAGTGTGCCATGGGGCGGGGGAGGGGGATTTGCCTTTCTGCCCACGCTTCATAGATTCGAACTGTATACACAGAATCACATAGAATTCGAACTGTTTACATAGAATCACAGTTTTTCGTCCCATCCGAATGACTTGTAGCCGTCCTTGCCAGGTCCACTGTCCCCAACCACTGACAACGGAAAACTGCGGCGGAACCTTCTCATCCTTCATCTAGATCTAATCCGGAACCTACTGGTTATAGTGAACCAGCGCGTTTTTCACTGAGCCACAATCACTCCTTTACATTTGATGGATTCCCTTACCAAAAAATCTGATTAAAATACACATCTATATTTCGTTTCGTTTTTTTTAATATATATATATACTTTTGATGACCTACACTACACGAAGGTCTGACCGGTTGTAGCGATAGGTCGCGTCAGGGGTCATACGAGCGGCTTTTTTACCCTATGACGTCAGACATTTGATTAATCATTCAGCATTGATGATACTAGTTTTCTGCACAGTTCCGTGCAAAACACGCCTAAAGCTCGACGTAACAGCCTGTTTCATTGGATAATCCCTCACACCGTCCAGAAGACGTCAATAATAGCAACTCTTCCAGATCCTAGTGTAGTGAAGACAAGTAAAACGAAATTTTGAACTATCAAAAACGAAACGAAATAAAATCTGTGTTTTAATCAGATTGTCTATCAAACATTGTTTATTACTTTTGTATTTAAACCACGGCGCTGATGGAAGCGGGCATTAAGGCCCTCGAACGTAGGACGAAAAGTGACTCAGTTGATGACTTTTGTCCCCAGGCCAACGACTTCTAAAATCCACATCCAAACCATCACTCCAATTGCTATAAGTAGATTCGGTAATGTGCAGGGGAAACTCCATGCTTACTATATTGTACTATTTAGTCAAAACGAGCCTTCGCGTTTAAATTACTATGGTTCGGTTACAAATGGAGTTTAACGTCCTACTGTTCTGCTCCTATACTGGGCTAATGAAGACGAGCATCCGCCATACAATGTGCTATGAGGGCAAGTGTACCCGGACAGCGGCACTACGGCCTACTCTTATATAGATTTCCAACTGTCAATGGTTTGTTTTTACATGCATGCCAATGCGTACACGAGACCTCGATTTTTCGTCCCATCCGAAGGACTAGAATTCGGTTATTGTCATCAGAGGTTAAACATGTTATTTGTGTATTTCAGGCAGCTGTTAATATAGCTAGAAAACTACCCAGTACTAGTTATCATTATCTAGTTGATGGTTTCCCTGTTATATTACCACCACGTTTCGGTACAGAAACCAGTGCCGCTTTTATGTTGAGTATAGATAATCAGTTTATTAGACCAGCTACAGGACTACAGGTAAATGGCAAATATTTCTGTTCCGGTTACTAATGTTGGTGGCTTGTAATATTATTAGAATTGGCTTATGATGATGCAGTGATCTAGTTAAAGGATGTACATTTAAAGATACATTATGTAAGATTTTGATAAAGAGTTGACAGTTCTTACTATAATAGTTCAAACATAGATAATGAAAAATAAATATATTGAAAATTTCATTCAAATAGATTATAAAATAAAGCTAAAATAAAGATCTGAAATAGACAATCGGTAGATTTAGCTCATACATCAATCTGATTAGAATACAGATCTATATTTCGTTTCGTTTTTTATACTTTCGATGGCCTCAACTGCATGAAGATGTGACCAGTTATACTGGCAGGTCGCGTCAGGGGTCATACGAATGGCTTTTCACCCTATGACGTCAGGATTTTGATTAACCAATCAGCGTTGATGTTTCTATTGGGATATCCACAGTTCCGTGCACAGTACGCCAAGAACAGACCGTTCGATTTGCAAATCCCTCATATCAACCAGATTGCGGGTTATATAACAACTCTTCTAGATCTTAAAGACAAGTAAAACGAAATTTTGATCTATAAAAAACGAAACGAAATAGAATCCGCGTTTGAATCAGATTGCTCTTACGACATTATGTATCTTAAATGAATAGTAATTGATAACTTATGAGAACAATTCGTATGGTTTTTGCATTCAGATGAATATTAATTGACAAATTAGCATAACGATAACGGATGTTATGATTTTAAATTCAACGAAATATTATAATTTGACAACTTCTATTGTAATAAATACCTTATAAAACTTTATAATAATGAATTGTATGATTTGTACATTCATGTGAATACTAACTGTCAATTAATTCTATCATTTAAATAAAAACGACTGTAATGATTTTGCAAGAAAACAATTTTGGAATGTTTTTGTATATTTCAGTTTATTATTGAAGAAGCCGAAACTCAGATAAAAACAAACGGTTCAACACCTTTGAACGCTCTTCTTCCTCGATTCTTCCAAAATCACGAGTGTGACCTTTGCCCTGGTAACCATGACATCACAATTCCCGACGACTCTGGTAGAACGTTGGTAATAGATTTCTTGGCTCCACCAGCTCAGTACGGTTTTTATCCTACAGCTAGAAAGGTGAGTGGATATATTTAAACTAGTTCAAATTCGCCGGGAGTGAGTCACCGAATTAAAGTGGTTTTGACCCGTTGCTTGTATGTTAAATTAGAAAATTATAATATGTTAGTCCTGAAATGACATAGTTTGTGTTGAACCAACGTTAAACCCAATTTCTGTCTATGTTTGAGGTATAATTTTATTGTATTCACTCAAACAAAATCTCTCAAAAACAGAGTAGATTCAGTATTTTACTTGCCGCACATCTCCAGAGACGTGGTGGGTGTCGTGAACAAGGCGCTAGGTGGCGTCCTTATTGCGCTGGGGCGTCCGTACGGCGACCAGAAAATGTGCAAGGTCGCTGCATGGCAGACGTGAACACAACGGATGAAAAGTCCAAACGAATTACAAACTTGAAACAAAGCCGCAGATCGTAGAATCTTGGCGTTTGTTTTGACCATGCTCAGAACATACTCCATGGTTCGGCAATCATTTGCGACCATGGAGACCACAGCACGATATTTGGCATTTCCGCCAAACTTTTTGCGATTTTCCGTCACCACAGTAGTGACGTAAGGGAACCACCTGTTCTGACGGGGGTATTACTCCTTTTGGAACATCTGGTACTACGCCTCAGTTTTTTCGTCGGTTGCATTTTTTTTATATCTAAATGATTTCTATTTATATTTTATACAGTTTGTTGAGAGATTTGAGAATGAGAAAGTTCGACCCCACTGGGCCAAACGTCACGACAATATACCAGGAATAGTTGATATTATCAAGAACGTTTACGGCAATAATCTCGTCCATTTTCAAGACATGAAGAAACTTGCACGAGTTGATCATAGTGATATGTTTATGAACAGTTATTTATTAGCAATATTTGGTAGAAGTGATTATTCTTCATATTAAAAAAAATACATTCTAGGGAATTGTGAGAGTTACCCCCCCCCCCACCACCACCAAACACCCAATATTCGGTAGATGTGATTATTCTTCATATTATTAAAATGGTATTATCAGGGTTAAGAGAGTTATTTCTACCCTCGAACTTTAAAAGCCAGAAAGCCAGTTCTTCCCCGATCACCGACAGTTTTTCAACGCCATTATCCCATTTGTTTTGTAGAAGTGATTATACTTCTTATTAAAATACAGAGAGCCAGTTATCCCATAACGCCAATCTTCACACCCCCTCGGCCCATTCCCTCTGCATGAAAATTGATGTTACAAACATAATAATGGAGAGTTATTCCTCACCCCAACACCGTCATGCACCTCACCACCCCTAATCCACAAATCCTATTGTTATTTACTTGTATATATCATCCATTTAAATGTGTGTGATTTTTCAGTAAAATTTGTTTATAACTTGTATTAACTATGCTACTGTTTAGTTTGTTCAGTCTGTGTTTTAGTGTACAGCCCACCCGATTTGTTTTGGTAATTTTAGCCGTATTGTTTGTTCTGTCTGTGTTTTAGAGTACAGCCCTCGATTTGTTTTTGTAATTTGAGGCGTATTGTAGGCGTATCATTCCCATCACCAGGGTAAACCACACACTCTATAGTTAGATAGTTGTATATTTTAAAGTTTGGGATTTTCATCCTTTATAATTTATATTTTCTGTTAAGTTTTTCTGTCCGTGTTTTAGTGGACATGCATTTTGTAATTAGCGGCGTATTGTAGTTTTCTTATAATAAATTAGTTTTCTCGACACTGTCAATAGAGGCCAGAGTTATCATCCGATTGACTTTAAATTCATACACATTGATTAAGTTGAGCTGACGTCATCGTCCTGGTATCGGTACATGTTTTAAATTATATAAATGCTAACACGAAGAAGAATACTAATTACTTCGGATCACTCGTTATCAGTTTTAGAGTCTTGTGAATGCCCCAACATGCTGTTTTGTCGCCATGCAAATCCCAATTAACAGTCTGTAACTTGATAATTTGATTCTTGCCACCAATAAGATATTAAAAGGTGCGATAATATGTAAGATTTAGATAAGAGGTGGACATTCTTGCTATAATTGTTCAAAAATAGATAATGAAAATAGAATATATTGAAAATATCATTGAAATTACTTAATTCTGGACGATGTAGCGTAGATCGCTTATTATCGTGGCAACGGTACTTGACAACCGAGACTATGTCTCGATTATCCATTTTATGGTTAAATTTGTGATCTCGCGCGTGTACAAATTCATTTAAATCTCTGCCATCCGATGTTCTAGAGAGTTTATATGCTTGCTATGTTAATAAATGTCTCATTTATAGTTTACATAACTTTTAAGGCCTAAAGAAAGGTCTATAATAGGCAGATTTAGCTCTTCAATGATGCATTTTGAAGATATATTCGGCATTTTATTATGTGATTAAATTTGTGTATCTTTATTCTTAAGTATGTATATTTTTGATAATAAAATTAAAATTTCATATTTTATTTTGACTTCTGTTAGTTATAGTTTTGGCGGTGTTGACAATAAGCCCCAACAAAATAACCCAAATCCTGTCGGTAATAAAAATGTCAATGAATGCATCATAAAGAGAGAGAAAGAGGGAGAGAGAGAGAGAGAGAGAGAGAGAGAGAGAGATGGGTTTAACGTCCACTCGACACAAACTAGGTCATTTCGGGACTAACATATGGTTTAATCCTATTTCAATAGTTCGCTTGCGCGTAGGGGTCTTTAGCAGTGGGGGGAAACCGGAGGACCCGGAGAAAACCCACGAGGTTGGACAGGCGATCCTATTCCTTGTCACGTACAACCGGGGATTCGAAACCACGCCATTCAATGACAGGCCTTATGATACAGCACGCACGGGCTTACCATTCGGCCATCCAATCCCCCAAATACCCCAGAAAAAAGCCTTCAAAAACTCAAGAGGATTTTCTTACGGCCATTTCACTACAGATGATATTACAGACTATATATCTGAGATGTCTCCGTTAAATAAATGAAATGAAATGAAATGGGGTTTAACGTCCTACTGTTCTGCTCCTATACTGGGCTAATGAAGACGGGCATACGCCATACAGTGTGCTATGAGGGAAATTTTGCCCGGGCAGCGGCACTATCGCCTACTCTTATATCGAATTCCAACTGCCAAGGGATCTTTTACGTGCATTCCAATGTTTACACGGGACCTCGGTTTTTTCGTCTCATCCGAAGGACTAGACAGCTGTCCTTGTCAGGCCCTCCGTCCTGCATCACTGACAAGGGGAAACCACGTCGGAAAATCGGGATGAACTTTCTCGGCCAATGCAGGGATCGAACACCCGACCTCCAGGCTAGCGAGCCAGCGCCTTACCCAACTAGCCACCGTGGCTCCCTCTCCGTTAAATAAACTTCTTTCGAGGCTATTATTTGGAAGCGTCCAAATTCGAAACTAATGCTAATTTCCGGTGAATAGGAAATCTAATTTAAGTTTGTTGCTTGTACCAACAGTATTGCAGGTATAATATTTAAACAGATATGAATTAGCGAAATAGAATCTGAATAGCACGTCACAGTCTAAGCAGGATGACCAAATCATTTTAACTTGTCTTCAACTGTGGATATTTTACCCAATATGACCCAATCTGTAAAACAGTTATAGAGCCAGGTGCTGTAAAATGGGAGAGAAATGAGGTTTAACTAGGTCATTTAGGGACTAACATATGATTCAATTTTATTTCAATAATTTGCTTGCGCGTAGGGGCCTTTAGCAGTGGGGTGAAACCGGAGGACCCGGAGAAAACCCACGAGGCTGGACAGGTGAACCTACTCCTTGTCACGTACATCTGGGGAATCGAAACAATGCCAGTTGACTCAATGACAGACCTTATGATACAGCACGCATGCGCTAACCATTCGGACCCCCCCCCCCCCCCCCCGCCCCACACACACACAACCCCATCTCTGTTGAACATCTGATTATTTCTCTGTGTGGTAGAATAATTTTGATCAATGGCATTATTGTAAAAGAAAGAAAACCTTTTGTTTTCATTCATAGATCTGTTCTCATACCCATTGTCTCCCTGTGTGGAAGGTGGTACCGTACAGAGAGGTATATGGGGTCTGAGCAGAGAAAATGAAAATGAAATGAAATAGGGTTTAACGTCCTACTGTTCTGCTAATGACTGGGCTAATGAAGACGGTCATACACCTTACAGTGTGCTATGAGAGAAATTTTGCCCGGACAGCGGCACTACGGCCTACTCTTATATCGAATTCCACGGTGTGTGTTAGTATGTAATGGTACCGACTACAGAATTAATATATTACGTTTTTTTGTAAATTCGGTGGAGGCCCCTTGAAGAGAGAGAGGGAGAGAGAAATGGGGTTTAACGTCCACTCGACACAACCTAGGTTATTTCGGGACTAACATATGGTTAAATTTTATTTTATCAATTCGCTTGCGCGTAGGGGTCTTTAGCAGTGGGATGAAACCGGAGGATCCGGAGAAAACCCACGGGGTTGAACAAGCGATCCTACCCCTTGGCACGGATCCTACCCCTTGTCACGTACAACCGGCGAATCGAAACCTCGACAGTTGGCTCAATAACAGCGAGTACGCGCTAACCATTCAGCCATCCACCACTCCCACCCCCACCCCCTTTTCCAAAACAAACATCCACACTCTTTTCGGTGATTATCAGGACCGACAATAGTTCATTGTATCCAAGTTTTAATGATTTTTACAGGGCTGGTGAATAAAGACAAAGGGTAGTCACGCAAACCAAGTAATTAAAAGATTATTTGTATTAGAACATTAATATACTAACATCAATCGATTTAATTCTCCATGTCAAATAGAATGATGGAAAGCAAAAACATTACGATAAATGTTTTATTTTCAAATGTTGGATATTTAGAAATACATCATGTGTATTAATGTAGTTAAGCAATTTATATTTTTGAAAATTAAATGTTTACATAATTGTATTTGTTTTCTCTTTGATTTGGATTCTATCTCAGATTTGGTTAAGTCATCTGTAATGGATATGACGTAATTAATTGGTTCCTAATAATGAAATCATCTGAAAAAAAAATAAAAAACCATATGTTATAAAGTGTAATTATTTAGGTTCGCTACATTAAGAACACCAAAGAAGAGATCCACGAGAATGGGATAATTGTAGTGGTCATACCATCATATGACACCTTTGAAGCAGCAAGGTCTATTTTGTCTAAACCTCGGTTCTCTTAATCTGCCTTCGTCTGAACACCATCAGTTTACTTTACAATTCGAGAACGAGAAGGAAGAAAACTACAATAACTAACCCTGACCACATCCTTAGTTTCAAAATGCTTATTGTATTGACGAATTGTTAAATTCATTTTCCTTCCTTCTTTAAACTGTCAACATTTATTGACTATCCCCTCGCAAATGCCCAAATACAGGTTTTCAATTAAACGTGTGAATGTTCTTACAAAATAAATGGCAGCCACAGTGACTCATTGAATAAGGCATTTGCCCGCTAACCAGGAGGTCCCAGGTTCTATCCCGGTGTTGGTCGAGGAATTGCCAATGGATTTCCGGCGTGGATTCCTCTGGTCAGTGGTGCAGGACAGAGGGCCTGACACGTTGGCGTGCACGTAAAAGAATCCATGACAGTTGGAATTTGAAATAAGAGCAGTCCGTAGCGGTGCTGTTGGGGCAAAATTATCCTCATCGTACACTGCTTGGTGTATGTACGTCTTCATCAGCCTAGCTGCGGAAGAAAAGTGGGACGTTAAACCCCATTTCATTGTAAACAAGCCAACAGTGAGCCTGATGTACCCCATCGAAATCTCAAAATAAATAGATGACACATATTAAGTACGTGATTGTGGCGATTCCCCTTTTGTTTTAAAGGTGATATTGACGGTAAATATTACCATACCAATTTAATCAGCTTGACTACTTTAACTTCATCGGCTGTTATGTTTCCATCTTCTACACAAAAAAAAAATAAATAGATACATTATCCACTGTATTACTGTTACATGTAGCACACAGCCGGGTCACTATAAAATCACGTGACGTGTCATTATAAATACATATGAACAATGTGAGCCTTATAAAATGACCAGATAACGTGATTGATTGTTGGTCGAAACCCGTGACGTAGCCGATCATGAATCGTGATCGCTCGTATGCTACTTATGAGCAGCTTTTCATAGGCAATCGCCATTTACGCATACTACTAAGCAGCAAAAGAAACGTCAGGTTGGTATGCTACTCTGAATAGACACATTGCAAAAAAACTTGCCAAATGTTTTTATTGTATATTTGTGACCACATCTCCAACTTTACCTGAGCAATAAGGCTCCTTCCCAAACACAGATTCAGCGAATCTCGTGAAGCTATCAGAAGACGAATTGGGCATTTGCGTATCGAAAATCATTGATCTTTACAGTTCTGGTTTTAGCAATGATATTATTTCTGAATTGTGGTCTTTTCGTCGAGAATTGCAACAAGATCTAGCTTTGAAGAACACCGTACTGGAGGTGTTAGATTAGAACGTTTAATGTCTTCCGTGTAATATCTTCAATGCCCGAAAGGACAACAGTTTGTGCATTGTGCTAAAAAGCAAAATTTCAGAAGGTGCCCCTCTTAGTACTTCCGCCCAAGGAACCCCGACCCCTCTGTGACGTCAGTGCATGCGTGCCACTTGAAAGGATATAAAATAATTGTTTCGTAGCGGTAAGAGCCCCGCGATTCTAATCTGGTCCAGAGCCCCGCGATTTTAGTCTGGTCCTGAGCCCCGGTCGGATTAAACAGCGCCTTGAGGGTTTCGTTAGATTTTGTTTATTTTGTAGTTTACGATATATACCTATAATGTCCTAGTATTTGAATATGGAAGGGTCGTCATCAATGTATGTCTGGACGTGAATGATCAAATATATTTTTATTTGTGACCTTGAGGCTTAGATTATTAGGTTCAATTAAGACTCACCATGTACATCCATACTTACTGTTTGCATCAGCCAATTTTAGAATCTTCACAAAATCTTTTGATTTGGGATTCAAATTAAGGGTTTTCGCTAGACTGACCAATTCCTCCTTACTTAAATAGTCGTCACGTTTGTCTAGTGTTATCGCGTGACTGGCCAGTTTACCATAGTTGCGTCTGGCACCTCCCATTCCGCCTGGTGCTTCGGCACTGGTTTCGTCACAGATAATTAGCATTGCTACGATAACCATCAACAACAAAGCAACTGATGATTTCATCGTAAAACTATAAAGAAATACACGTATAGAGTTAAAAGTAGCAGGAAAATGTATGCCTGAGCATAGAAATTAAATGAAATGAAATGGGGTTTAACGTCCTACTGTTTTGCTCCTAAACTGGGCTAATGAAGACGGGCATACGCCATACAGTGTGCTATGAGGGAAATTTTGCCGGGGAGAGTGGCACTATCGCCTACTCTTACATCGAAATCTAACTGCCAAGGGATCTTTTACGTGCATTCCAATGTATACACGGGACCTCGGTTTTTCGTCTCATCCGAAAGACTAGACAGCTGTCCTTGCCAGGCCCTCCGTCCTGCATCACTGACAAGGGGGGGGGGGAACCACCTGAGCATAGAGATATAACCTGGTTATACTGGTCTTAGTTAAACAAACATTGGTTTGTTATATAACAGGTTACTTTTTAATAATTTTGGAGAAGAGTTGGTATATCGCCTGCTTGAACAAATCATTTTAAACTTTATTGAATTGTCAAATTTAAAACGACGACCAGCAATATAAATATCAACTTTTATTTACATTTGAAAGAAGAACAAGAACGAATAGTTCGTTTCGAACATATATCATCTCACAGTCTCATATAATGTTCTTTGTCTCCAAGGGAATTATCCGTGAGCTGAAAATCGACTGCGTGTCTGTTATCGCTATCTACTTCAGCCAGCAAGGATAACTCATGTTTACTCTTTTTCCGGTCACTTTCCGGTTCTAACCTCGTGGGTTTTCTCCCGATCCTCTGGTTTCCCTCCCACTGCTAAAGACCCCTACGCGCAAGCGAATTATGGAAATAAAATTGAACCATATGTTAGTCCCGAAATGACCTAGTTTGTGTCGAGTGGACGTTAAACCCCATTTCTCTCTCTCTCTCTTTCCGGTTCTTCAAATCATAGAAAAAAATAGAAAAAGTAACTGCATATCCTGTTTTTATAAATTCTCTACTTTTAAGTGATAATTATAGTTCATTCGGGAAGCCCTATAAATAAATTCAAGTCATATTATTATTATTTTTAGGACAATTATTTCTGTCTCTTGAAAATAACTAAGGGGTCTAAAATATTCAAATTGGGTCTGAAATACAAGTTAGTTAGGCTACAAGTTTACAAATACTGTTTTTTTTTGTATATAGCAAAGGTATAAAGATCGCGTTCAAATAGTCCAGTGATTCTCAACCAGTGTGCCGCAAGATCTTCCTAAGTGTGCCGCGAAATTTTGAATGGTACACTAAGAAAATGCGAGGAACCACGTGATCCAAAGGAGTATTCATTGGTGTCTACCGGTAAGTTTCATAGCCGTGTTTTCCTTTATTTAGTTTGAGTCACTTTACGTGCCTATGACTAATCTGTGTCTACGGTTGTATGCCGTCTATGACTTGCATGTTTTTATTTTGCAAAATTCAGATATTTTTCATATATATTTAGCCCGGTGTGCCGCTATTTTTTCATGTGTTCCAAGGTGTGCCGTTGGCAAACAAAGGTTAAGAACCACTGATATAGTCGAACGCAGAATTCATATTTGTAATCTACATAGTGTAGCTCGCTGCTTCAGTCGTTAGCAGTAATTGCTTTCCTTTATTTGCATCACGTCCAGATTCCTCGAATCGTTTATACGGATCATCCATAAATACGGCCCATTTTGTCAACATAATTAGGATGTCCAAAAAAGGTCGCGCATAAATCAACCGAAATTCCACTCTTTGTCAACTGGAATTTGAATCAACCAATGAATCAATTTATTCGCGTTTAAAGACGGCGAAGCCGCGGCCTGCGAACCCGTTACCCGCGAGAACAGAACAAAATATAATAATAAGGATTCTGAAAAATGTCGTTCATAAAGTCGAGTGACTACTCCTGAGTAGACCTAGCGATAGACAGTGTTTGAATATTTTTAAGTGTTTTCAATTTTGACCCATTAGTCAATTTAAAGAAATTACGATTCCCGAATAATTGAAATTTCTATTTCTCACAAAAATCTAATAGCCCGAAAGTTGAGGGGAAGCACCCCCCCCCCTCCACACACACACACACACACACACACACACACACCCACACCATTACTGGAATGAGACCACGGCTTACAAACATGGATACAGACAATACATGTGGACCCAATCAACTCTAATTATTCTTCTTCGACTATAATGTAATACGTTCTCTGACTTAACAGACATAATTCAATATTTAAAGACGTATACTTACTTTATTAAACTACAGAGGCTATTCTTTTGAGTTGTGGTTGTTTAATAAATGTTAGAGGAAAATTCGAATTTATATATCAGAACACCTGTCAAATGAATTATAACTGATTTCAAATTAAGTTCAATGTGCTACCATCATGTGAAATTAGCTTCAGGCATTTACCACTTAGGGCATTGTAATATGAAATAAAATCATAATCGTAATTGGAATTCCAAACTTCGTAATTGCTTGCAGTTAGATTAAATGCGCATTATGGACTCGTAACAAGCCCCCATCCAAATTCATTCAGTATAACTTTTGTTAGTAACGGCAAATTTAGATAATTATTTCAAAAAGCCATACAAATTGTAAACGTTCAATCAGAATATAGAACCATTTCAAGGTGGAAAATCATAAAGGGTGTAAATGCGTGATTCAAACGCAATCCTCTCAATTCATCCATTTTGAAGGGCCTAAAACAGGCTGATAAGCTTTAATTAGAGAATGATTCTCGAGACAAACACCTTTTTTTATGGTGTTTACCATTTCAGGTAGGTCTCTACGTAGTTCAACTCTGAAGTTCTCGTTACACTCGCCCTATACGTTCAAAAATCGGTCTCTTGACTCCTTGTCGAACTTTTTTCAGTTCCCCGTAAATTTTACTGAGAAAATAAGACATCTCTTACCTCGCTAAAGTCAGTAGGTGCGACATAACATGCTGTTAAAAATACGTCCCCTTCTGCTTAACAGCTTGGCATAGGCCTTTAAAATCTAAATAGGTAAATTTACGTAACTCGACCATATAAGACGAAACGAAATTTAGGTAAGCATAGGTAACAAAATTAGAATTTTTGAAAAAAAATCGATTGTAAGTTACGTAACTGGTCTAGGCAAAGCAATAAATGACTGAAGAGTCTCAATTTTTCAAAAATATCCTCCTCTCCTCCCCCCCCCCCCCACTTACCTCAGTTTCGTTTCGTCATATAAATTTGAAATCGTGGTCTTAATCGTGGAGTAATCAGGGTGATCATATCAGGTCGTAACTTATGTTGATCATATCGAAACGTATCCGAACGTATCTACACGTACCATATTTAATTAGTCCTAATACATGTAGTATAAAATTAACTTGTTTTTAAGATTTTACATGCATTAAAGATGCATTATGTAAGAGCTAATCGGCTTATTGTCGGTTATTGTTTTGGTTCATATCTTAGGTAAATTATTATTAGGACATTTATTCACATAACCAACTCTCTAGATCATCGGATCGCTAAGATTTAAATGGATTTGAACAGCCTTGAGATTTAAAGTGATAATAAACGATTTACGCTTCATCTTCAGACAGTCATAGCGTCGCCAAGAAAACTGTAATCTGAATGAAAATTTCATTATATTCATTTGGCATTATCTTTTTTTAAACTATTATAGCAAGAACGATCAGGTCTTTATCTAAATCTGACATAATGTTCTTTAAAGGGACCATCCCGATTTTACCAGTCTCAGGAATAAAAGTCCGCGTTGGCGCCAAAATACAGAGGAATGGTATATTCACCTTGTCACAGAATTTCAGCTTAAAATATTAAACCGCTTATACGGACACGTAACCCTTTTAAGATTTCGGGTCAATTTTTTCGTTGGGTGACCTGATAATCGATCCCCGTTTCTTTAGAGTTCTATACAATGAACGACCCATGTGCTGTACTTGATAAAGAAAGATAATTTTCACCTAAATGTTATTTTTTTAAAATAAAATTCTGGTTTTATCCAGACTTCGTATAATACAGCTCGGGACGCCGGTCTCCATTTCCAGATGAAGACTGACGGGTTTAAGTTGTTTAAAAACGAGGGACGTTTATTGAGTTAGTTGCTAGGTCCTAGGGTATTTTAAGAGCTTTTAACACAAAATTAAGCAGATTTATTCTCCAAAAGGATTTACCCTTTAATTAGGAAATTACGTTTCGGGCAAAACTAAAGCATCCAATGAGAGCTAAAAACAAATACATCAGTCCTTTAAATCGTATAACCTCGTGTTATCGTACAGATCTATATTTCGTTTCGTTTTTCTATACTTTCTATGGCCTCTACTACAGTTGTAGTGCGAGGTCGCGTCTGGATCATACGAGCGGCTTTTGTCCTGTTACGTCAGACATTTGATTAACCAATCAGCTTTGATGTTTATAGTAGGATACCCACAGATCCGAATACAAACGAGTGAGAATAAATATTGAATAAATTTTATTGCAAAATATTTTTCTGTAAAACTTATAAATATGTCCAATGTTTAATTGTCAGTTTAATTTTCAGGTGTTGTGATAACTCTTAACAATTTTATACGGACATTTAATTTTACTTCACCCGGGGGACAATTGGATGTGCGTTATGGAAATAGTGTTATAATTACATGTTCTGAAAACTGTGGAGCCATAATAGATTAGAAAGAAAACATTATCGCAAAACGTGATGACAAAAAGGACAAACTTGATACATTTTGAGGTTTATAATGACCAGAAGGCCTGGTTAACAATTTTTACATGGGAGTGTTCAAGGTACGCGAATTTAATATATTATAATAATAACAATGCGCAATATCACAAAAAGCTAATTAAATTTCATTTTGTTTCAGGCCCATTCTAACGAAATTGAGCATTTACGTATGACAGCTGTTTATATAATTGTATTTACACTAACACGCTCTCTCTCTCCCTCCTCTCTCCATCTCTCTCTTGAACATTCAACCTTACTTCATTTCATTCTATTTCTCCACCTCTGTTCTTCTGGAGCGCCTCGCGTGAAAGGAGTGGAGTAACTGCACCCCGATTTGCAGTTCGTTTATTTATATCAATTCTCTGGGGCGAATCTGGTGATAGAAATTGCTACATCATATGGTCCGAAATTTAATGAAATCTGCCTTAAAAGTTTGCCAGGATTTCTTTTATAGTACCCATGGACATCACGCACATACTAGGCTATTCATGACTGAACCTGTGCAATTACTGATATGATTGGTTACTTAAGCTAAATGCAGCAATTAGTATATTTCCAATCATGTGTGATCTGGTGATTTTACGTTGACACACATATAGAACCAGCTATGTTTGGGTTATATAACTCTTTTTATGTGTCACCCATCTCACTCATATTTTTTAGTTCATATTTAATACAATTAGCCAAAGACATTAATTAAGTGTAGGATAAAGCACGAGACTGAGGTTATGCTGGGGAAAGAAAGAGTGAAGACAATAACCCGAGAGAAAGAAAAACCAAGGCCGGTAGGCCGAGGGTTTTCTGTCGAGGGTTTTTTCTGAAGTCTTTCTTCCCAAGCATGACCGAAGTCGAGGACTTTATCTTGCTTATAAACAGTCTATGTTTACATGTACGCAAGATAAGAATATCCCAGAATTCCCACAAGAAAAACCTTATATCATGTTTTCTTATGGGGAAAAAAAACCTTCCCTGGAAGAATAACCCGTTACAGGTTTAAAGAAAAACTTTCAGAACAATAACCCCAAATCTCCCTGTATATATCCAAAACCTCCCCCGACTTTCAGATCGCAAGTTATTCCGGGCATAGAATATACCCCAAAGATCAAAGAGATTTACCGTTACAGGTTTATAATACAATATAATGCCATCATTAATTATAAGAGCAAAAATTCTAGCAATATCTACACCGTCCACACTTTCTTGTCAGCGCAGAGAAACTTGTAATCTTTTCGGCAAAATCGGATTAATATTTTTAGAGTTATGCCCATTTTTTGCCAAACTGTTCACACTTCTTGTCAGCGCAATAGAGGCTATAGTTTTTTTATTAGATTTTCTGAAAAATTTCAGAAATCTTGTATTGTGACAAGACGAAGTCTACGACCTACTCTTATCGAATTCGAACTGTCAAATGATTTTTTTACGTGCACTCCAATGTGTATACGGGACCTCGGTTTTTCATCCCATCCGAACGTCTAGACAGCTGTCCTTGTCAGGCCCTCCGTCCTGCTTCAGTGACAAGGGAGAACCACGCCGAAAAATCTGGATGAACTTTCTCGGCCAATGCAGGGATCGAACACCCGACTTCCAGGCTAGCGAGCCAGCGTCCTACCCACTTAGCCACCGTGATCCCCCGAACAAGCCCATACATGGCAGAAAAGAATTCACAGAGATAAACACTTTTATGTAATTAGGGTTGGGTTCACATCCACTGCCCACCTCGATCTCTGTACATATCACCGTGTACGTTTGTTTGGGAGCAACCCACGAAACCATTGAACACCAAATTATTATCACTGGCGAAAAATTAAAACTCGAATACTACAAATTGATTTATTAAATAATGTTCACGTGTAGGTGTTTAGAAAATATACTTCATGGCAATGGTGGAAACCTCTCCCCGGTTTACAAACACGGTTTGTGTCCATTTTATATATTCTAAATCCTATCTGATTCAACTGTTTTAATATGTCTAAAGCATTGATTAATGTTCTTCTTTTCTTGCTGTCGTTTGGTCCAATGTGCCATTCCATCATTAGTTGTTTCACACCCTTTAAAGCTCCCGATGCAATCATTTCCGGCACAACAACCCATTCCCAGCTCTCAACATCCATTTTGATGACACTAATAATCTTCTGAAAATATCAATTGATGAAACTATGTTAGCGTTGTGAAATTATTAAATACATGTAATGGATAAGTGGTATGGGATGTTGATAATAAACATACCTTGTCTGGGGAGTTGGGGGGGGGGGTCTAGTGGTTTAACGCGTGCGCTTGAAATCATAAGGTCTGTCATTGAATAAAGTGGCGTGGTTTCGATTTTTCACTTGTACGTGACAAGGAGTAGGCTTGCATGTCGAACCGCGTGGGTTTTCTCCGGTTCCTCCGGTTTCCTCCCACTGCTGAAGCGAATTATTGAATGAAAATTGAAGCATATTTTAGTCCCGAAATGACCTTCTTTGTGTCGAGTGGACGTTAACTCCCGCCCCCCTCTCCGTGGGTAGGGTTCACTACCGGAGAGGCTGAGGTTCGAAAAGGTTCCCCGGGATTTTCCAGCCTGAAATCCCCTTGTCATTGGTGCTGGACTGGGGGCCTCACAAGGACAGCGCCTAGTCGTTCGAATGGGACGAAAAATCGGGATTTCGTGTACGCGTTGGAGGAGCTGTAAGCCTCTGACCGAAGACTGAATTTTACCGAATTTGGACCGACATCTTGTAATTGATAACATTGCATCCTCCCATGACAAGGTACTACTAATTACTATTATCAATTTGAGAAAGACTTATTCCTAAGAAGGGGTGGGTATTAACGCTCATTTTTATTATTTCAATAGTTTGAGATAGGTTAGTTAGGTAGTAGCGGGAAACCGTAGGAGAGAGATCACGTATTTAGCGGGAAACCGGAGGACCTCGGGACAAACCACGTCGTTGAACAAGCCATCCTACTCAGGGGAATAGATACCACGCCACTTGACTCAATAACAGACCCCATGACCTACAGAACACGCGTTAAACCATTCGCCCCCCCCCCCCCCACACACCAGTTTGATCAAGATGGTACTCGTGTCCGACTGTTTTATCATGCCTACAGTAGTATAACAGCAGCCAGGTATTGTAGATACAGATGTAGATATTATTAGCTATGTCAACAAAACAAGTTTATAACCATTAATTATTCGTGAGTTTCAGAAGAGAATTATTTGACTAACAGCCTGCTGTAAAACTTTCAGTTGTACAGACCTCATATCCAGCTTTATAATAAGTCGTGCTATTTTGTTTAGAATAATATAGTTTAATGCTTCAGTCGTGTCCTTGTTTGTTTGTTATATGAAATATCTAGACCAACCTCCAGTCCAACCACATTTATAAAATCAATTAGGAGAATAAAACAAAACGACGACATTATTAAAGCTAGGGATGTCACTGCAACTGGGAGATAATAGGGCATTTAATAAACAATGAGTTATATTGTTTTATACTGAAATAACATTATCCCTGCCCAGTTGTGATCAGAAAATCAAAAATATCACGTCTTTACTACATGATATACTTAAACATGAAATGAAATGAAATGGGGTTTAACGTCCCACTGTTCTGCTCCTATACTGGGCTAATGAAGACGGGCATACGCCATACAGTGTGCTATGAGGGACATTTTGCCCGGGCAGCGGCACTATCGCCTACTCTTATATCGAATTCCAACTGCCAAGGGATCTTTTACGTGCATTCTAATGTATACACAGGACCTCGGTTTTTCCTTTCATCCGAAGGACTAGAGAGCTGTCTTTGTCAGGCCCTCCGTTCTGCACCACTGACAAGGGGAAACCACGTCGGAAAATCCAGATGAACTTTCTCGGCCAATGCAGGGATCGAGCACCCGACATCCAGGCTAGCGAGCCAGCGTCTAACCCACCTAGCCACCGTGGCTCCTGTGGACTCAAAGGGAGAAGTTGTTGTTTGTTAGTTGTATTTTACGTCCGCTTCCACCGAAGTGATATCCACTTATATCAGGCGGACATAGAGCGCGAATTTGGTTGCAAGAGCACATACATTTAAAGACAGACTATATCTGTACTCACGGCCTGGAATAGCAGAATAACGCATATGTGGCCGTCTAGTGTTTTTTGTCAAACGTTTCTGTCAGGGGATAACCCCCCTCCCCCCACCTCCGACACCACCTAAAAAAAATATGACATGAATAAATATTACTTTAAATCCGTGGTTCTCAAAGTGTGCGCCCTGTGGCATTCCAGACACATCTGTGTCTAGATATAAAAAATAAATATATTAACAATACCATATAGGCTTTTGCCATTTCAATACGCCAATGATTATGGATATACCGTAACAGGTTATGTTGCATACGTGTAACTTACTGTATGTTTCATTTTATATTTTCTAGTTGCACCTTTTGTTTTGTGTAATATTTGACTTAAAGGAGCTAAATCGCTAATATTTGGGACCTATAATATGAATGTATATAAACTGATTTACATTCAATCGTTTCTGTTTTTACTGCAATTTCTGATCAGTCATGTTCGGCGAAATACGCCAGAAGTCTCATGTGAATGGCAATCTTTAGCGTCTGGGCCCGGTTCCTAGAAAATTCTTAAAGTAAGCACAAAGTCATGCTTCACTTTTTCTTACGTAAGAAACTTGTAAAAATACCGTCCCTAGAAAATTCTCAAGACCATTCTTACATAAGCACAAGTTAAGTATAAGTCTAAGCACATTGTGACTGGTAAAGTTTACCATAAACTGAGACTACGATGCTCTTTAACGTCACAAAAACAACTTTGGTATGCGAATTACGTCATAAATTTGTCGTCTGCTTCAATGACGTCATATATGGTTGATTTAGATGCATTTGACATGTTCCCTATACACATATAAAATGTGCCACAAGATAAAAAAAAACGCAGACACATACAAACTAACTGAATAATTGTGAGAGCGCCTGATCTTAAGTAGCCCGTGTGTTTGTAGCCTATTGTTTACTAATTGGCAAATAAATAAAATGGTTTCAGGGTAGAAGCGAAATTTTCTATAGTATTCATAATTTCTTCTGGAGAAGGATTTTCTCTGTCTTGTAATTGTCTCTTTGGTATAAAAACGTGTCGGAATTGCCGTCGAATAATTTACGGTCAGCCATCTTTTTGAAGTGGAAACAGACTTAAGGTTGGTAAGCAAGCCGTATACCTTGCTTGGAACTTGTGCTTAGATTGACTATGTTTAAGAACGAAGTTGTGCTTAAGTTTTTTTCTTGGAACGCACAATAACGTTCTTGTGCTTACAATGAAGTCTACTTAAAATCTAAGCACAAGAACGTTCTTAAGAATTTTCTAGGAACACAAAATAAGGTAAGTTTACTTAAATGCAAAGTCTACTTAAATCTAAGCACAAGAACGTGCTTAAGAATTTTCTAGGAATCGGGCCCTGTTTTTTTTCAGTTTACACCAATGGTATTTATTACGCATGTTCTCCGGATAATATATAGCGTCACCATTTGACATGTTTTGTGGAATATGTCTAGCCCTGTTCATTGAGTCCCTTGTTCCAAATGGCGCTGAAACGCATTGTGGTACACGATTCGTGTACCACTGGTAAAATGTTTATTTTGTCTTGAATATTGGATATCCGAAGCCCATCTTTTCCCTGTAAGATCACACGACCAATGTTGATTTGAATTGACAAATAATTCGTGTTTTCAATGTCAAAGATTTTTGATGATATTGAGTTAGAGACTTTAAATATAACATATTTATCGGAAATTTGTATATAGTGCGCCTAAACTTATTTGTAGGGTTTCAAGTGCGCCCGACTTAAAAAAAAGTTTGAGAACCACTGGTTTACATGCATGTAAATTCAAAGGTGTCTATTAAAATAAATGAGTTATTTTTTTTTAAAAAAAACAACAGAACTACAGTTTCTTGTGGTGACCCCTTGTATATTAGACGAGCATTGATCATTGTGTTTGGGTTTTAAATGAATCAGCAGTAGGCAGCTGGGTGAATTGTCCGATATGGGTATTGAAGTTCAATTATATAAGTATCATCTCGATTGCTGTACAATTTTCGATATCGATTAAATATATAGAACAGACAGCTTGTTTATATATATTTTTTAATAAAACAGGGGTTATAAAAGATCTTTTGTATGCAAGATACAGATATTGTTCATAATAAAACAACACATTTTGGATTTATTATGTCTTATTTGTTATGGCTTATAGCTTAGAATTAAAAATGTTTGACACAGTCCAGGAAACATACACCAAAGTTACACAATGTAACTGGTTATGATAATATTACATGTAACTGATTATGATAATATTACATGTAACTGATTATGATAATATTACACGTACCTGATTATGCCCTAGCTGTGTTTTTATATCTGCTAATGTCGCCATCTTCCATCCTTGAGAGGACTTACCAGTATAGTCAGCTATGCCCAAAGAGTGAAATGTGACCAATTTACTTCTAACATGATCCTGCATACCGTTTCTAACAAAATAACAGAATCCATGTTTAACACCATTTTATACAAATTATAGTGGATAGCTTCGGTGATCGCAGAAGGTGTGCGTAGTCGCTCGGTGGAACGAAAACCCGACTTCCACCCGTGAACGTAGAACAACCATTGACAATAAGAATTCAATGAACGGTGGATGGAGACGCCGCTGTCCAGGAACAAGTTTAATAGTTATGGCCCATTGCACTAGCCCTGTTTGTATATCGTGACCAAATGGCCATATCTGCAGTGGGCCTTAAAGCGAGAATTTCATATTTTCTAAGAAAGTCAAAACATAATAAATTCTATGTCTTTTGCTCAATAGGTTGTCAACTCACTATTATACGATCAGAGGTATCATTCTCACATTTAAAAATCATTGACCCCGGAAATAATAACACAATCACCTCCCTTGTTTTTCTATTGCCCCCCCCCCCCATGGAAAAGTTAACTTCAAACGTTTGAATTCGAAGTTGAAAATGATATTTTTGCCAATTTCTCAACTGGCAATAGTGAATTATAGGTAGGACTGTTTATAGATACCATCTATTTTTAGGCTTTATTTTAATACATTTTAAAAATATAACTTAAAAATATGAAATTATCGCTTTAACTTTTATTCCTTATCCCACAAATCTCCTACTCGGTACTGCACACGTCATAGAAATACAAATTACCGGTATATATACAGGTGCGAGTCATTCTTTTGTCTAACGGTTCGTTTAAGAATGTGTGCTTTCATTTTTTTTTACAGTTATCTATTACTGCAGTACAGTTAGGTCTATTTTATATCTTTGACATTTATTATGATAATATAGTTAAAGTAATAAAAATTGTATATTTACGTTGGATCAAATGAATGCACGTGTACGTGTTTACTTTCAGAGATAGCATCATCAAAGCTGAAATCGTTATTAATTCTGAAATATAAAAACATGTATAGGTTGTCAATTGACCAATCTGATTAAAATACAGATCTATATTTCGTTTCGTTTTTTTATACTTTCGATGGCCTACACTACATGAAGATCTGACCGGTTGTAGTGATTGGTCGCGTCAGAGGTCATACGAGCGGCTTTTGACCATATGAAGTCATACAGCGATTAATCAATCAGTGTTGACGTTTCTAGTGGTTTACCTACAGTTCCGTGCATCGCTCACCAAGAAATCACCGTAACAGACCGTTTCATTAGCTATTTCGTCACGCCATCCAGAACTCTTCCAGATCCTAGTGTAGAAATGATAAGTAAAACGAAATTTTAAACTATAAAAAACGAAACGAAATTAGATTGCAAATTGACCAAGGCAAAAGAGGTTTTCCCATATTTATACCTTGATATAGCTATCAGAACAACCACTGTTTACTTGTGTTGTGTATTAATTACCCTACATATGACTTATCCTTTTAAAGAGAGAGAGAGGGAGAGATGGGGTTCAACGTCCACTCGACACAAACTAGGTCATTTCCGGATTAACATATGGTTCTATTTTATTTCAATAATTCGCTTGCGCGTAGGGGTCTTTGGCAGTGGGAGGAAACCGGAGGACCCGGAGAAAACCCACGAGGTTGGACAGGCGACCCTATTCCTTGTCACGTACAACTGGGGAATCAAAACCACGCCAGTTGACTCAATTCGGCCATCCACCCCCCCTATCCTTTTAAAGAAACAATACAGTTTATTGAAAATGTGTTACTTTCCCATTATGGTAAACAATACAGTTTACTTATGGCGTGTATTTCTTCCCCGATAGGGGGGGGGGATGGCCGATTGGTTAGCACGTCCGTGTTATATCATAAAGCCTGTCATTGAGTCAACTGGCGTGATTTCGAATCCCCGGTTGTACGTGACAAGGAGTAGGGTCGCCTGTCCAACCTCGTGGGTTTTCCCCGGGTCCTCCGGTTTCCTCCCGCTACTAAAGAACCCTACGCGCAAGCGAATTATTGAAATAAAATTAAACCATATGTTAGTCCCGAAATGACCTAGTTTGTGTCGAGTGGACGTTAAACCCCATTTCTCTCTCTCTCTTCTTCCCCGATAGAACTGATAGTGAGTGTATTACTTACCCTATATAGTAAAGTATAAGTTTACTGATCGTGTGTGTATTACATGTTGTGTTTAGTAAACAATATCGTTTACTGATGGTGTGTATTTCGTACCCCGAGAGTAAATAATACCGTTTATTAACAATGCAATTTTAGGAGAGCTGAGAGGGGTCATATAGGCTATGCCTGTTCCTCAGTCCCTTTCAATTTCTGAATAAAAAATTGTTTTAAAAAAAGTGTACCTAACCTATAGAGTAAACAAACCGGTTTACTGATGGCGTATGAATATAGAAGTGACGCTTATTATTGTTCACTGTTTATTAGGGCTGTGTATTACCTACCCTATAGAATAAACAATACTGTCAACTGGTGGTACATATAAAGGATCTTCACAGAGATACCATCCTCCGTCATTGACATTACCATATCGTGCAATTGCTTTACAGTGTATCTGTTCCGTCTTTAAATACCTACAATTACATTTATACATTATTAATGCTAGATTTCCACCCTCGTGCTGGGGGGTTGGATGGCTGAATGGTTAGCGTGCGCGCGCTGTATCATAAAGTCTGTCATTGAGTCGACTGGCGTGGTTTCGAATCCCCGGTTGTACGTGACAAGGAGTAGGGTCGCCTGTCCAACCTCGTGGGTTTTCTCCGGGTCCTCCGGTTTCCTCCCACTGCTAAAGACCCCTATGCGCAAGCGAATTATTGAAATAAAATTAAACCATATGTTAGTCCCGAAATGACCTAGTTTGTGTCGAGTGGACGTTAAACCCCATTTCTCTCTCTCTCTCTCTCTCTCTCTCTCTCTCTCTCTCTCCACCCTCGTGCAATGCGTAACGATAGGATTGTCCCTATTGAGTAATTGTAGATACGTTCGTATACGTTACGGTACGATCATCCGGCGTGGTTTTCCCTTGTCATTGATGCAGGACGGAGGGCCTGACATGGACAGCTGTCTAGTCGTTCGGATGGGACGAAAAACCGAGGTCCTGTGTACATATTGGCGTGCACGTAAAAGATCCCCTGGCAGTTGGAATTTGATATAAGAGTAGGCCGTAGCGCCGCTGTCCGGGCAAAATTTCCCTCATAGCACACTGTATGGCCTATGCCCGTCTTCGTTAGCCCAGTATAGGAGCAGAACAGTAGGACGTTAAACCCCATTTCATTTTATTTCGGTACGATCAACACGATTGCTACAATTGACCTCAATATGTGATAAGTTCTGATAGAATCACCACGATTACGCCACGATTAAAACCACGATTTCAAACGCAGCACGAATTGTGATAGTGGTAACCTAGGGTAACCGCCATTTGAATTGGTATATTGGTTAATGTGATATATTCATATTTAATATTGACTTTTGTTTAAAGTGTTTTATTCTATTGTCAAATGGATCTATCTTTATGTCTTAAATGTTATATAAATTATTAATTAGACATTTATTAACTTTCCAAGAGCATAATCAACTCTCGATGCCATCGGATACTCCAGATTTTCAGTAGAATTAAATAAGATTGACGGTTAACAATTTAATTGAAAAACGGATAATCGAGACTTTGTTTATTACCGTAACAACAGCAGCAATGACAATCGAGACTAAACTGGGTTTTTTTAACGCCGATAAATCGGCTCAGAATGAAGTTTTTTGACTGAAATTTTCAACTTATTCCCTTTTCATTATCTACTTTTTAATTATCATAGCGCGAACTGTCAGCTCTGTATCTAAATCTAATGCTCCTTTAATGGAGCTTTTGAAATGAATTAAGAACAATTTTGTTTCTAAAAGGACATTGAACCTCATTTGAATTTCACAGACAATATTAAACTTTTCACAGTTTAAACCACGCAAAAATGTACACAAATTGATTAATTAAATTAACAATTAAAAAAAAGAAAACAAAAAGGTCCCATCAAAGATTGTGGGTTGCGCTGGTTTGTTTTGACTATATCCCGTTTATTGCCGGAGTTAAAGCGTTAATTGATTGTCGTGAATAGTATAATGAAATTCCTTAGCGATCATTTCCGGTTGCCTTTATTTTTTTATTTGAAAGTTTAAGACAATATAAATAGGCTATTTGGTTACATTTTAGTGTTTTATTTGTATAATTTAAAATACTTTTATTTAACGTATTCTGTGAAATAGTTTAATTCTAATTCATGAATGGTGTATAAATAATAAAGTTAACATTTGCGTGTTTTAATTTGCATAATTAATTAACTATGGTAGTAAAAAAAATTATATTTACAAAATGCCCTATTGAAATATTTCAATTCATCAAAGTTTAAATGAAAACTTGTGCAAAAAAAAAAAACTATCACTGCAGGTAGACATCGTCACAACGATTTGGACAAAAATGATTATCAGATTTCAAATTTCATTGTCAAAATTATACTTTTACGACGTAGTGTCCGCTTCATAAAGGGGTCGAATCGTCGCTTGCACCATTGTTCTTCTTCCCGTCTTCATTAGCTCAGTAGTCGGTGCAGAACAGTAGGACGTTAAGGGGGGCTTATGTCGACCTTGCAACTGAAAGCAACTGGCGTTTAGGCAACTGGGATCAACTGAAAGCATCTGAATGAAACTGAAAAAGTCGACCTGAGCGCCTCTTACAACTTAAAGCAACTAGTTGCAGTCAGTTGCACGTGTTCAACTTTCTGCAACTGGCTGCATCTAGCGGCAACTCGTTGCAGTCGACATGAGTGTTCTTGCAACTGGAGTCAACTCGTTTCCATGGAAATAACATCACGTGATAAGATACATGTGTTATGTGACTTTATAAATAACAAATGGAAACGAACGAAGACGCCCACTTTTCAAGGTTTGATGATGTCGACAATAATATAGAATTATAGCAAGACCGACCATGCCTTTTGGGTTGCTTCTTCTAAGTGATTCGCCATTTTGTTGATCACGTGATGAATGAATTAACAGTCACGTGTTCAGTGTGATCGCTATCACTTCCGATTCGACATAAGAGCTCCGAATTCAGTTGCTCCCAGTTGTCCTCAGTTGCTGATATGATCGACATAAGCACTCTTGCAACCGACTGCAACTAGTCGCTTTGGGTTGCAAAGTCGACATAAGTCCCACTTTAGATCCAATTTCATTTCTTTCTTCTTCCTCTCCTTGTAGACAGTTCGTTTGTCACCAGAATCAATCGTTCATGGTCGAATGCAGTCGTTCATGGCCGGAATCAGCCGTTCATGACCCAAATCAACCTTTCGTGACCCAAATTAACCTTTCAAGACCAGAATTATCCATTCAAGACCCGAATCAACCTTTCATGTCCGACATCAACCTGTCATGACTTCAAGTCGACTAAACGCGCTGGAAACCACGAGGATGCTTTCCAGGTGTAGTCAAACTTGTTCTTGTTATTGGTGGAAATTGCGATCGACAGGTATGAAATGAAATGGGGTTAAACATCCTACTGTTCTGCTCCGACTGGGCTAATGAAAATGGACATACGCAATACAGTGTGCTATGGGGGGGGGGATTTTGCCTGGACAGCAGCACAACGGTCTATTCGTGTTTCGAATTCCAACTGTCACGGGTTCTTTAACGTGAATGCTAATGTGTACACGGGACCACGGTTTTTCGTACCATCCGAGCGACTATACGTTATCCCTTGTCAGACACTCCGTCCCGCGCCGCTGACAGCATATATATTAGTCAATGCGATACTATTTAAAAGAAATGATTTTAATGATACGTACTTAATGTACTTGTCTTCTAATTCTTCTGTCGTTAGGTGTCTGGACCAATCCTAAAAAAAAAAATAAAAATGGAAAATATTTTCAGAAATGTTAAGTTGCAAGACATGGGGTAAGATTAGTTTTTAAACATGTTATGTTGCGAAAAGTAGACGAACGTGTATGTCTTCATGTTGAAAAATATAAGTAACATTTGGAAATCATTTAAAGTTACAATTTCATATTTTTAAGTTATATTTTTAAAATGTATTAAAATAAAGCCATAAAATAGATGGTATCTATAAACATTCCTACCTTGTTAAAGAATAATCCTATCCTATAATTTTGAGAAATTGGCAAAAATATCATTTTCAACTTCAAATTAAAACGTTTGAAGATAGCTATTCCATGGTGGGGAATAGGAAAACAAGGGGGATAATTGGGAGGTAATTGTGTTATTATTTCCGGTGTGAAGATTTTTAAGTGTGAGAAAGATAACCATTGATCGTATAATAGTGAGTTGACAACCTATTGAGCAAAAGAGATAGAAATAATTATGTTTTGACTTTCTTAGAAAATATGAAATTGTAACTTTAAGACGAGGTCGACGGGAAGGCTTTTCGTAGTTTTATCACCTAATGTTGGATGGTGGAGTGATCTATCGCACGCGCTTCAGATCATAATGTCTGCCATTGAGTTAAAGCGGCGTTAGGTAAGATTAGATAAAGAGCTGGCAGTTCTCACCATGATAGTTAAAAAGTAGATAACGTAAATAGAATGCGCTGAACATGTCAGTCAAATTACTTCAATCTAGGCCAAGGAATCGGCTAGCCTCGATTGTCATTAATAGCGTCGTTAGATAATAAACAAAGTCTCGATTATCCGTTTTTACGGTAACCGCACCCAGCAGAAAATGTATTTGAAACCATTAGATATCGTAGGCATCCGATGGGATCGAGTGATGATTATGGTCTTGGTAAGTTAATTAATGTCTAATCAATAAGTTAGATAACATTCCATGCCTAAAGAAAGGCCTGCAATGGGCAGATTTAAGGGTTTAAATACAAATCAGATAGAAAACTAAATAAAAATATTGCTTAAAGAAAAATAAAAAAAAATCATATTTAAGTCGCATGGTTAGTCCCTAAGCTTATACGTGAGATTAGGCTGTACAGCAGATTGTATAGATTTATAAATCAACAGTTATAATAAAATCATGTAAGTTCTATAGAGTTATAGAGTTAAAAAATAGCCTATATACAATAGATCTTATAAATTTATGAAAAGATCAATAGACATACATGTAATATATTTCATATCTAATAAAATGAAATGAGCCGGAGATTTAATTCGGTGTATTCAGGTCAAAGCGGAGAGGAAGCAGTAGTGGTTGGTTGTCCGAATGGTATAACGCCTGTCTTTAAGTCAACTGGTGGGGTTTCGATTCCCCGGTTGTACGTGACAAGGAGTAAGGTCGCCTGTCCAACCTCGTGGGTTTTCTGATAGGTCCTCCGGTTTCCACCCACTGCTAAAGAGTCCTAAGCGCAAGCGAATTATTTAAATAAAATTGAACCAAGTGTTAGTCCCGAAATTACCTAGTTAACCCCAATTCTTAAAAATTATTCTCTCAATTCCACCAATCTATGGGGTACACTAAATGAACCAAATTGATCGGGGGAGGGATGGGCAGAAATGAACTGGCCAATGAATTCCCGATTAGATCGGGGCCATGACAGGAAAAGCCGGTCACCAGAATTCGCAAAGCGCGCCGTCAGCAGATATGTTGAGGGTGACAATTCAGTCAGTGAATACAGCAAACTGAAGGTGCTCAAAAACAGCCTTATTTGCAAAATAAATTAATCCCCATGCGCATGTGAGCTCAATCAATTGCATTCATAGACATAAATTTAAAGATTAAAGCCTCTTGTCTTGTCGTGACAAAAACCATGTCACGTAAATGATAGACATCGCAGTCACGCGAAACGTGCGCTCAAATACAAGTAGAATAGAATAGAATAAAAAGCTATGATAAAAAATGAAAATATGACAGGACAATATATACATGTACACAACAATGCTTAGTTAATGCTGACAAACCAAGGGCCTAATTAAATCAGATTACCTTTAGGTACACGTAATTAAGGGAGATCCCTGGTTTGTCAGCACATTTTGATATTTTCATTTTTTATCATAGCTTGATAATGACAAGAGAAGCCTAGTCGAAACGTCGCTCAGTAAAAAGCAGTAATTGTATTCCATAGAATTGTGACCTGTATACTCTAGTTCAATTACTAAAATGCCATTGAAACAATTTTCAGACACGTTTTCCAAGTGGACATTAAACCCTATTTCTCTCTCTCTATTGATTAGACATAATTAAAGTGATAAAAAATCTAATATTTTCGTTGGCTAAAAATATAAACTTACCCCTTCTGTCACGGGACTACTTCTTCTCATATAAATAATTTCTAACAATGAAACAAAAACCAGAATGGCAACACCACATATAATAAAACTTAATTTGTTCATGCTTCTTGTTATCCCGTTGTTATATTATGATATACTCTACCGCGCGTGTTTATTAGATCGATCAGGGTCATATAGTCTTTTTATATACTGTTGTATGATTCGTGGATATGTTCGGTTAAATAAAGGGCGATAATGATGTCAGTTAGATCGATCAGGGTCATATAGTCTTTTTATATACTGTTGTATGATTCGTGGATATGTTCGGTTAAATAAAGGGCGATAATGATGTCAGTAAACTCGATCTATAAATGGATACAGCCCACCAATTATTTCTACATGAAACAAGGGCCAAAGCTATTTTTAGTCTTTCTCCCCCTTTCTCTTTTCCCCCTTTTGCATGGCGATCTTTGTTGACTTTGTGGCGTAGAATTGAAGAAAAGAGTTTTGAAAATACATTTTCTGCTAGGTTTTGGTGAATATTCATGATTTTGAATAGGTGGATTAGTTTGAAATTTAGGGCGAAAAATTGCATGTTTAATCGTCTCTACTTCCAGCTCGTCTATTTCAAGTTATTCATGATGAACCTCCATGTGTGGTAGAAAACGTTCAATCCAACGAAAATTTGGGAAAAAGTTAGAGAAATTACTAATTTCTATTCTAGATTGCTAATATAGGATGGTTTACAGGATGCATTATTCAAGGGCTAACTTGTCCAAACCTTAATCAACTCTCTATGCCGGTTAATGATTTAATTAAAAACATAGATAATCGAGACTTTGTTTGGTATCGTATCAATGGTAGCAATGACAATCGAGACTCTGCTTTTTTCCAAACAGCCCTAACGTCCAGCAGAATAAATTAATGTGACTTAAATGTTCAATATATTCATTTTTCATTATCTGGTTTTAACTATTATAGCAAGAACTGCCAACTCTTTATCAAAATATTACATAATGTATCTTTATATGAGGTCGAATCGTTCGTATTTTGAGCCATATAGTGGTATCTTGGAAAACGTATCTGAAAATGTCCCTCAAAATGAATGAAAATACCGACCGCTAAATAGCGCAGCATATAAAATAGAAAAATATCAATCGAAAGGGCGTTAGTGAGAAACAGCCACTGAACTTCATTTGGCCTTTATGTATTTGAAACGAAGGTTATGATATCTGATTAGGCTACAGTGGTTTAGTTATTGATTATGATCGGACTGGATATTGTGTTCTTTCTAAGTATATGCGACCACCTGTTACATTATGTATATATTAACAGAGGGGTCACGGCGGCTAAGTGGGTAAGACTCCGACTCGCTAACCTAGAGGTCGGGTATTCGATCCCTGTATTGACCGAGAAAGTTCATCTAGATTTTCCGGCGTGGTTCCCCCCTTGTCAGTGATGCAGGACGGAGGCCCTAACAAGGGGAGCTGTCTAGTCGTTCGGATGGGACGAAAAACCGGGATGATTAATGACAATCTAGACTTGTCGCTTTAAACTTTTAATTACTTTATAATAAGTTTATTATTGAAATTCACGAAAGCAAATCCATATTTATCTAGATGGGCTTTAAGTATAGTTTAATGGTCGAGAGCGAGACATTAAGTAATATATTGATACTGCACGAGGCGTTAGCCGGGTGTTGTTTCAATAATCATATTACGCTCGAGACCATTAAACAACTTAAAGTTACAATTTCATATTTTCTAAGAAAGTCAAAACATAATTATTTCTATGTCTTTTGCTCAATAGGTTGTCAACTCACTATTATACGATCATAGGTGTCATTCTCACACTTAAAACTCATTTACACCGGAAATAATAACACAATTACCTCCCAATTACCTCCCTTGTTTTCTATTCTCCACCATGGAGTAGTTGTCCTCAAGCGTTTGAATTTGAAGATGAAAATGATATTTTTGCCAATTTCTCAACTGGCTATAGTGAATTATAGGATTAATAGGATTATTCTTTAACAAGGTAGGACTGTTTTATAGATACCATCTATTTTAAGGCTTTATTTTAATAAACTTAAAAATATGAAATTGCAACTTTAAAATACAGACACTGTCCCGCAAGTGCTTTTCAATGAAATACGTCACGCGAGTCCAATATCTCATCTAGTATAGATAATGTACGAATGTCAAGTTGCCCGTACAATATTGGAAATAATGTTACGCCAACGTCAAAGGATGACGTAGCATCTGTATTTTAAACATTACAGAGCGGTAAGTAAGATCCCCAGTAAATCTGTGACTAAACAGTCGCGCGACAATCCCCGTGAACGCCTGTGTAATATAAAAGAACAGTTCTAATACGTTTATAGCTGGCAACTGAAGACAACCCGACATCACGACATTTTTAACTCGACACTACGAGATTTTCACCCGACACCACGACATTAAGAATGTCGTAATGTCGCGTAAAAATGTCGTATTGTCGCGTAAGGACGGGATTGCACACGTCTGTCTGAACGGGGTGATAGGGTTACAAACTAATTAGAACTAGTAGAAATAATTGCGGGCGTATTGGGAACGAGGAATATACAACGAGTTACAAACGAGTTAAATCTGACTACGGACGGGTCTGGACAGCTTGGATATGACGAGATGGGCGTATTGAGGACTTTTTATGATTGTATTATAGACTTTATGTACAGATTCTACCCGTACTACAACCCGTTTTACGATTTTCCAGAACTTGTTTGAGCCTTTTTGGTGTGATGGGGGGCTTGACCTATCGGTTGTCACACAAGGCTACAGTTCATTGTGGTTGTTAATCATCAGGGATTCGTTAAAATAATTATTTCTTTCTACTTCCTGGTGTATCAAATATTTCACACTTGGTAAATTTATTGAAATTATAAGGTATTCGGCAGTCTGCTTCTATTAAGTGAAATTTGGAACTGGTATTTGATTTTGAAAACGATATATGGGAGATAACTCCAGATAGTGCCGTTCACACATACGGATGAAGACTAATAATGAGTCTATTTATAACAATTTATTTCTTTTCTACTATTTGCGTCTTTAGTATAGCATTTTGTTCGGACTTTATGGGCTAAAATCGATGAAGAATGTTTCCGTTTACATTTTCTGTCAAGTTTTGGTGAATATTCACGATTTCGAGAAAAAAGGGTCGAGAAGTAAATAGATATGAATACGGGAAATTACCTATTTAAATGGCGTCTCAGTCTACAGATTCCTTAAATCAGGCGTAGCAAAAAAATCAAGATGGTCAACCCCCGTAAGTTTTATTATCAGACGATTGTGACATGTTGGACTCCTTATGGTAATTAAGATTAAAGGAGCTAAATCGCTCATATTCGGGGCCTAGAAATCTGATTGTATATACACTGATTTACATTCAATTGTTTGCGTTTTGACTCTAATTTTAAATCAGTTATGTCCAGCGAAATACGGCATTGAGTTAGAGACTTAGCTACTTTAAGCTCATCCGAATGTTCAAACAAATGTTATAGACCAAGACCGAGTGTTCGATCCCTGCACTGGCCGAGAAAGTTCATCGGATTTCCGACGTGGTTTCCCCGTGTCAGTGGTGCAGGAAGGATGGTCTGGCAAGGACAGCTGTGTAGTCGTTCGGATGGGACGAAAAACCGAGGTCACGTGTATACATTAGCGTGCACGTAATAGATCCCTCGGCAGTTGGAATTCGATATAAGAGTAGACCACAGTGTCGCTTTTCGGGCAAAATTTTCCCTCATAGCACACTGCATGACGTATGCCTGTCTTCATTAGCCCAGTCAAGAATATTGCAAGTTCCGGAGTCCAAAGCTGTTAGAATCTCTAAATTAATATCCATATTACAAAAATGCATTATGTCACATTAGATATAGAGATCATCTCTATTGTTATAATAATTCAAAAATAGATGAATAAGTTGACAATATCGGTCAAATTACTTCCATGAAAGTTTGAAGTTTTGACAAGACATTGCATAAATAGTTTCAGTGATTGTGGCGGCCAAGCGAATATTCATTGCTGATCAGTGTGGGATTTTCAATAATATGATGGTTAAAACGGCAATGTCGCATCTTCGACTTGATTTTGTCGCGTCTCCGAGTCTCCGTTTTCGCTATATACTACCGAAAGACGAAGATGCGAAGCTGCAATAATCGCAGACATTTTGTCGCATAGCCTTCGTTTTTGTTTTTCTATTGTTTTTTGTTTGGGGGGGGGGGGGGGCGGTGATGTTGACGACGAAGAATAAAAAAAATGACCATCTTCAGTCATCATAAGTCTAAGATAATATGGAATGTTATTCAAAAAAAAAAAAGATATTCAGAGAAATAAGTACTTTAGTCTTAAAAACGGAGGAAAGGTTTAGTAGTTCGCGGGGGGGGGGGGGCGTGGGCGTGGATGGTCGAATGGGGTTAGCACCTGTGCGCTGTATCATAAGGTCCGTCAGTGAGTTAACTGGCGTGGTTTCGATTCCGCGGGGTTGTACGTGCCCCAAGTTCATGTGTTTGTGTCCAGTTCAAGACCGTGGTTCCGATTCCTTGGTTGTAGGGGCACCTGCTCAACCTCGTGGGTTTCCTTCGGGTCCTGGTTTGTGTCAAGTGGACTTTAAACCCATCTCTCTCTCTCTCTCTCTCTCTTCTCTCTCTCTCTGTTTCATGGATATAGCTTAAACAACTCGCTATAAAGATTGGAATAAACCTTCCTAATCTCTGTCACTACGACAAACATTTCTTGATCGTTATGCTCCCCTGATTACGACTCGATTATCTAGTGTCGTTATCTTCGCCTTATATTACTTTTAAATTGAGAATTAAAGGCACGAGCACAAACAATGACTCCCAGGGGCTGTCATTGGATCTTAATGGCTTCCTCTAAGCTCGAGAGTTATAGCCTCGATTAATGAGTTTAATCATCACGAACAGTCGCAGAAACCATACTGTTTACTTCATACAGACGGGTCTTGATGACCAAGAATGTTAGTCCAGCGACAGAGAGAAATCAAAGCTAAACGAAAACTGAATGTAGGAGGTTAAATCGGTTGAAATCGAATAGCAATGAAAATAAAACCCCAGCTAGGTTTTTATTACAACCATAACGTCGACCGGTAATGAGTATGCG